TAAAAGTACTAGATTTATAATCGCTATGGACCCCTGTAATAGGTCCTAAATAGATCCCTATAAGGGTTCTGTAAGAGGGCCTCGTAAGGCACTTAATTAGGGGATTAATCCCTTATTTTTAATAATAAATATAAGGCTAGGCTTATAATTAAGGGCTTTATATAGGAAGAAGGCTTGGATTATAAGGAGACCTTCGCCTCGACCTCTATACCCCCTACCTAGCGGCTTATTTTAGCGCTAGTAGCTGCTAAAGACTAGGAAATAAAGTAAGTCGATTTTATAGGCGCCTTTTTAAATAGCCGCCTAAAAGAGGCTATTTATATTAAAGTTCCCGCTAGCTTTAAAGCCTTTATAGAGGCTAACCCTAACCTAGCTAAGAAACTATTAGCGCTTAGCTAGGACCCTAGTGCTCGGTAGGTTATATTACTAAATAAGGCACTATACGGCCTAAAGTAAGGCCCCCGAGAGTAGTAAGAAGCCTTAAAGGCCTTTCTAAAAGACCTAGGCTTTTACCCACTAATCTCGGACCCGGTAATTTATTATAACGCTAAAAAGGCTACCTTCATAGTGACTTACGTTAATAATTGCCTCCTAATCGGTCCTAATCTAGGCTTTATTAATAGCCTAAAGAAAGCCCTATATAAGGGCTATCCCCTAGAAGATAGAGGCCCTGTAGCCTTCTTCTTAGGCGTTTAAATATAAAGGGATAGGCCTAATAAGGCCCTATACCTTTATTAGGAATAGTATATCGATTAGGCCCTTAGCACCTATAGTCTCGAAAATTATAAGGCCCTTAGTATGCCCTTATAGCCTAAGGTGACCCGAAGTATAGCGGCTGAATTAAGGGCCGAGTCCCTAGGTCTAGAAGACCACTGCCTATTCTAGTAGATTATAGGGACTCTAATATACCTAATACTACTAACTAGGCCTAATATAGCCTTTGCCGTTCAGTGGCTAGCCTAAGCTATAGCTAAGCCCTACTTACTATACCTTTTAGCGGCTAAAAAGCTTCTATAGTACCTTAAAGGCACTAAGAAGCTCGCTATTCGCTATAGAGGCCCTAAATCTTTAGGCCTTATATAAGCCTTATAGCCTATAGGCTATTATAATAGCGATTTTGCCGGTGATAAAAGGTCCTCTAAATCGACCTTTAGGTACCTATTTATAGTGGCTTAAGGCCCTGTAAGTTAGAAGGCTAAGAAGGCTACTACTATAGCACTCTTAATACTAGAGGCTAAATCCGATAGCTTTACGGAAGTAATTCGAGAGCTATAGTAGCTATAGGGGCTCTATAAGGAGCTAAAATAGCCCTTTATAACCCTTATTTAGGTCTTCTACGATAACTAAGGCGCTATAAGTAACGCCTATAACCCGACCTTACACGCCCGTATAAAGTATACCCTTCTAAAGTTCTACTATAATAAGGAATAAGTGCTAAAAGGGCTGCTAAAGCTAGCCTATGTTAATACTAATGCTATGCCGGCTAATAGCCTAATAAAGGCCCTAATAGCCCCCTTGTAGTAGTAATTTCTAGCGCTATTAGGCTTAGTTATTCCTGTTAGAGACCCTGCCATAGAACCCTTAGAGGGCTCTTAGGCATAGAGGGGGTGTTAAAATAGGGGACTAATCCCTTAATTAGGTGCCTTACGAGGCCCTCTTATAGAACCCTTATAGGGATCTATTTAGGACCTATTATAGGGGTCTATAGCGATTATAAATATAGTACTTCTATTACCTTCTATAATATTCGAAGGCTAGTATTACTATACTCGCTATTATAAATCAAACTTTCTATAACCTTCTACTAGGTTTGGTTTAACCCACTCTTTTATAGGATAATATAGCGCCCTCACGCCTATAAATATAGGCCTTCGTTTACTACTAGATAGTTCTAAATTAAGTTATTTATTCACTAAGTTCTTTACCTATATCTTGCCTACCCTAAAGAGAAGATTACTAAATCGGTCGCTTTCTTCCTTTACTAAAGGGATTCCTGGATTATCGCGATTTACTTACCCTGCGCCTAGAAGAGTATTACTCTTAAATAACTATAATACTATCGCTATCCTTAGAAATATAAATATTAATCGCCTCCGCTATAAATTTCTTATAAATAAATAATATTTTTATACCTTTTTCTATACTCTTTAGCTTTTATACTACTCCTTATACTCTTAATACTTACTCGCTATAACTATTTAATAAGTTAATTAATATAAAAAGAATATAGAGTTATTAGCTTATTATACTTAAGAGGAAGGTAAGGTAAGTATTATTAATTTAAGCGCCCTCGTTAGTTTTTACTAAGGTTTATTTAAACCTTAGTAAGAAAGCTATAAAAGATTATAATTTATTTTACTTAAGGTTATATAATATCTCCGCCGCGCGTATACTTTAATTAAGGTCCGCGTAATATTAATTAAAATAAGCTAAGAATAAATATAAGTCTTAATTAAATTAAGCCTTAGTTTTATAATATATTTATATAATATATTAAGTATTAATATTTAAATAATTATTAATAAAGTATTAGTATTCTCGCTATAAATTAAAATATTCTTAATTTAGCTTAAGTTTATTTTTTATTTATACCCTCTAGAGGTTATAGTCCTTAGTATTTCTTAAAAACTTCGGGGGGTTTATTAATAATTTTTTTTATAAAGTATTTATTAATTTTACGCTCTATTAATTCTTTTATAAGTACTAAGTTATCGCTTAACGGTAGGTCGGTTAATATATCTAGGGCTAGTATTAATTTAGTAATAATAAGCTTATTAAATATAGCCGGCTTTAGAATAATCTACCTAGCTGCTTATAATAATACTAATATTATATTTAAATTATAAAGAAACTCTAAGATCTCTATAATTTACTTATATATCGGTCGAAGTAAAGTATTTATTTATTTAATTACTTAAGTGGTTATTTTAAAAAATAATTTAAGAAATTATTTATTAAATATTATAGCTCGTGCTATATAAATACGCTATATTAACTAATAAATCGTTAGATATATTATAGGCTAAGCCTTATTAAAATAACTTAGTAGCTTAGATTAAGTCTATCTAACGATAAAGGAGAAAGAAAAAAAAGAAAGTAAAGTTCGTAGGCTCTTTTCTTAATAAGATATTATATAGTCTATATATCCTCGCTAGGTATATAACTCGTCTAGGCTATCTAGGCTAGGTCTCGTACTTAGCCGTTAGTATACTAGTGGAACTATAATACTACAATTCCTTAGTTACCCTTAATTTTAGTTAACTTAGCGTTCTTTATTTAGTTTAAGGTAATTATTTAAATTAAATATTATTTTTTTATACTTTAATTAGCTTATCGAGCGCTTTATAACGCTTTATAGTATTCTTATCGAGCTTTTTCTTAAATTTAATTTACATTAATTATAAATCTCTTTCTAAGGGTTCGGAGTATATAATAAGTAATTAAATTACTCTCTAGCTTTTCTTAAATATTCTTATAAATAATAAGGTCTATTATTACCTTTATTTATTTTTTAATCGCTTTATTTTCCTTAAAAGAATTATAAATTAAACCTTAAATAAAAACTTTAATATAATCTAATTATTATTCTTATACTTCCTTAGAAATATTTCTTTCTTTAGTTATTTATATTAAGCGCTTATTAATTATAAAAAAATTATTATTAATTATATTTAATTAATTAAAATTAATTCGATATTAAATATTAATATCCTTAATATATACTTAGAGGGATAAGTATTAATTATTTTAATATATTAAAATACTTAGCTTAAAAGATTTTAATAATATCGATTTATTTATAATACTTATAATATAAAAAAAAAGATTTAAATAATAGAAAAGAATATATATAAAAATAAATAAAATATATATTTAAAATATAATATAAGTTATAAATAATAATTACCTCTTAGACTTATAATTATAATATATTATAAAGAAAGTTATTTAAGTACCTTATATTATTATAAAAGAAATAACTATTAAGGCTTTATTTACATATTCTTAATTATATAAACTTATCCCCTTAGAGCTTTTTTTTCAATTTTTTATATTTTAAGTTATTTATCTCTAGTTTAATTAATTTCGGGTTCTTACCCTTCCGGTATTACCCTTTACCGCTAACGGTAGAATCCTAATCGAGCCTAGCCCCGCTATAAGGTAGGCTTATTATTATAAATCCGCTTAGCTAGGCGTGTCAAACAGCCTACCCTAGTCTATTGAGTGTCCTTAACTGCAGGCTTAATATCGGCTCATAACTAATAATCTAATTACCTTTGCTGAGTTGCTTTCGCAATGTCTCGGCGGTTCGTACGTTGCAATCAAATTACATGTGCTGGCGCGTCCTCTTTACTCCTTCTTCCCAAGATGGCCTCCTGATTGGCTCGTCAGTGTCGTATCAACCTAATCATCCATGACACCTCCGACACTTCATGTTACCCTTACTTACAAGTTTAATCCGCTACATGGACGAAGCCATTACCGTACAGCGCTAGACGTCTCACAACAGTTCCCCTCGAAGTCCGTGATTCTGCCGAGCGTTGCGTACTAGACGGTGATGACCCAGCTCCTCCTAGACCAGGTTGCCAAGCACATGCTTAACAAGATCCAACGCCGGGTACCAATCGTGATGTTTCGTAGGAGTCAGCTTCTATCGCGTCATGATGCACTGGAATAGCGCAAGAGTCGAGAGAGGGCTGGTGCATGTACCCTGACGAGCGGTGATGTTCTTGTCGAGCATGGTGTAGTATAACCTCAGAGTCAGACAAGGAAGTGATGCTCAGGGGGTCGTACAAGGCACCGTCAAACTCGATTCGTGGCCTCCACGTACAACCCGTACGGCAATTCTGCTCTATCGAGTGCTCAGTCGGATCGATCTGTCTCAAACAGCTTTTCATGGTTCACAGAAAGCAGCGGCAAGCACTCAGCAACGGCACAGTGACGCGACAGTCATCAATCATCAATAAATTAACCGCTAATTATGCTTCATCATGACACGTTCAACGGATCTTCACCAGAGCCTTGCCGTAGTTCTTGCCCTCAAACAGCTCGACAAAGCCCTCGGCAGCCTTGTCGATGCCGTCGGTGACGTGGAGCTTGGCCTGGATGGAGCCGTCGGCGAACCAGGCCTGCATCTTCTCCTGGTGCTCCTTGGCGTAGTCAGGACCGAAGCCAGGCTTGCCGACGAGGAAGCCCTGCATGGTGGCGCCGGTGCGGATGAGGTGCATCAGGCCGCGGACGCCGGTCTGCTTCTCGCGGGGGGTGTTGTAGCTCTCGATCTGGCTGGTCAGTATTTGTCTTGGAAAGAAGCGGATGTGAACTCACCATCCCGCACACGGGAATGCGACCATTCTCGTTGATGTTCTCGAGGGCGGCCTCGAGGTGGCTGCCGCCGACGTTCTCAAAGTAAATGTCGATGCCGTTGGGGGCGAGCCTCTTGAGGGCGTCAAAGGGCGACTCCTTCTTGTAGTTGAAGCCGCCGTCGTAGCCGAGCTGCTTGATGAACTCGAGCTTCTCGTCCGAGCCGACGGAGCCGATGACGGTCAGACCCTCGCGCTTGGCGATCTGGCCAACGACCTGGCCGACGGCACCCGCCGCGGAGCTGACAAAGATGGTCTCGCCCTTTTGGGGCTTGCCGATCTTGTGCAGGCCGGACCAGGCCGTGAGGCCGGGCATGCCCAGGGGCCCGAGGAAGAGGCCGAGGTCGAGGTTGTGGGGGTTCTGCACCTTGCGCACGCTCGCAGCCTTGGGGTCCTCGATGCGCGCGTACTCGGCAATGGGCACAAAGGCGATGACCAGGTCGCCCTCGGCAAACTCGGCGCTGTCGCTCTTGATGACCTTGCCCACAACCGAGTTGGCCATGGGTCCGTCAATCTCAAAGGCCGGGGCGTACGACTTGACGCTCGGGTCGCGCATGCGGCCGCGCATGTAGGGGTCGAAGGAGGCGTACTGGTTCTCGAGCACGAGACCGCCTTTGGGCGCCGTCTCAATGTCTGTCTCGCGCGCCTCGACGGCGAGATGCTCGCCCGGCACCGGCATGCCGGTGGGGAGCTTCTTGTAGATGAGGGTCTTGTTGGGGGCCATTGTGTGTTGTTGTGGTGGTGTTGAGAATGTGCCAGGCAGGAGCAGAGCTGGCCAGTTCAAGCCGTGTCTTATATGAAAGACAGCTCCGAAAGTCCGGAGCTGTGCTGCCAGTCATGGACGCGGTCCGGATCAGTCGACAGCGTGAATTGACTTTCTCAGGGCTTGCGCCATGACATCAAGCCGCTGCCTCGGCTAGGGCGTCCGGGCGCCCAGGGCTCAGGCGTCCCACTTGCCGCCATGCCAGTGGCGGCATGACCTCATTGCGATGCGAGAGACGTTTGATTTGACTTTGACGTGCTCGGATCTGGCCTGGGAAGGGTGGTAGATGTGTCGATTGGCTTTGATGTCGAGGCCCAGCGACATCTAACCACAAAGACCATCCGGGTTCGTTTACTTGGTCGTCCATCGATCATTCACATTGGATGCTGACTGCATTCTCCGTACGCTTTGCTTAGTTAGCCCCGCGCCAATTGACTGGAACCAGGCACTGATGCGTGGTTCGTACGCAATGCTACACAATGGGGGCCTCGGGAGCGTCGCAGACTGTTCTGTTTGTAAGCATCTCTGCAGACTCTTCAGCGAAGCCAGAAGAACCATTATGGAAGCAGCTTGAGCGCCGACAGAATCTGCTCGAGGCGACGTCTTGGCAGAGACCACGGCGCAACCATGGAGCCGAGGACCCTCACCACCCTCCGAAAGTCCGGCAGCTGCAGCCGGCGCTATCCTCAATCTGTTTAGCAGCCCCGAACGGTCAGTGCCGAGTCCGTAAGCCTCGGCCCTCTGTGATCTCGTTCACGGAGTAATTACACACAGACACTGGCTCTGTCGACGACTGGACGCCGCACGGTTCCGGGTAGGCGAAGAGGATGAGGTGTACATGATCCCCCTTCATGTCCATCATCCTGGCCGACGAAACGGATGCGCCTCCGTGTTCAGGACCCATTCGTCCAAGCTCAAGGTATCCGGCGTCGAGAAGATAAGATAGAAATACTTGAGCGTCTCGGCCACCCAGAAACTCTGCACGCGGTCAGTCTTACTCCGCACCATCGCACTAGCACTTACATCCATCGTGTCCAATTTCTCCGTCACGCCATCATCCATGACATTCGCGATCCCCGAGTATGCCAGCTTGGTCTCCGTGGACCCGACCATGCCCAGGAACATCTCCCACGCGAGATCGCGCAGGTCCTCGTGGCCCGTCATGCGGTACAGCAGAAAGATGCTCTCGATAGCCTCTGGTCGCAGCAGATACCGAGGATCCTTGATCTGCCGCCAGCCCTTGGGCGTTTCCCGGTTCGTGCGATGCCTCCATCTCTCCTCATCCCATTCGCAGACCTCCAGAGACGGACACCCGTAGAAACCAAACATCTCGGGCATCACACCGGTGGGGAACTGCGAATAAGCCCATCCACAACTCCGCGCGAGACGCTCGCCGAGCTCAACATCTCCCTGATCCTCAAATAGCTTGCCTCCCAGGCCAAACATGCCCCCGGCAAAACATGCCAGATGCTGGCTCTGGTACTCGCGCGTGACCCCAGGGCTGAACTCGTGCGCTTGAGCATTGCCAAGCAACAAGATGTCATCCTTGTCTGGCAGCATGGGCCGGAACAGTAGGGTTTGCTGGATCTGTTTGCTGGCCTGCGTATACATCATCTCGAACCTCTCGTCCACTCCACCGAGAAGCGCGTGTATCTTGGGCAGGTACTCGTACAGCGAGTCGGCACCAGTCCCGATGCTGTAAAAATGGCTGGTGCTCGCGCGTTCGTTCCGAAAGTCCATCTCGACTGGCCACAGACCAGGTAGAGACGTGTCGCGCTGCGTCCTCGCGAGGAACTGTGTCACGCGATCCGCGGCGGAGAAGTACTTTGCGTCGCCTGTCAGTTGCGACAGCCTCGTGAACTCGAGACACATGGACGCTGGCGCCGCAGGGGCGTCGTTTTCACCAGCACGTTGCGTACCCGTCAGCGCCTCCTCAAAGGTGAACCAAAACCCGGGCAAACCGTTGGGGGTGTCGAACGCCATGTAGAGCATGTCGCCAAGTTCTACGGCTTTCCCTAACAAGTCTGCGCGCCCGCTGAGATCGTGCGCCGACAGCAGTCCGCCCAGATGCCGGATGTTCGTCTCAAAGAGATTGATGGCATCTGCGGTCGTGTTCCGAAAATCAATGGCCACGATGAAATCTGCAGCGTTGTGGAATTCGTCCTTCATGCCCATAATCCAGAGCGTGTCGAGCGCGTCCACCATGGTCGCGGCCCACCCTCCATACGTTTCTTTACCACCACCAGACACGGGGTTGAGCTCGTCCTGGCCCCAGGCCTCGTCCTTGTACGCATTCCAACTCCGCTCAAAGACTCTTTGTACTTGGTCGCGACGTGGATCCGTCGTGGAAGGATGCTGGAACGATGCGATAGACGCTTGGACAGGGGGTATTGGTCGTCGAGGGTGACCAGTAGGGAGGGGCTTGATGGTTTCTCGGGGATAGTACTGTCGCGCTCGACTCCAATCGACTGTGTCAATGGGTGGGCGGCGGCGCACGTTGCCAGGGAAGTGGTACCAGAGGAGCAGCATGGCGAGGGCTGCGCCTGTGATGACGGTCCACCGGGGTCGTTGTCGTCTGGTAGGCGCCATGGTTCGGAGTACAATTTGGCGATGGGACATGACAGTCGCGAGGTCATTCAGGAAGACGTCGAGCTATGCGCTCGAACAACGCGCGCGGGTTGTGGGAGTGGGACATGGGGCGCGCCATCCCTGGCATGGTGGTGGTGATCCCTACCGTGCCTGTCTTACCGGCAAGGGAGGGGGGCGGACGGGACATTGTCTGGGTGTCGGCGCCCGCGATTGCACTTTGTTGGCGCATGACTGCATGTTGAGGTCGAGTTGAAGTCGTTCGAGGGTTTGGCGCCGGGACCCTGAGGCAGTGAGGCTCGTGGGGATGCTTGGCATTGCATCTCTTGGCCTTGATCTTGGCTTGTCTCACCGCGGGGCCATGCACACTTCACGCGTATTTGCGGGAAGGGGGGTATGCAGTTATCGCAGCTACTCCGCTTAGATACTTACCCTTCGATAACTGCATTACCAGGTGCGGCCACCTTCGATGATTCGATCCCTGGCCTCAGTGCTCATGAAACCTTGTGATAGCCCAGCCTTGACAGAGGTGAACATTTCGGAAGATTCATCATGGCTGCCAAAGGCCCACAGCGCCCAATCAATGACCCACTGCACCTCGGATGATAACTGTGCATCAAGAGACACCAAACGGCTGCTCCATACGGCCTGGATTGCTAGTATGACCAGGCTTGTAAAACCATCAGAATGTTATTCCATCACTACAGTCTTCTACCGCTGCCATATAATGTCTTTTTGGGCGTTTCACCCTGAGACAGGCCTGTTCACAGATTCAGGTGCATGCGGCAAGGCTGCATATGCTCTACGTCGACCAACAACCATTCAAGTTAACCCCGTCGCCCGTCTTCACGTTTCTGTCCCGTCCACCGTCCGCTGCGAAGAAACATTGAAACGTCGACCCGACAAGGCTGAGCCCCCGCCCTTGTGAAAGCGTCGCCATAATTCAGACAGAGGCATCGTCAACCACAATGCCGCCCAAGAAGAGGTTTCTTCGGATGGAGAAAGACGACCTCATCTGGGAAAAGCTTGAAGAGGACGTTGATGAGTGGAACAGGTCGATTCGTACGAACGAATTGTATCACGCGGTGGCCAATATGATCCTGAAATATACATCCAAGGATGGCCAGCCGATGCAGCTTCATACACCGGTCTGGGGTGCCTACAATAAAGTCTACCGTCTCGAATACAAAGACGGCTCCTCGGTCGTCATGAGAGTCCCCATGCAGGGTACGCCATGAGCGGTATACAGCAATACGTGGTACCACTAACAGGGACAGGAGCAGTTCAATTCCCCGAGGAGAAAATTCGATACGAGGTGGCCACGATACGGCATATTGCTACGCATACCACGATCCCTGTTCTGCATATCTACCATCATAGAACGGCGGCGGAGAACCCCACGGGTCTAGGGCCGTTTATCATCATGGACTATATCGATCACCACCAAAACATGTCGCGCGCACTTGCTGACCCTGGACGCGACATTGGTGAGCGGCCCGTCCTCGACCCTAACATCACCGAGGGGAAGCTAGAGCTTCTCTACGGCCAGATAGCCAACATCCTGCTGCAGCTGTCCACACTGAAATTCCCTCGACTCGGTTCCCTTATGGAAGAAGAGGGCGTAGGGTCTGTTTCTGTCGGAGGACGTCCCTTGATCTCGAACATGAACGACATTGTCCAACATATAAATGCACCAGAGGAGATTCTGCCATCACCATCCCAGAGCTACAGCTCCGCTCACGAGTGGTATAGCTCACTTGCGGACATGCACATGGCCCAGCTGGCGCTCCAGCACAACGATGCCGTAGAAGACGAGGAGGACGCTCGCGACAAATACGTCGCTCGCCAGCTGTTCCGCAACCTCGCCCGTGAGGGACGCCTTGCATCAGAGCCGACGAAGACGGAAGGGGACTTTCGGCTATTCTCCGAGGACCTCAGACCAGCCAACGTGCTCCTAGACGAGAACATACGGGTCGTTGGTGTGATAGACTGGGAGTTTGCGTACGCCGCGCCGGCACAATATAGCTTTGACCCGCCGTGGTGGTTGCTCATTAAGGAACCAGAGTGGACGGATAGCGGATACCACGAGTGGATGAAAGCCTATAAACCTCGACTGCAGACCTTCCTGCGGGTGCTGGAGGCAGAGGAGGCAAAGATAGCAGCGACTGACCTCGCCGACACAGTCAAGAATATCTCGCTAGACGGTACGAGGGAGACGGAACGGCCGCTGTCTCAACGTATACGGGAGAGCTAGGGGAAGCAGACGTGGCTGCTCAACTACGCGGCTAGGAAGAGCTGGGCCTTTGATTATGTCTGGTGGAAATTTCTAGATGAGCAATACTTTGGGCCAAACGAGGACCAGGACTACAAAATCCGCCTTGCGCTTCTTTCGGAGCCGCAGAGGAAGGCGATGGAGTCGTTTGTAGCGCGCAAGATGGAGGGGAGCAAGGACAGAAAGATCGTTATGTGGGAGAAGCAGGATGCGGCAGACCGTCTGGCAGAGGTTCTTATCTGAGTCTAAATGTGCTGTCAAGGATAGCCATTCTGGCCCCAGGCCACCGGTACGCTTAGAAAATGAGGCACGTGGTGATCATGCCCCCTAATTGTGTATCATGCGTTGACCGAGCAACTCGAGATCCACCAAAAACTAACGATTCAGTCCCGTTCCGTTTCTTTTCCCAAGTTCATGCGCTCAACTCCACGCGGAGTCGTGGACTTATAACATGTCCCACATATAGGCCTCATCCTGGCACACATCCCGCCCGCCTCACGATTTTACATGCCCTCGCCAGCTTCTGACGCAAGATCTCTGTGCGTCATGCCCAAGGCTGAGAACAGGGAAATCTGGACGACACGTTGTCGTGCATTGATCTATTGTCCCAAAAGATGCAGGCCAGACCATGTCTCGCGAGTGCTGCTCACGGTGGCGTTGGCACGAGAACGGCCTCGTGATGGTCAGGTCTTACCCTTCCTTCTCGACGGGGCGGAGCGTTGGTCGTTTCATACTTCCACCCGCCATTGCGCGCCGGGTCATTCGATTGGGATGTCACTTGTCGTGGAAGCGGGATGTCGTGGTGGTGAAGCGTGGGAGAGGCAGCTGTCTACATATAGCTGGGAGCCCTCTCGCAGTGATGCTTGCTGCCCTATCTAGCACCGATCATAAAGGGTAGAGAGCGATCGACTCAGCCTAGCCTGCAGTCGCTGTCCATATTCTGCAAACACCATATTGCGTGACGATCAACCTCTTCTTCAGATCAACCATGGCCTTTCAACCACCTTTCAGCTCCTCGCCCATAGACGAGGTCCCTCCTAGGGCTGAGGACATGCACCCATCAGACCACCACAGGTCGTCCGACTCGGACACGCCCGTGGCGCCTATCCCTCTGCGCCCATCTACCTCCTCGCGCCCAGCGTCCCGCATGGTGACAGCAACGCCCAGCAAGACCCCCATAGTCAACAACCGCCCCTCGGTCGAGATCGACCCCCAAGCGCCAGCAGGCGGAGGCTCAGCCTCCCGATCTCAAAAGCCAGCCCGCTGCAGGGGCGACGGCGACTACGAGCATCCTGGCTACTGGTACGATGGCCCGCCTACCGCTCGCGACTACGATCGCTACTGGCGGGGGGAGTACTTCCCCTACCCTGATCGATACACCTCCAATCCCCGACGATCGTATCGACCTCCCCCGCCCTCGTGGCACAGGTACCAGAACTCCAAACGCATGGCGTACGCGGGGGACTCGGACGACGACATGCCCCCATACGACGAGCGCAGAGTGTCGCGCGACATGGTTGACGCTCGTCGTCGCGCACCAGGTGACGAGGAAGCGGCGCTGCCCAATCCCGCGTCCCGTCCGCTCCTGGAAAACATGCAGCCCGGCCACAGAGGCTCCTGGATGGCGAGCAACATGATGATGAGTGGCCGGCCAGACCTCGCCTGGGAGAACATGACGCGTCGCGAAAAGGCACAGGTGATGCGCCTCCCACTGACCGAGTGGATGAACAGCTCCGTCAAGAACCACTTTGTCGCCTCCCTGGGCGAAGTCGTCGGGACCACCATGTTTCTCTTCTTCGCCTTTGCTGGCACGCAAGTGGCCAACATTGGCTCCAACTCGGACGGCGAGAACACGACGACGGGCGAGGCCACGGGGTTCAACGTCGCCACGCTGCTGTACATCTCCCTCAGCTTCGGCTTCTCGCTCATGGTCAACGTGTGGATCTTCTTCCGCATCTCGGGGGGCCTGTTCAACCCAGCCGTCACGCTCGGCATGATCCTCGTCCGCGCCATCAGCATCGCGCGGGGCGTCTGCCTGCTCGTGTCACAGATGGCGGGTGCGATACTCGCCTCTCGGCCATCGTGCGCCACCTCTTCCCCGAGTCGTTCAACGTGCGCACCACGCTGGGCGGCGGCGCGTCACTTGTGCAGGGCGTTTTTATAGAGGCCATCCTGACGGCCGAGCTGGTGTTTACCATTTTCATGCTGGCCAAGGAGAAGCACAAGGCGACGTTTATCGCGCCTGTGGGGATTGGGCTGGCGCTGTTCATCTCGGAGCTGGTCGGTGTGCAGTTCACGGGCGGGTCCTTGAATCCGGCGAGGAGTTTCGGGCCGTGTGTCGTGACCGGGCAATTCGACCCTGAGCACTGGATATACTGTGCGTCGTCTTCTTGTGCGTTGTGGGATCGTCTCGCTAACTGTTTGGAAATAGGGGTCGGGCCGTTTGTGGGTTCCATTCTGGCCGTGCTCTTTTACAGATTTATCAAGACACTCGAGTATGAGGTGAGTCAATGTGTCTTTGTCATGCGAGCGAGACAGACTGACGCGAAAAAGATGGCGAATCCGGGCGCGGATGGTGATGATGCGAATGACCCGACGAAGAACCCAGAAAAGATGGCAGAGATTCAGGAGCCCAGAGCTCCTTCGTTCCGCAGCTGATGGGGTGGAATCTGCGACTCGCAGTGGGATTGGGTACTCAAGAATACAGATGCAATGCGACGAGACCATGACAGAGAGGTAGGACTGTATGTATAAAGACCAAAACAGTGTGAATGACAGAACAAGGCAAACAAGCCTGTCAAGTTTGCATCGCTTCGACACTATGCGTGACATGAGTGCCATCCAGGCGTACCATTCAAGCTACCGGCTATCAGAGGACGCCAGTCTCCTTGGCCAGAGCGAGCATCTGCTGGGCAACGTCGTCGACGTCCTTGGGCATAATGGGCAAGCGGTGGCCGCCATCCCACTCGATGCTCCGCGCCGTACCATCCTTGCAGTAGTCGTCCGCCATCTTGCGGTGCATGTCCATGGCCGGGTCCTGGAGTCCGTGGACGTGCAGGGTCGGTATGCTCAGCGCGTGCTCGCCCTGGTTGTTGGGCGCCCAGTCGGAGAACTCGGTGCTCATCTGCCCAATGTCCGCTGTGTGCGGCACATGTGGCATTTTGCCCTCGGGATCCAGCACTACAATAGGTGCCCTGCCGGCCATGATGACGCCAAACTTGAACGGACCCTCGCCGCCCGGCACCTTCTCCTGGGCCCAGAGTACGCTCGCCGCGATCTTGGCGCCCTGTGAGAAGCCCAGAATGGCAACCCACTCACCTCGTCCCTCGTCCTCGCGCATCGCCTTCTTGAGCTCGTTCAGCACCTTGTTGGCTGCGTCCTCGTCCTGCTGCTGGTCGCCATCCCACCGGAGCCAGCGATAGAACGGGCCATGGTCTCCAAAGTACGGCACAATAGCGGGATGGGGCTTGCTGAGAAAGGGCGCGTTCACAAAGACAAAGCGGAACGTGTTCTCGAGGCGCTTGATGATGCCGCGACACTGCAGCATGAAGATGTCTGCGCTCGTGCCACCGCCATGAAGGCACAGTATACGTGGCAGGGCGAGTGAGGCGTCGGACTTTGTGATCTGCGTCATGGTTCCAGGCAGAAATGCGCAACGCAGTTGAGGACTCGGCGAAAAGAGTGTGAGAGGCCGATGGGGTGGGTGATCGGCGTGCCCAGATCAGCAGTTGACGCGTAACGATGAGTAAGGCCAGGAGGTGCGTGAAAGACAGAATGGTAACAAACGATGCGTAGATGGGCGCAAGGGGCGGTTTATTTCTCACGAGGTGCTGGAGCTGGCTGAGGAATGATCTTCAAGATTCGGAGTAATCTCAGGGTCACATTCTCCTGCTTATCGATACGCGATAAGAAGACTATCTTCGGTGCGTTTTAATCGGTGCCCTTTGGATATTGAGGACATTTAAGACACCCTCACAAGCCAAAGAACCTCATGCTCATACGGTCATACCCCGCCCTCATTCGTGTCGCTGAATTAGATCCCACAGGTTCCCATACAGATCCTCAAAGACAGCCACAGTTCCGTAGCTCTCCTTGATGGGTGGCCTGGCCCATTGGACACCAGCCTCTGTGAAGCGAGCATGGTCGCGCTCAAAGTCATCTGTCTCCAGAAACAGAAATACCCTGCCGCCCGTTTGGTCGCCAATGGTTGCGGCTTGCTCCGGCGTCGACGCCCGGGCGAGTAAAATCGTCGCAGCGTTGGCAGGGGCGCCTGGTGGTCGAATCGTCACCCAGCGCTTCTGTTGGGCTGGAACGGGCCTGTCTTCCACGAGGGTGAAGCCGAGCTTGTCAACGTAAAAGGCCAAGGCTTCGTCGTAGTCGCGGACGACTAGCGACACATGGGCGATGTGCGGCATCGTCTTGGTGAGACAGATGGAGGTTGATCTCTTACTTTGACATCCAAGCCGTATTTGTCAGGCTGCATGTGAGATCCTCGACCTTTCAATTGCAACAAGCACGTAGTTCAGTGACTCAAGGTGAACCTGGACTCTGGAGTTCGACAGTCATCCAGCTTGCGCCTTACCTAAAGAGGAAATCCAGGGTCTTCAGGCCTCAGGCCCCAGAGGAGGCCCTGGCCCAAGGGGATCACTCAGAGACATGACCTCATCCGTCAGACGACGGAGAACACGCACACACAAACACGCAAATGCACACGCACTGCCGATAAAGCTTCGACTGCCGACGCGATCTACACCGCACAGACAGCGCAATTCCAGCTCCTTGGTCAGTTCCACGGTCAGGGGTAGCCGCTGATGCAGTCGTGCAGCGCCAGGATGCGCAGAAGGACGGCAAGCCCGCAGTCAATCACCATGTCTTCTCACCTCGTATATATCCCTTTCATCCAGGCTCTGCGCCTCGAGCCTGCGTGATGATGCCCTTTCCATTCGATTCACCTCATTCTACTATTCTATCAACATCGTGAAAGGGCTGGCCCCGTCACCATGTCTTCTTCACCTGCCAACCTCAGTCCCGGAACCTCACCACCGCCATGCGTGGTTGTCGATGGCTTCAGACCACCAGAGCCGTCGTGGACTCCTCCACCACCCCCATCAGCTACCACAGCAGCAAGTACAAAGGGAAAGGGAGCGTGGAGGCCCTCAGGAGTGTCACCCCCAGCTATCGCACCGCCGTCACCTCCCACAGATGGTGATGATGATGACGTCCCCCGGCGGACACCAAGCCCTCCATCTCCAGTTATGAGAGCCGAAACACCGACGCGCAGGAGCAACGAGACTATTCCCATGCAAATTTTCAATAATCCAGACGCGCACCGCGGTCGGAGAAGCCACGACTTGCCAGTCAGACCAGCCGACGCGCCCCCTCAGCCAACTGTTCTCCCCTCCTCCACGCAATGGGTGACGCCGCACCAAGATGACGAGATTAGGCCAGCAACACCACGGGATGCTCCCATTGTCAGAAAACCTGTGTCCAACCACCAATTCCGAAGTCGCCCACGGGCGCAGTCGGCATCCCAGGCATTACAACCGACCCCCGGGAACCGCGACAGTCTCCCCACATTCGCGCAGTCACAGGCTGACTACGGTCACGCCAACCCTCTCCATGCTCACCCAGTGCCTGAAGTCAGAAGCCACGCGCCTTCAGAGAAGTTGCCCATTGACCAGCTTCTGTATCAGGATCACCCAGATGCGTCATTCGCACCGCCTGCTCCTGTGCCGCCACCGCCTCCAGCTCCAGCACCAGTAGCCCCGACCACATATCTCCCCACCCCTCAGCCGGAACCATCGAGGTCGTCATCAAGTCTTGATCTGTCCCGTTCGACTTCCACCGACAGCCCCTCTTCAGCTGGGTCCCCGGCCAAAGGCAAGTGGTTCGCCAGCCTGGGACAGAAAACATCATCAGGATTCAACAATCTGGCCCAGAAGTTTGGAGGAACCGGCTTCGTCCCCGGTACGCTCGAAAAGGAGTGCGACAAGGCGGCCCTCATCCTCAAGACGTTTTGCAAGGAAGGTGTCTACGCAGACCCCGTCAAGGTGACCGACTCAGCAGCCACGCCGCCAATGGAGGGCCAGCTTACGACAGCCTCGACGCCGAAGCGACCACAGGCCATGATGACCATCCCCACGAGAATCATCAACGAGGCCGTCGGGCTTGCCATCTTCACCACCTTCCGCGCCGGCCTCGAGTTCAAGTTCGCATCAGGGCCGGGTATCCTCGTGGCGCGACTACACGACGGATCATGGAGTCCCCCCTCTGCGATCCAGCTCCATTCGTTTGGGGGCGGCTTTGTAGCCGGCATGGACATATTCGATTCTGTGTGCGTCATCAATACCCAGGAAGCCCTCGCCGACTTTATGACCAAGCGAGTCAGCATTGGCGGCAACGTCGCCGCCGTGGCTGGGCCGTGGGGTGTCGGGCGCGCGGTCGACTGGGCCACCAAGGTGGACAATAAGGGCAAAGGCAAGGACACAGCCTCGCCGGATGACTCCACGACTTTCTTGAACAGCCCTCCTGCTCTCCCGACCCTCGAGGTCAACGGATCCCGCGTTAAGATTGACAAGGAGATCCGTGGCAAAGGCGGGGCTCAACCCAAGAAGTTCCAGCCCATCTTCTCCTATATCAAGTCACGGGGCTTCTATGCAGGCGTAGGGTACGATGGCACGGTCATCCAGGAGCGCAAATCAGCCAACGCGGCGTTCTATGGCAAGGTGGTGACGTGCGAAGAGATCCTACGCGGACAGGTGCCGCCCCCGGAGGACAATGCTGCGCTGCAGAACCTGTGCGACGTGCTCAAGGGTGCCGATGGTGGTCATGGCAGGAGCACGTCCATTGATGCCACGATCTCGCCTCCGATCATCGAGATAGCGGAGCAACAGCCGAGTATCATGGTGTCGGGCGACGGAGGATCGTCGTCGTCGTCAGATGGGGAGTCGACACCGTTGCCCCCCGCATATCCTGTTGATTCTCTGCATCCAGCTGAGGCGTATGCACCGGAGAAGTTTGGTCGTATATAGGGAGAGATGGCATTGGGAAAAGGAAAGGGGCCGGGCGTCTGTATCGTTCGGTGTTTTTGCTTTTACAGGCGTATTCTTGGGAATTCTTGTCGGTTCATCGTGTTCTAGCGCTGATTCCTTGATTTGATCTTCGTTGTGTTTGGAGCCAAGAATAGACAACTACCGCCAGCATAGAATGCATGCCTGTCGCGAGTTCGTGGGTCACAGTCATATGCAAGGGGTTCTTCCACGGTTCTATGCGGTGTCTTACACAAGTGTATCATCCAACGAAGTGTAGTACAGCTGCCGCCCAATTTGATCGGCCATCGTCACGTCGAGTCAAAAGCACCAAGACAGCACGTTGTAAGTTACGTATGGCCTGATACGGATTGCAGGGAGTCGATCATTCGGTGTCCACCGCAGAGAGCACGTCATCAATCTGGTGGGTGCGCGGCTGAAAGTGATCCGCAACAAACACAAGTCTGCGGACCATCTCGCCAGCTGCTGGACAGCCAGCCGGCTGCGAGACGTGGACTGGGCGAGTTGGCGAGGGAGCGACAAGAGTGAGACAGAAAAGGTCAAGTATTGTATCACGTCTCGTCCTCAATTCTGTCCTTGAGCTGTGCTCTACATCGGTACTCACGGCAGCAGCTGTACGCGCGTCTTCCCCAGGTATATGCAACAGTGTCTCCGATTCTGATGTGAACAGGGGAGCCACGGCCGGTTGATGGTTTGGTCTCTGGTCTGTGAATAGTATCAGTGGCAGTGCAGTCATCGCTGTCTCATAACTGCTCTATAGTACGTACGTATAGTGACACGCGGCCGTGATGAGAAGCTCTTACCATCGATGGAAAACTTTGATCGCCAGCACCAGGTCCAATCAATCTTCCAAGGTGCCAAGTGCGGCATTCGGCAGTGGGGGAAAAGCTTGTCAGGACTGGACACAAAGGCTGTAAGACACGGAGCGATGCGGGTGTCGGAGCTAGTGCTGGCCGCAGCCCGCACCTGTTTCAGGTTTTCGCTGCTGCAGCAGGTCGATAAGAATTGAGAAGTTGAGAACCCAGAAACCATTTCCAGGTGACGAATCAACGTCCCTGCCGGCGCGGTCAATCGGCGCTTGGGTGATGCAAATCACGGAAGTGGAGCGACCGACCAGCTCCAGTCAGGAGTTGTATCCACTGATTGTCGAACTGCGTGGTCCAGTGAAGCCACGGCCAAAGTCGAGCATGCACTGTGTAGACTGGATGCGGCAGTTCAACAATGCGGAGGGGGCATGAATGACTGGATCTTTGAAGCGCACAGCAGTAGTGCCTAGGTCCAGTCGCTGTTGAATGTTCACCACCGATAGGAACTGGTGGTGCCAAGTGGCCTGACTGAATAGCAGCACCTTGAGGAGCAAGACTGGTCATTATGGCCCGTCCAGAAGGCAGGCGCCAGGCACTGTGCCTTCGTCAATCGCAGCAGGCGGCCGGGCCACAACCCTGCTGGCTGCCCCACCACAGATTGCAGCAGCTCCAGCCTCCAGTCGAGACCAGCCACTGGCAGTGTGCACTGCACCCACTGCACCGTGGTCGATGCAGCAGTTCGACCCCTGGCTAGGACTGCACTTGCCCCAGTCGGGTAAGGGCCATCGCAACCATCAACTTGGCCCTTTCTGATATTCTCTTCCAGCTTCCTCCTGTCCTCTCCTCAACACTCATGTCATTCATTCTGTAGCAGACGCTCACCGCGCCCAACATTGGCATTTCCTCCCTCGTCTCGCAACTTTTGGCTATCTCTTCCCCTTCTTTCGTTCTCTCCTGCCACCGAAATTGCCGATTCGTCTTGTCCCCCCCGTCGTACGGGACCCGGCTTCGAGCCTTCGACGAGCTCGCACAACATTCAATTGTGCTTATCCGGGTATTGCGAGGCAAACCTTGGACCTTCAGACCTGCCAACTCTCTTTGACCTTTTCGCCGGCCTCCAAAAGAACACTTTCGTCGTCTCGCGCTCTTCCTCGCCCTGTTGCGAACGCCCAACAATTGGCCTCTCGACGTTCACCCACACACCAAGGCGCTGTGGACCACCCTGGCGGCTGGTCACTGTCTCACTCGGCCCATCCGACCCCGCTGGCGGCTTACAATATGATTATGGGAGCGAAGATACCGGGCACCACCAAGGTTGTCACCATGCGAAACTCGTGCACCAGGGCCCTTGTGGCGTCTGTCGCCTTTCTCATCATCCTGATCTTCATGCTCCGCAACGAGCAGTCTATCGATGTTCGATCACAGATTCTACGGCAATCCGGCGTCAAGTCGGCCGGTGCCGTCCCAGAGCAGCAGCCTCTCGACCAGTCGACGCCAATGCCACCGCCGCAAGATCCAGCCTTGTCCGAATTCGAGCCCCAGAGCGACCACGTGCCCAATTGCGACATCGACATGGACCACCTGCGAGAGGTCAAGGAGCGCCACCAGCTCGAGGACAAGTTTCAGTACATGAAGCGATACGTCAAGTTTACGCGCAAGGACGGACTCGAGCGCAAGTCAATGACCCGCCTCCACGATCAGAACCTCCTGCCCAACAAGTTCAAGACCGTCGAGCTCGGCCAACACTACGGCCAGCAGGGATGCGCAGAACCTCTACTGGTTGACGTACCTCGCTCGGGCCTTCCCTCGACCGTCAATGCCTCCGACTTTACATTCGGCATTTCCACCACCTACGGCCGGTTCATGGACCCCGAGACAACATCCATCAACGAGTGGATCTTCTGGCTGACCGACAGCCGCGGAAACTCGAATGGTGGCAAGCTGCTGCTCATGCTGCTAGACGCCAGTGACGAGGAGCTGCAGGAGGTAGCCAACCTGCTCGGCGACGTGGGTATCGACGTGGACGTCTATCACAGCGATTCATCCGTGGAGATGGCTGTCCGCTACCTCAACCTGGTGCCCACGCTGTACACACACCGTGATACGCCCAACAAGAAGTGGCTGGTCACATGCGACGACGACACCTTCTTCCCCAGCATGCACGGCCTGATCGAGGAGCTGGGGAAACACGACCACACGCGGCCCAAGTACATTGGTACCTTATCGGAGGATGTGGGCGCGCTGGACCGCCACGGCTCCCAGGCCTTTGGAGGCGCCGGTGTCTTCCTCTCCGTCCCCATGGCGCAGCGCATCACGGAGCTCTACGCCACTTGCGCCTCTCCAGAGAAGATCCTCGAGTCTGACTCTGGATGGGGCCCCCAGGGTGACATTATCCTGCGCAAGTGCATCTACGAAAATACGGACACACGCCTGACGTCTGTCTGGAACCTCTGGCAGCTCGACTTCTACGGCGACCCCAGCGGCTTCTACGAATGGGGCATCAAGCCCCTGTCTCTGCACCACTACCGTGGCGGAGGCTGGCACTGGGCGAAGCCGGGGCAGTTCACCAAGATTGCCCACACGTGTGGAGAAGACTGCTCCCTGCAGCGCTTCCAGACCAGCGACGACTGGGTCATCTCTGGATACTCGATCGCGCACTATCCCGAAGGTATCGACTGGGACTATTACCAGCAGGAGGGCACGCTATGGGCTGCCCCCGAGAACAAGGGTTGGAACCTCGACTTTGTTTTTGGCCCGCAACGACCGAGCCTGCACAGGACAGGCAAGAAGATTGCCTGGGAGCTCAAGGAATCCGAGGTCCGGTCCGATTCGTCCGTGCTGCAGACGTATGTGCGCAAAAAGGACGACGAACGCTGGGTCCAGCAGGACGGGCAGCCCATGAGCAACATTGACGGTGTCATTGAGCTTGTTTGGATCCCATCGTGATGGGGTACTCTGTACAAGCCTCACCTATTTACCAAGGCCCTTGCTTGGGGTCATCATCGACAGGCACCATACTGGCCTGCATTGCGAGCGACACATCATGTTGATTTCTGGAAATATCGGCGTTCCGGTGGTGAAAGGCCTCTGGTCGTCTTGTCATAGAGGACAAGCACAGGGGTCATTACGTTGTCATTGCGCAGCCGACCGCGCCGTTCTCGTGCGGACGTACGTTGCGAAGTTCTGTCTGGGAGGCGTTGTTTTCATCTTTCTCGTCAGCATTTACGTCGGCTCATGCTATGTAATCAACCGATTGTGGCCTTCGCCGGTTTTTTGTTTTTTTTTCATTCTTCGTCAGTATCGAATACTTGCAACGGCCGGACCTGTTATTGTGTTTCTGCCAGGAATGTTGTCAGCTCACCGACAGTGGAAAGGTCGGTAAGCGAGGATTAGCGAGAAGGGTGTGGCGTCGGGCATAATCACTTGTCGACATCTTTTGTATGAAGAACTAGAAGCGAGGCCTCGGCAGACATGAGCGCGTGCCATGTGTACAGGCACATAGAGCGGTATAGCAGCGGTATATATCCATCAACATGTGTTTGCCTCTGGAACAGATTCTGGGGAGAGCGTTGGCGTGACTGACTGACTGTGAAGGTGTCTCAGACATTCGGGCGGCAGATGGGTGAGACACCGGACTACCTCGAGTCGTCCCGCAGTTTTCCTCAAAGGGTAGCATGGAAATGAAAGACAAGGCAACGAAACTTGAGTCAAAAGTAACAAACAAGGAAATCGCGGATCTTGTAAGACACGTTGGAGTTACTCCGAGGTTACTTGAGGTCATGGTACAGGGTAGGTCTCTGCCCGCTTAGTCATGCAGCCACCCCTCCAACCCCCATTTGACCCTGTTTTGGTGATGACCTCATTTCGTGATGCCCCCATCTCGACCTCATCAACAAGATCAATCCATCTCAGCTGTCCAAAGCGCAGGCGCAGGCCGCCAAGCCGCCCTGATGACTTCGTAAGAGAGGCACAGATCCTCTTTCAGATCCCCAGCTAACAAGCGCAGCAACATGCTTTCCTTGCCCTTTCGCAAGGGCACCCACATCTCCCTTGCCTCTGTCATTAGGCAGTACATTAACGAAAAGTACGACCAACACCCGGACATGTTCAAGCGTGACCTCGAAGTCATCGATGATCTTCGACAACAGGCCGTCAACGTTCACGAGCCCCATGCGAGCGGTGTCGCCAAGTTGACGCAGTATGCGGCCCAGCTCGTCTGGATCGGGGGGAAATTCCCCATCGATATTGGTGCCGAATTCACGTGGTATCCGGCGTTGGGATATAATATCGAGCGACCGCTTGTGCGTAATAATCTCAGATTCGAGCTCATGAACGTCCTCTTCAACCTTGCGGCGCTGTATGCGCAACTCGCCCTGAACACCCCGCGGGGCAACACGGAAGGACTGAAGACGGCGGCAAACTACTTCTCCCAGGCAGCCGGGGTCCTATCGCACATACAGTCGGTGGTGCTTCCCGAGCTCCGCATGTCAGACCCCCCGGAGGACATGGACGCCAACACCCTCGAGTCCCTGACCCAGCTCATGCTCGCGCAGAGTCAAGAGTGCTTCTGGCAAAAGGCTGTGCTGGACGGGTACAGGGATGCTTCGATTGCGAAACTCGCCTCGCGGGTGTCGGACTTGTACATTCAGGCGAGCGAGGCAGCTATCAAGAGCGACGCGGTGAGCAGTGCGTGGATACATCACATGTCGGCCAAGCACCACCACTTTGCGGCGGCTGCGCAGTACCGCGCGGCGTGCGACTGTCTGGAGAAGAGCCGATATGGCGAGGAGGTCGCCCGCTTGACCGACGCCGTAGCCTGCGTGAACGAGGGGTTGAGGGAAGCACGCGGCGGGTTTCTTGGCAAGACGGTGGTCGATGATCTCAATGGCTTGAAGAAGAAGGTCGAGGCAGATTTGAAGCGGGCCGAGAAGGACAATGATATGATCTACCTGAGTAGGTGTCCGAGCCTTTGGGCGAGAGAATCACTCACTAACATGTTGCAGATCCCGTGCCGCCAAAATCAGACCTCAAGATCCTCGAGCGCGCCAACATGGCCATCGCGCGGGTTCCTCCCCAGGTGGCCGATCCGTACAAGTTCTTTGGCGACCATGCCGAATTTGGCCCCGCGCTGTTCTCGCGACTGGTCCCCTTCTCGGTGCATGTAGCCATCTCGATCTACGAGGAGCGGCGCGATCGCATGGTGAACCAAGAGATCATACAGCGACTCGAGAATCTCACCGAGAAGATCCACACTCTGTTTGAACAACTTGGTCTCCCGGGATCGCTGCAAGCTGTTGAGAAGCCGATGGGACTGCCTCAATCGCTGGTGCAGCATGCCGAGGACATTCGACAGGCAGACGCCGTTGAGCGTGTGCGCCGGAGCTTTGCTGACATTGATAAGCTCAGATCGGCAGATATGATGATTTTTGAAGAAGGAAAGGCTGCAATAGCCGCCGAGGAAGAGGAAGACCAGCGCCTACGCGCAAAGTACGGCACGGATCGATGGGCGCGCCCCGACTCGCTTAGCGACCCAAGAGGGTCGGAGTTGAGGAGGGTGGCCGGGGAGATTGAGGGGTACCTCAACAGCAGTATCAGCAGTGATGGAATCGTCAAGGAGAAATTCGCTGGCATCGAGGGCTTGCTGGGTGTGCTCAGTGGTTCGGATCGTGTGCTGATGGACTTTGTGCCGTCGTCTAGACGGCCAGAGTCGTCGGACGAGATTAAATTGGCGGTTGGCAAACTACGCAGCGCTTATAGTGACATTCTGCGACTTGAGAGCAGGAGGCGGAAGAAGGTCGAGACGCTGCGCGACAACGCCCGCCGCGACGATATCAAGCCTGACATCCTCAAGGAGGCGGCCCGTCTGGAGCGCACGTATACTCAGACCGCGCTGGTGCCGGCGCATTTCGAGGACTTTTTCGATCAGCGCCTCGACAAGCTCTACGAGCCCGAAATACAGGCCATCGACAAGGAAGAAGAGGAGCAGGAGAAGGCGCTGAGTGCCGTAGAGCGCGCGAACCGCGAGTTCGAGTCGCAAAAGAGGCAGCGCAGCAACCAGGGCACGAGGGAACGGGAGGCCGCCCTCCAGAAGCTGGAGAATGCCTATGTCAGGTACAAGGAGGTCATCAACAACCTTGAGACGGCGCGTAAGTTCTACAATGATCTCAATAAGATTGTGGGCCAGGGGTTCCGCGACCAAGTGAAGAAATGGGTTGCCGACCGGCACATGGAGGCGAGGGCACTTGAGGAGTGAGTGTTTCCGATTAGGTTGCGTGAGGGAATCGACGCTGACAAAAGTCTAGGGACATTAACATGCCGCCGCTGTCCAACCTGGCGATCGGACAGCAGCCGATGCAGAGCCCTCCTGCGGCCGAGTCGCCCTTTTATGCCGCCCAGTCGCCGCCGACGCAGTCGAATCAACAAGCCTCTCACATACAGTCATGGGCGTCACCCCAGGCGGCGCACCCTGCGGCCTCGGGAGCACATATGCAGCAGCCCAAACCTGTCGCGCCACAGACATGGAATCCTGGCATGGGCATGAAGTTTGGACAGGGCGCACCGGCGCCTTTCCCGTCGGCGCAGGGCCAGCAGCAGGCTCAACAACAACAGCCGCAGCAGCAACCTCCTCCTCCTCCTCCTCCTCAGCAGCAGCAGAAGACGTGGAATCCCAGCTCTGGTATACGATTTGGTTGAAGTGTCAGCGAGGTCATGGGTATTATTCAAAAGACAAAAAGCTATGGAGGTATCTGGAGATAAGTCTATAGAAAGCGTTTGACAAAGGAAAAGATTCTCGAAAGGCACTGCATGCCCTCTGCGTTCCACAACGTATCCTACACCACCTCGACGAGCTGTCTTCAGCATCACCTCTCTCCATTCGTCTTGTGCTCCTTGCCAATGGCCTCCGTTTGGGCAGCCATCTTGCCAAACTGCCACTCTGGCAGGGTGATGCCCGTCTGGTCGTGGATGGTCTCCATCAGGGGAGGAAGCATCTGGTACACGCGCCTCGTCGCGTCAGCAGGGTCACCACCACCACCCGCACCAGAGTGACCGCCGTCGCCCGTGTTCCACACGCTGATCTTGGGCTGCATGCCCTGGACGGCGGTGCTGTTGGCGTTGGCGAGCTCGACGTAGGTACCACGGTCGATCATGAGGTACTTGATGAGGCCATCGGGTCCACCAAAGGCACCGGCCAGCTCTCTGTACGCACCGGCCATGGCGGTGAGACCCTCTGCCTTCTTGATGGTGGCGTAGGCCTCGGCGTCGGAGACGACCTTTTGAGCCTCGGCGTCCTTGGTCTTGACGTAGGCGTCTGCGTCGGCTGCGCGTGTCTCGGCCATGGCGCGCGCCTCGGCGCGCTTCTGGATGGTATAGGCTTCCGCGTCGGCCTGGCGTTGGCCGGCGGCCGCCTCAGCCTTTGCATTCTCCTCGGTCTTGACGGCGTCGGCGCGGGCGGCGGCCTCGATCTGGTAGGCATCCGCGTCGGCGCGCTGCTGAGCCGACTCCCTCTCAATGGTGGCCTTGACGACGGTGCTGGCACGCAGACGCTCCGTCTCAGCGGCGGCACGGTGCTGCTCGACATCCTTGCGCAGCTCCTCGTCCCTGACCTCCAGGGCGCGCGTGGCCTCAGCACGGGCAATGTCAACCTCCCTGTCGAGGGAGGCCTGTTGGGTCTGAAGCAGGGCCTCGGCCTTTGCGCGCTCGGCGTCGCGCTCTGTTCTCTGGACGGCGGTGCTGGCGCTGATCTTGGCGAGCTCCCGCTCCTGCTCGCCCTTGCGCTGGGCTTCGCCGACGGTACCCCTGAGCTGGGCCTCGGCGACGTCGATCCTGGCCTGGTTGGTGGCGCCCTCGTGGGCCTTGCGGGAGAGACTCTCAAAGTAGACGGAGCCAGGGGCGTCGCGGAGCTCCTTGACGTTGGCGTTGTAGATTTTGAGGCCAAACTGCTTGAGCTCCTCCTGGATGTTCTTGTAGATCTTCCTCTTGAACTCTTCGCGCTCGGTAAAGATCTCCTCCATGGTCATGCTCGAGACGAGGACGCGGGTCTCGCCCTCGATGATGCCCTTGATGATGGAGCTGACGTGCTCCTGCTGCTCGCTCTGGCCGGGCTCGCCGCCCCGGGCGCGGGACGACTTGGACGCCTTGGAGTCGGCGAGGAGCATGGCGTACTTCATGAGGGCGTCGCCCTTGTCGACGACGGCGCCTTTGGCCTCGGCGCCGCTGCCACCGCGTTGGTTGACATCGGGGCCGATGGTGAAGACGGTCGGGAGCTTAAAGTTGAGCTTCTCGTGCGTCATGGCCTGGAGGTCCATGGGGTAGTCCTGCGGTTGCACGGAGAAGCGCATGCATCGCTGGAGTGGCCAGACCCAGGCGGCCTTTGTGATGCGCACGGTCCGGATACCCATGCCTGTGATGGCGAGGTACTCGTCCGGCGCGGAGATGTGGTACGACATGGCGGCGGTTGTCGAGGCTGGACGTATAGGTCTGTTTTGTGTGTTTGTTTGTGCTGTCAAAGTCGTACGGGGGAGGACTGGGGATTTGGCTTGTCCAGTCTGGTCTTGGTGTCTGTGTCGGAAGATCCAGGGGGATGACGACCTGTTTTTATACTCGGGGACATGTTAACATTTCCACTAGTCAGGCTCATGTCGATCTGGTGTCAGCTTCAGGAGCACTGCATGCCTTGCGCCCAGCCGCCGCCTCGGGCGTGCCACAGGGCCGGCACTGCCTCGTGACCTGCTGTTGAATCTGCGTGTAAGCGGTCGTGGCGCTTGGACCCCTGGACAGGGTCTGGCGTGAACACAAAGATGTACCAGGCATCACCAATCGTTGAGTCGGGGGAAGACACATGCACGCCTGTTGCGATCCGGCCCGCCAAGGCGAGAAACCATGATATTGAGTCACCTGACAGTCTCACTTAGCGAGAGTTTACGCACGTTCGTTGAATTTGATGGGATCAATTATCCCCGGCGGCATATAGAGTCCAGGCGGTGGCGCAGTCCGTCTCGGTCTGGGGGTCTCCACATTGCGAGCAGCAACTGCGCCGTGTTAGCGGTGTAATACTACAGGGCAGAGCCCAAGATGCCAAGGGCCAAGATGCATGCGTACCTTGAGCCGCAGTGCTACTCGGGCAACTGTGCATGACAACAGCGGAATGGTCGTTGGCCGATGCCTAGCATGGAGTCATGCATACTTGTTGCCATGTATGAGTATGGAGTCTGCCTCAGCTGAGCGCGGAAATACTGAATCGCGAGTCGCGAGCATACTTGGTCATGTGATGGCGAAGGCCGTCCGGCTTCGAGTTTAATAAAGTTCCATTTCATTACGTAGCTTGAGTCTTTGAATCTGCCTGCTTAAGGTTGACCTCGCCCATCAAGACACGGTGGCTGGCTACTTATGAAAGTAGGAGGTATTGCATCTAATGGAGTACGTACCATACCCCCTATATAGATATTCGCGTAGCTGCATTAGACTCTATCATTAAATTTACTACCTTAGGAAACATTGTTTCTGATAATTACTATGCCTAACCAAAACGCTCACTGCCACCTAATAGTAATTGGTGCCGCCATTCTGCAGCCAGTTGGCACACTCCTCGCCGAGCTCTTCGCGCGCCTTGTCCAGGTACCGCTTGTTGTCCTCCTGCGAGAGAACGTCCTTCCAGCGCGAGTTGGTGCCCTTGTTGATAAAGTCCTGGGCGCCATTCTCCCAGGCCACCTCGGCCTGGGGCGGCGCCGACATCTCGGCGTGCTCCTTCATCCATGCAAAGGAGGAGTGCTCGACGGCCGCCTGGAACTTGTCCTCGGGCATGTCCGGAATCTCGAGGAACTTGGCGATGCGGCGCATGTTGCCCTCCAGGTCAGCCTTGAGGTCGTTGAAGTGGACGAGGAGCAGGTTGGGCTGGTGGCGTGCCTCCCACCAGCTGCGGATGTGGCTCCAAAAGGGCCAGCTAATCGAGATGCGGGTGTCGTCCTCGACCAGCTGGACGAACAGGTCGCGCGGGTTCTCGCTGGGCCGCTGCATGGTAGGGCCATCGTGCACCTCGTTCTCAAAGAAGGCGTAAAAGGCGGGCGTCGCGCTGCGGAAGTGGTGGTGTAGGCTCCAGATCATGTCGCGCCCGTCGCGGGCGATGAAGATGTATTTGACCTTGGGGTCCCAGACCATGGCGTCCAGCGGCAGATGCGTCTTCAGGAAGCGTCGGTGCGTCTGCGCCTCGAGCATGCCCAGCATGACAGGCCGGGGCACGATGCGAAGCTCGACCCAGGGAGACAGGGCGCCCGCTGCGACGGTCGGGTCGCCCTGGTGCAGCAGCTGGGACACAATCTGCTGCGTCCACTGTGCGGATTTGTTCACCGTCAGTCTTTGTTGGCCTTACGCATGCCTCAGCTCGCTAAGGAAGGGGGACAGAAGGCTGATATACGCACCGTCGTGCCCGACTTGGCGTACGTCGAGATGATAATGTCGTCGGGCCTCAGCTTGACGTCGTTCCACACCGTCGAGTCCTGGTGGGCGTTCGAGACCTCGCGGGTCTTGACGGGCATCTTGCCCGCGTCGCCATTTGTGCCGTTCGTCGATGTCATGATTGCGGTCTGCGGCCACTCGATGCGCGTGCTGTAACAAAGAGCGAGGGAGGTTGGACCGGTGAGGGGCTCGTCAAGCTCCCTCGCGCGGTCATATATAGTACTTTGGGGCATGGCTTCAGTCTGTCCGCTTCCACGCAGTAGACTAGTCTAGTCCAAGGAGTCCCTCCAGTCTCGCAAGTGCTGACAGGACGACAGCCTTTCCGTGCCGTAAATGGCTGGATTTTGCCATCGCCCTCATGCAAGTCAGATTGGCTGCAGGCCGATCGTCGGCTATCTTGGGCAATTGAGCCGTGATGTCTCCCCCGGTGGGCGATTGGCCGCCCAAGTGGTCGCCAGCTGGCGCTTATTTGTTATTCTCCGCACATAGCGTCGCGCTACAAATGCCAATGTCCGATGGATCGTCCCAAACGCGAAGGGGTTCCGTTTCGCTTGCGAGTTCCTTCATGTCCCCCGAACTAGTCTCCTCACTCCGCACCGGGAATTGTCGGCTATGGCGATGGTGAAATCAAAGTTTAGAACAATCACATTCACAAATGTGACGGTGAGGCGGTTGTTGACATGCAATTGCATCCTTTATCGCTCGGCGTTTCTTGATGCCACCCGTTCTGTAGGGTAGGCCGTGTGTGCCGCTGACTTGCATACCCTACAGCCAAGGTATGGACGCACCCCCGCAACAAATTACTGCGGCGCAGCCTCCAAGAACAAACAAAAGACCGAGTCAGCCTTGCAAGCCCAAAGGTTCACTAGAGCAAGGTAACTTCAGCCTTTGACTGCGCCGCGCATCGCAATGGCCCCCAATTGATTAATATCCGCCGCGTCGCCCATCTGGTCAGATGATTGATTATCTGAATCCTAAAGCGGAGCGTGAGTTCAACTTTGGACACCCGCATCCTGTCAGACTGTCGGGGGCCGTTTCACCAGCACCAGCGACAGACAGTACATGAGTAGTATTGGACCTCACCTCACAAAGCCGTCACAGGGCGCAACAATCTCAGCAGCATGTCGAAGCAACCATCTCAGAGCTCCTGGCAGCCTACGGGCACTCTTGACGCCGACGCTCCTCCTCCCTACACGGAACACGAGCAACCGCGTGCGACGACAGCCGGCAACCCCCGACATGTAGATCCTCCAAAACCATACCTCGACAAAGCTAGTCTGCGTATCGCAGATCATCTGGAGGATTCCATCGCCGACTTCAACGAGAGCATTCGAGGTGAGCCGCAAGGGTCCAAGATCGAAGCCGTCTTCCTCCCCAAAACTGCCTTTGACGATGGCTGGAAACTGCCTGGCGCGACTCTGGTCAACACGGTCAAGCCTGGCGCGCAGGCATCTACCATGGGAGATCAACGCAGGCTGTTTCACGTCAGGACACCTTCCGATGTGAATGACCCGGATCTGAAGCCTCACGAGGGAGCGTACGGCCATGGGAACGCCTCGAGCAGCTCGTCCACGGAGGCCTTTGACGGCTGGGGTCGCTGGGACGCGGGACGCAACAAGAGCTCTAGCAATGAACTCTGGTTCACCAGCCGCGAGCTGGCGGCCGAGCTGGTCGAGTATCTCCGTCACGGCTCCGGGGCCTCGCGCTATCTCAACGTTGACCCGCCCACCCGTGGGCTTGATGTGGAGGACGTCACGCTGCGCCGGCAGACGCCCATGGGCCTCTACGAGAGCAAGGCTGGCTTTGCAATTGTCATTGAGGGGAGGCGGCTATAGTCATTGTGCTGGTCTATCGGGGCTTTGCCAAGGCTCAAGGCGCACAGTTCGTGGCAGCGCTCTGCGCGTGCGGATGAAAGCCCGGACACGTCAATTCAGTGCTCAGTGCTCACGCTGCATCTTGCTGTCAGGGAAAACATCCACAGTCACGCCCGACTTGGTACTTCTTTTACTTTAGCATGTCTAAATCTGACAGCACAATTCGCTGCTCCCTCCCTCCTACTGAACCGGGGCCGGCCGTTCACCCTCTGAGTCATTCCACGGCTCCAACCGCCACTAGCCTAACAGCCCTCGACCTCGATCTCACTCGCCCTCTTCTTCTCGACGGACAACCTTGGTCAAAATTCTCACAACCACCGCGCCAGATGTCAAGCACAGCACTCAGCATGGAGGGCCCTTATAATGTCCTCGTGACCGGCTCGTCAGGTCACCTGGGCGCAGCTCTTATGCTCAAGCTGCCCAGCCTCGGCTACTCACCTCTAGGCATCGACATTCTCACCTCGTCGACGACGCACCATGTCGGCTCCGTGTCGGATCGCAGCTTTATCTCTTCCATCGTCGCTGCCAATCCGACCATCACTCATGTCGTCCACGCGGCCACGCTCCACAAACCTCACATTGGAAGCCACACGCAGCAGGACTTTATCGACACCAACATCACAGGCACCCTCGTCCTGCTCGAGTGCGCCGCCACACTGCCCACCCTGCAGAGCTTCGTCTTCATCAGCACGACCTCGACCTTTGGCTCGGTCCTGAGCCCGGCACCAGGCCAACCCGCCGTCTGGATCGACGAGTCGGTCACGCCCTCGCCCAAGAACATTTACGGCGTGACAAAGTGCGCCGCCGAGGACCTCTGCCTGCTCGCCTCCAAGCAGAAGCAGGCTTCGCTGCCCGTCGTCATCCTGCGCACGTCTCGCTTCTTCCCCGAGGGCGACGATGACGACGATCGTCGTGCCAGCATGACCGATGACAACCTCAAGGTCCTTGAGCTGGCCTACCGACGCTGTGACATTGCCGACATTGTCACGGCCTGTGATTTGGCCATGCAGCGTGCCCGAACGCTGAGCGGCGAGCGCTTTGTCATCAGCGCACCGCCGCCCTTTACGAGGGACGAGGCGGTGTTGAGAGCGCTGAACGAAGACTCTCGCAGCGTCTTCTCCCAATGCACGCCCAAGGCCCTTGATGTGTTCGAGACCAAGGGTTGGAGGTTTCTGCAGAGGATGGACCGCGTGTACGACTCGCGCAAGGCTATGGAGATGCTGGGCTGGCAGCCGCAGTACACTTTTGACAGGGCGGTGCAGACGGTGGCGGAGGGGAGGGAGTGGAGGAGCGACCTTGCACTGCAGGTGGGCAAGAAGGGGTACCACGCTGTCTCGACGGGTGTGTACACAGCGCGGTGAGCTGGGTCGTCATTATGAGTGCTGAGGGCATAGAGGTTGAAAGCCATCTTGCAGAATAGGAGTCGCAAGTACTGGGATGGGAACAGATACAAGCTAGAAGAGATGATAGACTACGAGCGAACTTCCTTATGAACCGCAAGCATCGCGGCAATGCTGAACTTTTATAATTCCTTTTTGATATGCTGATCATGCACCCAGTAACCCCTCGTGTCCCATCTCCCTCATCACGACCCAGACCTGCTCGAGCACCTTTGCATGCAGACCACCCGGTGCAGCCACGAACCCAAAGTTCCCCTCCATGATCCTGCTGCCGACGACGCTGACCTTTTTCCCATTCACATCGCTGACGACGCCCCCCGTCTCCTCAAAGATGAGCATGGCGCCCGCGTGATCCCACACCTTGCCCCGTCTATCGAGGGACTTGTACACCCAGACGGTCGTGTTGGCCATGTTGAGCGCCAGCGAGATCCAGCGCAGCACCCACGGTAGCAGGTCGTTTGACGACGCAATGTTCAGCCGCGACAAGAGGTTGGCGTTGAGTTGCGGGACTGACGACGACACGGTCGTGCAGGACGTGAACCGGACATCGTCCAGCCCTAGATCCTGCCCGTGCCTCTCCAACCTCTCCGGTTCATTGCCCTTGCCCAGCCTTTGTACCCACGCGCCGTGGCCCTTTACGGCAAAGACGACGCATCCCTCGCTGGAGATGTCCCCGTCCCCCACGGGGCTGGCCTGCTTCGGGTTGAGCTTGGGGCATCCCACCATACCTACGGCCTGTTCCCCGTCCACCACCAGGGCCGCGTTGATAGCGTACAGCTTCCCCTGCATGTACGTCTTTGTGCCGTCAATGGGGTCGAATATCCACGTGCGCCGCTCGGCACTGGGTATCGAGGACCCGCACTCGTCCACAATGGTGCAGATGGCCTCCGCATCCCTGGGTATCGTCACCGCCTCCTCGACTCCCTCCTGCTCCGCGAGCCAGGTCAATGCCGTCACCACCTTGTCCAGGAGAGACGCATCCTCACGCAGTTGCGCGGCCGACTCCTCGCCCACAATGGCGTCGCTGGGGAATTGGGTCCGTACAGTCGACGACAAGAGGGCCTGGATGGCAAAGTCGGCGATTGTCACTGGTGAGTGATCGGCTTTTTGGACGATGCCGGTTGCGGAGGATGGGGATGGCGCCAGGGTTGTGGTGATGATGTGTTCGCTCAGCGTCGAGGCTGCTCGAATGAGGGGGTGGAGGACCTCTAACTCGGCTCTGTAAGGGGAATCCATCTTGAGTTTGAGGGAAAGGACTGTGAAGGATGGATGTTGCGATATTGTGTTGGTCAAGCGATTTGATGTGAGTTCTGAGCCTGACCAGGGATTTCCAAAATGGGAAAGAACGGCTCATCGTGGGGCTCAGTCGGCTTAGATGCATTTATCGCTGTAAGCGAGCAGTCACAGGCAGACTCAACACTGAGATGACCAGGTCACTGTACTTGAAAGAGTGAAGGCCACAAAGGGATGTGTTGTAATTGAAAGTCGCAGATGATTCTAAAAGCAGATGTGATTCCATGCTGTACGTCGTTGAACCCAGTTAAACAGAACGGGTGCGCACTACATTGTACCCGATACGCCAAACACCATACGTGTGTGTGTTCATGTAGACCTAACGCCGTGATACGTGTTGATCCAGTCCCAAAATGACAAAAGAATAATCATATGCGCAAGCTTTTCATATGACAATGCCACGCTGTTGCCAGCCACCTTTGCCTTTCCAGGCCCACCACAGCAGCCCGCACGCGACAAGCACCGTGATGCCCTCGGCCCAAAACGTCGGGCTGTAGCATTGCTTGCCGTAGCAGAAGACGTCGTCGTCCTCCTGACCCGGCCCGACTTGCATGGCATCGGCACCGGCCTGGTACACGCTCGAGAAGATGGAACCCCACACGACAGAGCCGATGGCGGGGACTGTTGCAATGATGCCAAAGTTGGTCGCAAAGTTCTCAACGCCCCAGATGATGGTCACGATCAGAGGCGTCAGACTGAAGATGGCACCGTAGCCGGCACCAACCAGGCCTGAGACGACCCAGAAACGGTCCGTGTGGTTCTGCGCGGCGCCCGAGGCGAGGAACAGAAGGCCAATCGACATGAGCACGGCAAAGAAGAGCATGAACACCACGCGCGAGACGGTGATCCGCCCCAGCGGCGACGAAGGCCGACCCGGGCCCATTTGCACATGCTGGGTCTTGGGAGACGGCGCGAGGAGGTCGGTCATTGTGCCGATGAGCAGACGGGCGATTGTGCTGGTGATGCCGAAGATGGAGACATGTGTGGCGGCCGAAGTGTGATCCAGTCTTGATGCGACCGAAGGTGTTAGGGTGCCCAGAACCGTGCCCAGGTTATTGATAAAGGCCTCGCCAGGTCCGATCATCAGTAAGAAGGCCAGAGCAAACGGCCACATGGTGTGATCGCTCAGGAACTGCCTCGTCTCGGCATTCAAGACCCAGTTCTTCTTCCACTTGGCGTTGTTGTCGTCGTCGTCGTCGTCGTTCCCAGCATCGCCAAAGGGGTTGCCGGCCTCGCCGGCCGGCGTCGCAGCGTCAACAACACCGTAGTTGTGCCTCTCGGACCGGCCGAGCAGCGATCCTCCATCCAACAGCCCACTGTGCTCCAACTCCTCAATCGCCTCGTCAATCAAATCCTCCTCGTCGACCACGTGGAGGGTGAATGTGCCAATGACCCCCATGCTGAACAGCAGCAACGCCAGGAACACAAAGAAGCGGTACACGTCGACGTCGCCCTTCGTCCCATCCGGCAGCTCCTCGTAAAAGACCTTGGTGCCTGCCTGGCTCAACCACATGCCACTCAACCCGAAGCAGGTGATCGGGGTCGCCAGTGCGAGACCGCGATACTTGCCCTTGCCAAAGTTCTTGGCAACAGTCGAGACGCTCGCCATGTACCCCGCGCAGGTGCCCGCACCGATGCAGACAAACGCAAACACCATGAGAGGGTACGTCTTGTCCGCGCTGGCGTGGGGTTTGCCGACTGTGCGGTACTCCTCGTCCAACTTTTGGTAGATGGTGGCCGCGATGCCGTAGCCCAGCCCAAAGAGCACGCCCGAGACCAGCGCCAGCGGCGGCGCACCGTATCGATCGCAGAGGAAGCCGAGGACAGAGATGGGGAGGTACAGCGCGATGGAGCTGGCAATCGCCGCGCCGTTGACCTGCAGCTGCGTGTAGTGCAGTCTCGACTGGAAGAGCGGCGCATACATGGAGAAGACCATGTTGGACCCGGCGCAGAGCGCAAAGGCGTTGGCCACGATGAAGGCCACCATGCGGATGGCGTACTTCTTGCGGAGCTCACGGCGGCGGACGGCATAGGACGACGTATCGCTGTCCGAGACGGACTCGGTGAAGGGGTCGCTGTGGATGGAGAGGCGGTCGTCGGCGGGAGAGCTCGGCTCCCCATCGTTGGTGGGCATTGCGCCCGAGGTTGCTTCGTGACGAAGCGTGCGGTCTATCGGATAAGGTGACGAACAATGCTCGAATGGAAAGCAGAGGAAGAAGGAGAAAAGTCCAGTCAATGAGCCCAAAAGGTAAGATAATAGTAAGCGGGCAATGCGAGGGTTGGGGATGGAGGTCGTGAGCTCCAGCTCATCAGCAGGACCAAGGCAGGTGACTGATTGACTGACTCCTGCCTTATCGAGATTGGGGCCGAGTCCGGCCAGCCTGCACTGCATTGCGTCAGGCGGGCTAGCGTTGCCGTCATGGGCTGGAGCTTCCGCTCGCTGCCGCTCTCTTAGCGTCACGTGGACGGGGTTCGGAGCCAAAGCCGAGCTGATAGAGCTATCGATAACATCAGATAAGACTCAGACGCGCCTCGAAGTTCCAACGCGGTCCAGGACATCAACAGAGCACTTGAGTTCAAGACAGCTTCAATTCTTGCTGATGCTACGTCCTGCCCTCGACTTCATCACTACCTATCTTTGGCCTAACGCAAGATAATCTACTCAAGGTGCTGGGCCTAGTTCTTATCGCACTGTCGGCACAGACGCGGTGCTGACGAAGAAGTCTGGTTCCGGCGAGGCAGAAGGCTGGGGCTGTGAGCTCTGATCGTCTCGAATCGTGAGCCAAGGCGCACTGTTCATTTAAGGCGATGAAATTTCCGCAAGGGATGAGCCTGAGATGTACCGTATCGTTGCTCGGTATGGACTGCTGCCCTCACACTCGCTTCGTGAAAACGAGCGGACACCCATCCTACACATCAGTCAGCTTGTCTCAGCATTGGGCGCACTCAAGACATACCATGGGAAAAAGCGTCGCAAAAACTCGAATCTCTTCAGATTTCTCCGTGGCATGATGCTCCCAGTCAATGTCCAGCGAAGCCTTGCCTATCATCAGAGCCATGGACAGCGGCACGTATCTGCGCGCGAGGCAGTCATGCGGCCCAGCCCCAAAGACAAGCCAGTTCTTCGTCATGGATGAAGCGTCGCCCGTGATCCAGCGGTCAGGGTCGAACACGTCCGGGCGCGGATACACCTCTGGATCGTGGAGGGACGGGTAGCAGGAGGGCACAACCATGGCACCCTTTGGGACGGTGTAATCCGGGGTGACGGGGAAATCCTTGGTCGCCAGGTAGGGGACGAAAATCACGGGCGGGCGGTAGCGAAGGAGTTCCTTGACGACGGCGTTGGTGTATGTCAGGGACTCGAGCATGGGCAGGCTGGCTGGCGCGCTCCTGTCGCCGCCCCGGGCTGCGAGGTTCTCCTCGCGAATGCGGTCAAGGACGTCTGGTCTCTGCGCCAGGATCTGAAAGGTCCACGTCGTGGCGCTGCTGGACGCGTCCTGGGAGGCAAACAGGAAGGTGAACAGGGTCTGCCCAATTTCCTCGTTTGTGAACTCGCGTATGAGATTTGATGGCTTCTCAGCGTCTGCGTCGCCAGCCGCGAGCTTCTTTCGATACTGGTTCGAGGCCATCATGTGCAGCACCCAATGGTCAACGATGCACGTTGGCTTGGCGCCAGTCGCCATGTTGGCCTTGCACGCCGCAGCGCCCCTGGCAAAATGGGCGTGGACAGCGTCTGCAGCGCGCTTGCCGGTCCAGACCTTGGTGAAGGGGATGTATAACGAGAGCGGAACATTGACGAGCTCCATGGCCGCTGTGGCGAGGTACAGGTTGTTGGCGATCTCCTTGATCGCCTCTTGAGGGATGTAGTCGCCAAAAAAGGTGCGGCACGAGAGCGCGCAGTTGATCTCCCGGAAGAACGTCATGAATTCGTGTGGCTCTCCGTTCTTCTCCGTGCTGAAGGCGACGAAGCGGTCAAAGTAGTCGGAGAGGACTTTTTCCTGCACAGGGAGATAGGTGGCGATGGCCTTGTTGGTGAAGAGCGGCGTGAGCCCTCTGCGATACCCGGCGTGTGCTTTGCCCTGCAGGAAGACCCAGGCGCTGTGGCCGATGATGTCTTTGGCGACAGGGACAATGCACGGCTCGGCGTGCGAGGGTGTCTTGAACACTTTGTGTGCGATATCTCGGTCTGAAGCGAGGACGACGAATCTGAAAGTTAAGCATGAGTCTAAAGATGGGGGAGTCTCGAGCGTACTTGTGGAAGACCGAAACGCAGCTGAGCGGACCGCTCGCCCACTGCTCGAGATAGCCCTCGAATTTCGGGTAGAGCGCCTGGAAGAAGGGTCCCATGAGCGGAATTTTGAAACGTGGTCCTGCGATGGAGCCTTTGTTCCAGATGTACATGGCTGTTGACTTTGTCAGTGACTGGTCTCCTTTTCCTCGGATGAGTCGTGTCACCTTGGTCATAGACAACCAAGCCAAGCAGCATCGTGAGGATGAGTTGCCCTGCAGACCACTGGGCAATAAATGCAAGCCACTCGTGCTTTGAGTCGTCGTGCCATTGCTGGCTCTCGGAGAATTGCGAATTCGAGTTGTTGGAGTTTGCGGCAGCCATGGTAGCGGATACTCTCGAATCTTGGAGAATGGGAAGCAGTACAACTGGCACCAAGCTGCTCATATACCGCCGCTCGTGTCGGTCACATCTCCGCCTCTTGCGCACATTGCATTCAGTGGATATTATATCAGGCGATTTTGCTCAACACCGCCCGACCTGGACTCTTCCAACAACTTCATTGTCGGTATCCCATCAACACGGTTCCTGAGCAGGACCCGAAAAGGACTAGTCTCCGAACATGACGTGCAGGCGCACGACCAATCACTGCACGCAGTTTCCGGAGACTAAACCCAAACGGGAAATACGGCTCGCTAGACTCAAGTAGGACTAGTCTCCGACCCTCGTAGCGGGGACCAAGCTGGAAGCGCCGCGTCTCGCTTCTCGTTCAACTTCAAGACTCAAGCTGGCCAGTCCGCGTAATTTGCTCGCCAGTCTCCCCTCTTGCCAGACATAATTCCAAGAGGGATTGCTCTATCCATAATTGGTAGCGAGAAGGGCAGGCTAAGTCAATTCACCTCGCCATGCGCCAGACGTTGCGCCGGTCCTGCACCGCCTGCGCAAAGTACAAACACAGCTGCGACCTGGGCACGCCACGCTGCTCGCGATGTATCAAGCGCAGGGTCGAGTGCCACTACGCCAATACACCCTTGACGGCGCCATATGTCCCTGCGCTGCGCGTGCGTCGTCCTCACTCACTAACACCGGTGGAAGGTCCTCCCTCCATCGACGCCAGCTTTGCTGCCCTCGATCCGTTCGACTCGTACCCAGTAACAAGGCTACCACGGAAGCACGTACAACGACTGATCTACAACTGTAGGTGCGCTACTTATTCCTGTCTCACCAAGTTTCCCAATTAACAGTCGCAGTCCTTCATAAGATAGCTTTTCAATACTATCCGCTCGATCTTAATGCCGCGTCGAATCCATTCCTCGTCTCCTGGTGGCCCCTGGCGCTAGGTGATCCGGCTCTGTTCCACGTCTCCCTGCAGACGGCATGCCTGGACGAGGAGCTTTTAGCCCAAAAGGGGTTTCTCACGTCAGAGATGCTCATGGCCGACTCCGTGGCTCTTCTTCGACACAAGGTGGACAATGCAGTGCTCGCGGTGCAGGACGGAACCATGAATTCCGTCATCACACTGGCTGCAATCGAGGTGAGATGATAAAGACCTACCTCATCGTAGCGCTGGCAAGGACTGACGTAGTGATGTGCAGTTTGGAAAGGGCAACCTCGCAGCGAGCCAGATGCACATTGGCGGGGTGAAGAGGCTGGTGGCATTGAGGAATGGCATGCACGCAGTCAGTCAGACGAGCCCTCTCACGGCGAGGATGGTCAGCTGGTGCGTCTTCTTTCAGAACTAGGTCCAACGACGAGCACTCACAGTGTACAGGGTCTCGATGATTGTGACAGGCGTCCCACAATTTGACACCCAAGACGACGCTGGCATTGGGGACGGCATACCAACGTTGTCGGACTGGCAGATTGACGCGACGTCCTTGCAGTATAACGTACCCTCTCTGGACAATCTCGACATTGCAGACGACGTGAGGGATGTGTTTACGCGACTGACATACATCTTTTGGAATGCGAGTACTACAGCCATGTCTAACACCAGGCTTCACGACCTTACGTGTTTCGTCGCACATAGACTGTTGCGCTCAGAACATGGTTCGTCGGTTGGTGAGCCGTCGCAGATTTCCGAGTGCCTACGTGTTGCGATGGTGCTGTACATATTTATGCTCCAAGGACCAACGTACTTTTCACACGCAGTCATGCAGAACATGCTTGTCTGCCAGTTGCTCGACAGACTCGAGGGTGCTATGGGCGGAGCACCACGTCAATTATGGTCGCTGGAGGTCTGGCTGCTTGGTGTCGGCATGGCCGCATCGCTCGGGACCGATAATCGCCATCGGTTTCTGGAGAGGGCACGTCGTACGGCCTCTGTACTTGGGTTCGGCGGGACGGGGGATGCACTGGCGGTGATGAGGAGTATCTTGTGGCTCGAGAGACTGCATGGAGAAGGCATCTTTCGACAAAGTTGGGATGAAGCATTATTGGAATCGATATGAAAGAGTCTTGGTATATGATCTAGGCGTCCTCTTCGAGTCTTCGACTCGCATCAAGCCCAGGCCTCGCTCGCAGAAACGTCTTGCTGCGGCTTTTGAGAGCAACAGACCTTTCCCACGGCTGAAGATGGGCTTTTGCATATTCGCAGTGTACTTCTGGGTCCCAGTGCCAGCACAAATCGCTACTGACCTATGGCCGCTGCCTATCGGTGCTCACTGCCTCACGGTGACGGTGCTCACCGGGTAACTAGCCCCACATCATCCGTCCCGTAACGTAGGCTTGGGATCTCGGCCACATTGTCGGGCACCGAGCGTCGTCAGAGAGAGGCCTACCCTACAGTGATGCTCCCTTCACATTGCTCAAATGCCTTGTTGTTGACTTTTTAATTCAATTGCGTCGATAGACAAGAATTTTCTGTTTAATTCTTCTTTCTGCCTTAGGTCTGTTTTGATCCTGTTTCAGCGAGTATATTTCGAGTTGTCCTCTTGGGCAGCAATTTGGTTGGTGACGTGTCGAAACGATTCAATATTTTACTGGATAGCCTTGGAGCACAGTACAGCGTGTTAATGCACTTCATCCTGAAACAAACAAGTTACAACCTAAAAAAAGAACCTTTGTTTCATCGCCAAAGCTTGAATGGCCACTGCCCGAAGCTTGCTCACAGCTTTCGATCCGGGGACCACCCGAATGATGATCCCGTCGCCCAGAGGCCCCAGTCTACTGTGCGCAGAGCCGCAATCGAGACTCTGGAACACAGAAACGCAAAGGGTCCAGCATCACAAAGCAGTGTGCATACGTCATCCCAAACCGCGCCGCTGCCGGACGTCAGCTGATCGTCAACAAGACGCTGCGGCGTAGCAGAGGCTCAAACAAGGCTGACGAAAGGTGCCGCAGGGCCCTGGGCCGGAATAGCGTCATAACTCATCAGATCTCCCCAGGATTGCGGCGTCTTGGCAAGTGGATCCCCGCATCGGCAGCTCATTGCCAAGTCGGGACGCCTTGCGCGCTGCAACGCCGCGAAGATGCAGGGACCAAATCTTCCTTCAGGATGCACGGCCGGCACATCGGCTTTCTCAAGTTGGGATAGTGATGATGCTGACGTCGACAGTCTGACGGACATGCTAGCATCTTCATGCTGGGAGCCACTGGCACTGCGGACATCCGTTCAAACTTCAACACTACCAGGCTTGTTTGCCGCTTGGCTGTGACAGTGGAACCGGGCACTTTGGCTCACAGAGGCCGGTCGATTTCGCTACTTGGAAATCGTCTCAGTTTCGGATTCAAGTTGACGAGATCGTCACTTATACGAGTGCTGCCCTACTGATCGCCCGCAGCCGCACAGCAACATGATCGGCACCCTCGCTGACCCCTGAGCCATGAGTGGCGGCACTAATGCAGGGCCTGATCCTCGATTGCCATGGCTGGGCTCTCACTCGCTCCCATCACCACCACTCAGGGACCCGACTTGCAACATCGACAGCCTGCGGTGTCCCGCTGGCAACAGAATCCCCAGCATCTTCAAGGCACACAGCCGTGAGATCCTCCCGTAGTCTCTCGGAGCCCAGGCTCACGACGTGATGTCAAGATGGGCGACACAGCATCACCTTGGGAGGACGATTTGTCTATAAAGGAATCGAGGTTCTCCGACTCAAAGGCTTCTTTTTTCTCATCAGCATCATCAAACAATCACAACAACCAACAACACAAACAAACAAACAACCCAACCAAACACACACCGCCAACACCAACCGGCTTCAAGCTTCACCACCTACAAACCACCATCAAAATGCAGTTCACCACCATCGCCATTGCTTTCGCCGGCCTCTTCGCCTCCGCCTCCGCCTGCGGCTGCCGCTCTCCCTCTGACGGCTCCCACATCGTCTCCGCCTCCGAGACCTGCTGCTACCAGAACGGCGCCGACTGGATCGGCACCGACTGCTCCGCCGACTCCATGTCCGAGTCCCTCCGCCAGTACGATGAGTGCTGCCACGGCAACGGCCTCATCTCCGACTGCGACTACCCCGACCCCATTGGCGACATCTTCGGCTCCTAAGCGCCTGGTGCGCCTTGATAGCTGGACACGCCCTGTCAACAGTACGATGCCCCTTGCGCCCTGGCGGCCTCGGGTGCTATTAATTAGCGGTTACGATCACGACTATGCATGATTGATAGCGAGTTGTCATCTGGGGACAGAATACGAGTTCCTGGCCTGTATCATCATACAAACAATATAAAAATTATTAAAACCATTTGTCCATATGAGTGATTTGAATGTTTGGCGCAGTACTTGGACCACAACTAACCTCGCTTGAATTTATAAGGCAGCTTTTCTAGGATAGTGCAATTGCTTCAGTTCCGACATTGATCCGCTCAGAACTTGATTCCAGTCAATTTTTGGTCCAAAGCCGAGGTAGGTACCTATACAAAGCAATCACAGCACTTGTACAGCACCACACCTTCCACGGTAGGATACAGAGAATCCCTTGCCGTGCATTGCCGACCTGAAGCATGCAGATGCGTTGTTCTAACTCGTCGTATGATTTCTACCGTCGCTCCAACACCAAGCAATGCAAGTGGTGCTCTCATTGGCCCTTGCTGGGGAACTTGCGCCGAATGTCATCCTCGGTAAACTGGCGGGTGTGCGACTCTAACATGGCCATGCGCTCCTCCATGGTCATGGCGATCTGGTCGCCCATGGGCACCAGGCACTCGGCCAGGGCGCGGTAATTCTTGGTCAGGACGCGCACCGTGATCATAATATAGTCAATGTTGTGAAAGGTCAGCGCGTGCTGCGAGGCGTACAGGTCCTTGCCCTTGACGAAGGCGAGGGGATGGTCGCGCCAGTGCCGGAGGGGGTTGAGGTGGTGCGACGTGTGGTAGCCGTCGTTGAAGCAGTGTCGGTTGCTCTGGTCCAGTCAGCCTATATGTGTCTACATTTGAAAGAACAAGCCTTACCGGCACATCAATCAAGGTGATGCTGGAGCGGTAGTCCGAGTCCGGCTCGTCAAAGTCCACGAAGCAGTGCTGGCCCCAGTTGCCGACCATGAGGCCGACACGCAGCAGCAGGAACGGGACGAGGAAGACGAAGATGGTGGCGTGCTTGTTGAGCCGCAGCAACGTCGCCAGCGTGGCGTACCAGGTGAACTCCCACGACGCGGCCTTGAGGGCCAAGCCCGTCTTGCCCTTGGAGAGGAAGTACCGAGGCAGGTCCAGCCAGATCAAGACGTAGAAGCGGCCAACGTAGTGGAGAAAGTGCCAGACATTGTCACGTTGATACCGGAGGGTAGAGGAGAGGTCGTCTGGTCCATTTCCCTCGACTAGTCTAGTTAGCAGCGGCATTCTCATGTTCTCGAGGGCAGGGATAGCCGTCCTTACCGTGGTGGTGCTTGACGTGGTGGTAGTAGTACGAGTTCCATGAGTGGCCCATGAGAGGATCCGTGATATACGGGTAGACAGCATCAAACAGCGAGAACCTCTTATTCAGGATGCCGCGCTGGTGAATGTGCTGATGCTGCATGAGGGTGTACGTCCTGCGCGTGTCAGCAGGGGAGTCCTCCAGGGGCAGACAGTAGCAGCAGCATACCCGACATAGCTGAGCTGCATAATGGTATGCGCGATCCCGTGGATCCACGTAAAGTGCCAGAAGAGGAAGAGGGCGCTGGGGACGGATGTGGTGAAGTAGAGGAGCAGATGCGAAAACATGACCACGTCTGTCTCGTGGCGGACGACCGACTGGGCGAGCCGGACGTACGGCTGCAGCAGCCATCGATTCACCCACTTTGGGAGGGGCTGCGTGTGCAGGTCGCGCCCATTGACCACGGTCGGCACAAAGTGCGCGCTCTTGGGGTCATTGAGCGCACTGAGCGTCGCGATGGTGGTATTCTGGCGATCTGGCGAGGTCCGTCAGTCAGTCGCACAAAGCTTGCTTGGCGTGCCTGGCGCGGGCATAGGGCAAGGATGTATGGCTTACCCAAATCGTCGGCACGATCCTCATGTTGCCGATCGGCATCGGTGCGCTCGACGCGTGTTTTGATGTCACCCTCAAGGCACTCCAAGACCAGCCTGTCGGCCTGCGTCAGGTTGGGGTCGTAAAAAATGTCCGCCATGGTGTTTCTCCTGCGCTTTTTGGAGTCCTGGGCGTTCAAGGACTGATCGAGGCTCATTTCATTGCGGCGGGTGAGAATCAGGTGGTCCCTGGAATCCTGGATAGGGGTCTCTGATGAGTAATTGTATGGGGCTGAGGGGGATTGCCGCGTGGACGGAACGGAGAAATGCGCTGAGCCTCTGAGGCGCTGTGAGTGTGGCGTAGAGATCGCTTTAAGCAATAAGTGGATAGAACAGTTACTCAACCTGCAGTTCTCGACGTTGGGGATTCATCGACATTTGGGCGAAGACAGTGAAGCGGTACGTGGATGTGCTTAATGGCAGCGTCGACTTCTGCTGTAGTCTGCGGTAGTCCATGTCGTACGTTGAGCACCATTATACTAAGTACGTATTATGCTATTCTCAGTACCTACAATCCTATAAATCTCCCTGTGTTGCATGAGCAGGCCAAGCGCAAGCCCGGCCAAAACCAGCAACATCCGTCTGACAATTAGACAAGAGGTTCCATGGCCTTCCTATAAACAGAAAGACGATCAGGCCCACCGCACAGCAGCGACGCATCGCCCGAGCAACGCTTGAAGCAGTCGCCCTCATCCTGCTCGGCACCCTCATACTCATTGCCGCAGTAGCACTCGCGACCAAACTCGAGGCCAAAGTACGCAAAGTCGGCGCACGCCTCTGCGCACTTTTCAGGCGTAATGTCGTCGCCGTGAATGTAGCCGCCCTGCAGCGCGCGGTCGCCCACATTGTCCGCACCGCAGTGGAGGTACGAGAAGTCGCCAACAGTGGCAGCAACCGAGGGCATGTCAGTAGTCTGGTACACGCTCAGACGGTCCGCGTCGCCGCAAACGGTGAGCCCGTCGCCACGGCAGGGGAGGGCACACTCGCCATCGTCCACGAGGTCGCCTCCAAAGGACTGGCCGCAGTAGCACTCGTTGCCGTTCTCGAGACCAAAGTAGGCATAGTCGGAGCAGAAGCTAGCACAGGTGGCGGCCGTCATGTCGCTGGCCGTCGTCTGGCGCGCGCTCAGGACCCGAGCGCTCACGCTGTCCGCGGCGCATCCGACGTTGGACCAGCCGTCAACGACGGCGCTGACCACATTCTCCGGGCCGTAGACGGTGTTGAGCTTGTGCCCGCCGCAGAAGCTGTCCTTGTCGCCAGCGCAGAGCATGTCGCACTCGCTGTCGTCGACCCAGTGGCCGCCCTTGATGGTGCTCGAGCACCAGCACTCGCGGCTCCACTGGAGGCCAGCGTAGAGGAAGCCGCCGCCGCTGCAGAGCGACGTGCAGGTCTCGGGGGTCATGTCGTCCTGCTCGTAGCGCATGTCGGGCAGGGCGCGATCCTCGTAGGGCTCGGCGCGGCAGCCCTTGTAGGCGAAGCCGGGGACAGTCGCGACGGTCGGGTCGGTGTACTGCTCATTGAGGTAGATCTCGAGGCGATCGCCCGCACCGCAGGTGGAGGAGCTGTCGCCGCTGCAGGGCATGGTGCACTCGCCCTCGGCTGGGAGCGCATTGGGTGCAATCTCGTTGTCGCAGTAGCACTCACGGCCAAACTCGACACCGGCGTAGCGATAGTCGGAGCAGAAGGCCTGGCATACCTCTGGCGTCATGTCGTCTGTCCTCTCCCAAGGGCCCTTGAGGGCGCGTCCCTCGTGTTGGGGCGGCTCCGTGTAGCATCCTTGAGATTGGGAGATAGGAATAGGCACAAGCTCCACGGACGCGCGGCGCGTCGCGGGGACAGCTGCCACGTGCGCGACGAGCAGAGCGCGGGAGAAGGTGTTGAGGATGGCCATTGTGTCTAGGTGTATCGAGATTGAAGCACGGCGTGATGTGTGTCGCAGCTGTCTCTGTGCGATTGCAATTTCACCGAGATAACGGGCGCCTTTTGTAGTTATCGCTCATGGCGGTGAAGCCACGCCACGAAGCCATCGTTCATGGGTTGGGAAGAGCTCGACGGTCGGAGGCGTTTAGGGACAATAGCAACAAGTCATGAGTCTTGCCCAATCCGCGACATTGTCGGCGGTCCCCTTGGCGGATGCGAGAGCCATCGTCAGACTACTGGCCGCGCTATTGCCATCGTCCGGGTGCGAGGCGTCGGGTAGCGGGGATTCGAGATGAGGTGTTGATGAGAGGCTGTGGACTGGAAGGGTCTGGCGGGAGGAAGACGTGGTGGGCTGAACGAGGGGCCGCGCGCTATTGATGCCGCAGCTGGAGCCTGACGCATGCCACCGCCGCCAGCGTGGGGCTGCAGTGCTGCACCCCGAATGCGATTAACTCTGTACGTACGGTTAAGCGATACTAGTCTGTTATTGACACGGCCTGGACAGAAGCTGATCATCTCAGCCTTAAATAATTGGGCAGCCCAGGCAGCTGGTAGGAGATGGTCGTGCCGTATAACCGTCAAACCGTATGGTGGCTTGACCTGGGCCGAGATTCGGATTTTGAAAGATGGGAAATATGTTCCGATAGTCACCACACGAAGAGTCGTGGCATATTTCCAGATCCAAGGTAATTTCGGGCAGAACAAGTTTTAGACTTGTCTTGTTGAATTGTGGGAGTCAAATGTCCGACGCAGGGTAGGTTAAAGGTCTGATATCGAAGGAGCTTTCACTAAAAGCCAGCTACTACTCGTCCTCGACTACGTACTCGGACCTCAATCACTTGATCACCAACAGTCAGCCACCGAACGCGCCTCAATCCACCCTCTCGAATCACGTTACAAATCAGGAACACGCGCCCATCGACGCCTCTACTCCTGGATAGACCTGGCCTAGTCGCTAGTGCGAGACGCCGACAGCACGCGTCAATAGACTCAATAGCAGCTGGGATATAACGGACGAAGCATCACAATGACTGGTCTGTGGTGCTTTAGCTCATGTTAACTAGCACATCTGTCAGCATCCCGCAGCTCAGCTCTGTTCTTTCCAGCCACGCCGGGATTATCGAATACAGACGACCTACAAGACCACCCTCTGAGCGCAAGCCACGTGCACTTCCATGAGAATCAGCTAGGGTTAGCTAGGCTAGAAACGAATTCACCACGTATATGTCGTATGAAGAGTCATCACATTGAACTAGATCTAAGATAGTTCCCGAAGAATAAGCAGATCTCTTTTGTTGAAGTGTGGGAGACGTGGCGTGTACTACCTCAATCTCCCAGGTGCTCTGTACGCTGGGTTGGAACAGTTTTGAACTTTGCGGGACTGGACACTTAGCGGGAATCGCGGCAGAAACGGGAAACAAATGTTGAGCTATTACTTTTCAAGTTACCAGTATCATGGCTCCTGGGGTGTCGCGCCTGTCCGCGGCGCAGGGACCTTGTCATATTGTATCTTTGGCAACTTGGTCGAGTATACCCCGTGGGCTATTAGCAACCGCATTATCAACTCCCTATCGAACCCTTCACGGATGAGATCCTTCTGGGTCACCAACCCGTTCACCCTCGAGCGGTCCGTGCTTCCCTTCCTCTTCTGACAGCACCGCGGTACCGCCAGTACCTTCTTCCCTATGAACTCTGTGGGGTCTACCGTAAACGGTAGGTTCGTATTTGCGTATTCGCCATCGTCCTCGTCCATGTCGAGAATGTTAATCTGCAGCACCTCAGGGTAGTATTCGTCGGCGGGAACAAGGTGGTCGAACGTGACGCCGTAGTAGTCAATCTCACTAGTGAGCGATCAGTAGCCTTGAAGGCTGAGAACCTCGGTCCAAGGAAGTCAACAATCTTCTTACTTCTTCTGGTGAACCCACCCTAGGTACTTATCTCGAATGACCATGTCCCCTACGATCTTAGGTCGGACATCCTGTCGGTATACGGCCTAGTATGCCAGCTTTGCGAGACCAAAGGCGGCCGGTTGCGGGAATATGGGATCACACACATCCACATGCCACGGTACCTCAGGAAGAAGCCTCTGAACCGAGACCAAGGGCCCCTCGATTTGAATCCTCACCGGTTCGTCTATCGGCGGCGGATGCAACGGATGAGCCGCAGTCCGAATACATTGCGGGATATAGAGCGGAAGGGCCATTGTCGACGAGAGGAACGTGGTCGATTGTGAGGGAGTTGCTTTGTTGTGGGGAATAAGTCGTGGGGGTGGAGAACACATCAATGAAAACATACCATAATAATTATTATCTCAGAAAGGTCGTTTTGTGTCAATTGGCGACCAGGGTAGTATGTTGATTGGGCCCTCCGCAGTTTTAATGGAGTATAAACTCGGACCAGCCTGTTCGACCTTTCTGAGATATTACGGTAAGTATGCAGTGGGTTATTGAGTCTGACAGTTCCCATCGACACCTCTGTCTCTCGAGTCTGTCTGATGAACGACCACACTAGGACGCCGACAGCACGCATCAATAGACTCAACTGCAGCTGAGATATCACGAACAAGGCACCACAATGCATTGATCAATACCGATATTAGTCTGTGGTGCAGAAACTCATGTAACTAAGCAGATCTGTGCGCATCCCGCAGCTCTAGTCAGCTCTGTTTCATCTAACCACGCCGGGACTATCAAATACAACCGACCTACGGATACAAAACCACCCTCTAAACGCAAGCCACGTGGAAGGATTCTATGGCGACGTTAGTATAACTCATATATATCTTCACGCTTCTGGCTTTACACTCTAAAGCTTCGGGGCAATCCTCGTCCATAGACCGGCTAGGACATGCGCTAGCGCTATAGTTAAACGAGATAAAATGAGATAGCTAAAGGATAGAAAACTATTTTAGTAATCGAAATTAATAAATATTACTTATAAGTATTATTAGATAATACGTTAATAGAAAACTATATCTGATTTGTGCACAAGCCTAGCGTCGAGACTAACTAGTACCCGAAAATAGCTAGTCTTAAAGCTGCCGATCTCTATGAAGCTCCATGATGTAGCTGTTTCATTTCACTTACAGCTGATATCCTCGTCGTCACGCTCGCCGTACCGGCGGTCCCTCTTATCCTTGCCACAAGCCCCTAGACGGATGCCGTAAACGGAGGATGATATCTCCCTGCCGTCCGCTCGAGCTTATACGAAAGACGCAAGTGCCCTTCATTCCCTGTGGCTGCATGTCTCGGCATGGAATCGTATTACTTCACCACGCCGCCACAGCTCGTATTCACAATGCCAACCTCCAAGACTCCCCACGAATCAAAAAGTGAGGCTGACGCCATCGATGCTGGGGATTTCCAGAGTTCAGCTAGGCATTTTGAGGGGGTAGCAAACTGCGGGGGGGCTTTGTACCGGCTTGGGGGCTCGACAGTTGACTAAATATACACATTGGGGCCGAAATCGACCATAGGGCGGTCCTGAAGTGCAGTGCCATTCGGAAGTTGCATCGGCTGATGTGAGCTGCGATCAGCCACCACATCAGCCTCCATGTTGTCTGAGGGGCCGAGTGACCGAGCTCTCACGGTAAACCGTATGATCTCTGCTCACGAGCCCGAGAAGCTGACACATTGTGATCCCAATAGGTCCTAATAATAGTATGATGTTTACTACGCCGCTCTACGATACGAAGAATGGCGGCGCCCTCTACGCACACAGGCTGACACGCATGATCGTCGGATCGATCACAAGAACCCCCTCGTACGGGAAGCTCCAATCAACAACTGTGTCGATTCTTGGTTTCCTTGGTATGCGAAATATTTAAAAGAAGCTGTGGTATCCCATCGGCCCATTGCTCAAGTTCTCTATCACTACGCACAGCAGAGACAAGCAAGCATATCAACTTATCAAGCAATTGAACTCGACGTTCACTACCCTCTGATTCAGATCTCCCAATTCACGATCATCATCACCAAGATGCAGCTCTTTGCCCTTACTATCGCTTCCTTGGCAGCTCTCACCGCTGCTCACCCGCAGTGCAAGCCTGCCACGTACGCGTGCACCAAGGATAGCAATGGATGGCAGGTCTGCAACACCTCAGGCCAATGGGTTGTATGTCTCCCCATCTATCTTGTTACGTATGTCACTGTCTGACTCTGATCGTGACATTAGTTTGCCGGTACCTGCCCCCCTGATACGGTGTGCAAGTTCTATCCACCAAGTGGCAGTCCTTACTGTGTTCCTGAAGGCTTCCAATTCCCTTGATTCGCCATCTCCGAGATCAAATCCAAACAGGCTTGGCATGGAAGGAAGATACAAGAGGCCATGTCTGTCTTGGCGCTCATTGACAACTGGGACGCGTTCTTTTAAGTAATCAATCGATGACTTGGCTTTCTTCTCTAAACATTTGCTCTCGCGTGACACTGATCCGCGTTGACATTGTGGTTGGCCTCCTTGTTCGTTGGGTTCAGCTCTGTGGTCGCGCCATGGGCAAGTTTCTTCTTGTTGTTGAATGCCGACGTGCCCACGTAGCCTTCAGATTGGGCAAGTCGGTTCATGGTGGCCACCAATGGCCCGTTCTCATTCTTGGACGTCTCTTCCACCACCTCATCTGCGATGCGGAAGAGGATTCGCTGGAAGATCTGCCTTGGAACCTCGACCCCGTCGATGATGAAAAAAAGGGTGAGCGGAAAGGAGGAACTCCTGGGTAAACCAGCATGTCATCCACCATGGACGCTCAAAGAAGCTCAAGAGCGTCTGGATATGATTGTTGGCGCGAGACCTGCCATTGGCAGCGGCTGGGCGGGTTCACGAACTTGGAGGCGATGTTCTCCCGTTGATCGATGGACAGGATGTGTGTTCTATCTATATATACAGTCAGGCGGGTGGAGATCTTGCGCGAGGCAGATTCGTTGTTGTAAGGGGGACTTGGGAAAGGGTATCATTCTGCGCATTCATACCGCCGGTGTGCTAAGTTCTAGATAAGACAGCCAGCCCTGCGTTTTGTAGCAGCTACTTAACCTCCTCCATGACCTTATCCTCACTCTTCTCCGTATTAACGGGCATAATATCCGTCTCCTTAGCTAATATACCCTCGTATACTTTAAGCTAACCGTTAACTATCTTCGCGCTTATATAGTATCCCTTACGCGCCTATAGCCGCCTGATAAACAACAAGAATCACCTATCAGTCCTCATGCGTCTGCCTCACCTCGGTGGTCCGCATGATTCGAGGCCTGCCCTGACTGTCCGGGGTGTCTGGCCCTGCGCTCTCCTCCGCCGGGCCCTCGCCGCCCCCCTGGATCTGTGTCGTCACATAGCCCTTGCCCGGTATCAGGGTGTGCTCGTCACTATCGATCGGGTCGTTGTACGTGACGGTCGTCTGGTCGCGCGTGGCGTTGCGTGACCTCTTGTGCGAGTCGAACATCTCAAAGTTGGAGTTGGCCTGCGACGAGTACCCGGCCTTTTCCTCGTGTCGGATGGACTTCCACAACGCTGGCATCAGGGGCAGCGTGGCGCAGACGAGTCCAATGCCCACCTCGGCGACACTAGCATTGTCAGCAACATGGCATCACTGCTGCAAGGAGATGAAGAGATCACGTACCCCGTGAGATTGATCTCCATGAAGACGTATGTCTGGTCAGGGCTGTTGCCGTTGTTGATGATGAAGATCAGCCGGACCAGGCTGAAGATGCATGCGATACCACCCACGCCAAACACGACGGCAATCTTGATCTTGGCCATCAGACCGACTTGCAGCTGCTTAGCGAGAGGGCAGGGCAGCAGAAGGACAACAATGTCGCTCACCAGGCTGATCACATTGTCCACCAGGATCAGCACACGCTGGTTGAAGCACTCGCCCTCACCCTCGCCCCAGAATACGGGGATGGGACGGCAGATGAAGATCTTGAGGAACAGCATGACGGTGTAGTAGACGGCCATGACGCCGAGAAAACTGTAGATGAGCGCGACGTAGCCCTTGTAGGGCGCGAAGATGCGCGTGAGGAAGAGGAGGATGGCGGCTTTTGTCGCGAGCACCGTCGGGCCGTAGTTCACCATGGTCGCGTACACTGCCTGGCTCTGGTCAGCCAGTGTCACTCGGACAGACAAGGACTCTGCGTTGGGCACCCTTACCTGGCTATATGAAGGCACAGCCGACGCCACGACATCCCACTGGTGCAGTCCGCCCCCGAATCTCAGCACTGCGGTCGTTAGCGGTGTTAGCGACTCGATCGCTTTGCCGACATACTGAGCAGACATATCCCGCAGTAGATCACAAAGCCAATCTACATCGTCAGTGTTTGGGCCGCCACGTCTAGGGACTGCAATTTACTCACGTAGCCAATGATGCAGGCCACTGCGATGTATCAGCGACGGCCACTTTTCACTGAAATATATCTTTTCACCAACTCGAAGACTTACCATCGTCTGCCTGCAGCCTCATGCTCAACCGACGCCGCGCCCACAAGCGGAGCCCCATGAAGACCGTCGTGACAGCGACGCCCGTCACATTGGCGGCGATGCAGTAGTAGAACATGTGGCGGTCGGGGTTGTCAAAGTTCGACTCCTGCCCCGAGGGGGGTTCGAGGCCAGGCTCGAGCGCCATGGCTGTGGGTATGAAGGCCGATTCTGATGGAGGACTCTCGATTGAACGCTGTAGGATGCTGATGAGTACAACACGGTCAAAAGCTCTCGGAATATCACTTCAAAGGCTGGTCTTCCCAGAGATGAGAGACACTAAACTACATGGCAACAAACACATGTATTAATTCACACGACAATCGATCAGGGAACGCATGGCAGTGTCTGTGCCCAGGGGCGATAGATTGACGGCACAATCCTGCAAGACAGTGACGGCCGAGGCGCCGTTGAAGACTTCAGGGGCAGTGCCCAATGACACTGTAACAGCGCAGTTCTTACGCTTTACAGTCCAGACATGGAGAGTGACAGCGAGGGCCGACGAGATATGACAGAACTTGTTCAAGGGACGACATAAGTGCCGCACGCTGTCCAATGACGCCCCTAGGCTGCCAACGTGACATTCGCATCTTTCACTCCTTGCGTAGTGCCATGATGGGTCTAGCTAGAAGTGAAACGATGTTACTCAGGCGGCAGTGTGCAAGGTCCGTGCTGGGTCGGACCCTGGCTGGGCATTTCTGAGAGGTTGTTATTGAAGTTGGGCCTGCATGACTGTGGTGTGTCTGATGACTCTGATCCAAGGTTGTCGTCAAAGGAGCGCAGCTGCCAGGTGGACGAGCTGTACACGACTCGATGAACTTCAGAGCATCCGCGTCCCAATATTCGACTAGTAACCCTGACTATCAGTGCTGTCGACGGAGATCTGTAGCTTGTGCATTTTCCTGGTGCCTGGCTTGGCCCGCGACTGACCCTCAAAGTTCGGCAGCGGGTACGCCAACGGGTACACCCATGGCGCGAAATCTTAATTGCCAGGCTGCCAGGCTCTCAGTCCAGTTGAGGAGACGAGAGAACGCGCGAGGTGTGGGCGGGAAGGGATCGGCAGCCGCTCGCGGAGTGGGGGACGGAGGCCCGTCCGGCTTCCGCGGTCACATCTCACAATCCTTTCGCCGTTGCATATGCGGTTGGTTGTTTGAAAGCGGCAGCGATTCTCAGTCGACGACCGGCACGCATCCTGATACGTGAGAAGCAATCTTCAACAGAATTGCTTTGGCTAGGCATTGGTCATCATCACGCCTGAGAATCTCGGTCTCATCCAGGCCACCCTTGTCTGATTTCACTCGAGTCCGTCCAAGTATACGCACGTACTTGGGATCCGGAGACCAGTCATAATTCATCGACATGCACCTGCTAATGACGGATTCAACCTACAGCCCAGTCATGGCCACGTCGAGCAGGGAATCCTATCCTACTACACACAAATTTTATTATCTATACGGATACGGAGTACGTAAAGAAGATGCCTAGAATATGGCCTGCGCGTTTGGTGGAGACGAGATACCACCCGGCATATTGAACGGCGAAGACGAAACAAAAAAGGACCAGCGTCCGAGCTCCTGACAGGTCTGCGCCAGCCTCTCGAGGTCAAACAGCTCGCCGATGGGCATCCCCCAGCCCGCCAGCATGTACTCGTGCAGAAAGACCCCGCCGGCCTGGGGCGGATAGACTTCGAAGCTGATGGCGTCGCCAGCGACAGCCGCGAAGCCCGTGTCCCAGAGCCACCGGAGCATGTCCAGGGTGCCCTCGACACCGGCGTGCTGGGGGCTTGTGCTCACGGCGTAGGCCTGTTTCGCCTCCTGGGTCATGCGCTGCTCCCATTCCTTGGTGACGCCGATCCGGACAAAGAGGATGTCGCCGCGTCGGAACTCGATGTTGCATTCGCGGGCAATGTCCAGAATGTCCGCCAGCTTGATCGTGTGCAGAGAAAAGGTCGAGTAGTCGATACCCTTTCTCTCCGCGTAGGAGACGTAGTCAATGAGGACGCCACGGCCTGTTCATGCTTCAGTGTTGGCGCTGGTTCGGCTCTGGACTATTAAGACTGGATGTACGTACCTGTGATGCCCTCCTGTGCCCAGTGCTGGATACCGATCCGGTCACACGTGGGATCGAGGATTTCCTCCTTGGTGCAGCCGCCGTAGAAGACCCTCTCGGAAGAGCCCTCCTCCACTGGCTGGGAGAAGTGTCTCAAGCCGTCCCATCTGCGAAACACACTGTTAGCTGCAAGGTTGTCTGTCTACTCACGAGGCCCGGGGCTCATGTACGTACTGCGAAGATTGCTCTGCGTCTCTGGATCAGCCATGATTCGTCGTGCAGTCAAGTGTAAGCCGCACGTGGTGTGACTTACGAGGGTTGAGCGTGTAAATGTCGTCGAAAGCAACGCCATCCAGTAGCGGAACCATCTCCAGCTTGCACGGCTGGCGGTTGAAGCAGGCGAACTCTAGCTTGTTTAGATCCCAGCCCAGGTTGACACGGATGCCCTGCTGAATCTCGTCCTTGGCTGCGGCCAGTACCCTTTCCTTGGTGAGGAGGACCAGTCGTCCCAGGCCCTCCTCGCGCGAGCCAGGCTCACCGATCCATACCTGATGTCTGCTTAGTCGACGGGGCAGAGTCGCTCACACAGATGTATACGAACTCTCTTGGGGTTGGGGAGCTCCTCCCAGCTCTCGATCTCCATCATCGACGGATCAGCCATGGCGGATACTAGTGGTAGTCTCAGGGACCTGTCGGTCAGTCTGTCTGCCAGAGCACAACACACACGCAGTTACACGGATTCTATGCGCATGCTGCTCTGATTTATGCACAATCACAGTGTCGAAAGCTAGCACATTCTGGCAACGCCCCCTGATGCGATATCCCTGCACATGCTGCGCGTCGGACGTGACCACTGACACCTCACTTTCCTGCCGTTGCATTGCATGCGCGCGATGTGGTCCAAGCATCGGGTTACATGGATCGGCACGATTTTCGAGACATTTTTCCATCCATGGAGACAGGCGAATTAGGTTGCAACGGCCGAGACTGAGGACAGGGTTTGTTTGTCTGTTTTGGCTGTGCTGGGGCCTTGCTTTGTGGGTTCACCGTTCGTTGACGAGGGCGACGACCACATGCACGACACCTCTCCCTCGGGGTAGTAGTGCATACCACTGCAGAGAAAGAAAGTTTTCATCTGGGCCTCTTGTATTACTCCTCGCGCTTCTGCTCACTTTTAACATTCACCTTGCTTTTTTTGTTTTGTTTTGGTGTCAGTGCAAGTTGATCCCCCGATCTGCCTACTGCACTTCATCGTCCATCATGGAGCATCACGACCAGAAGATCAATCTCTACAACCGCCTCGTGATAGCCTTTGTGGCCCTTGGCGGCACGGCAAGTCGACCTCGCTCTCTGAAGATCTTCCCGCTGACCCGCCACAGACATATGGGTTTGTACTCCCTTCACGCCTCGCGTAGCGTAGCTGATTCGAATACACCTGCCCAGGTACGGCGCGAGCATCATCGGCTCGACCATTGGCCAGCCAGGCTGGTATTCCTACTTCAATCTCCCCGCGGCAGGCGAGGAAGGGTACGCGAGTATCACGACGCCAGCCATTGCGACGGCCAATGGCCTCTTCTCCGCCGGGGGCGCCGTCGCATCCCTCATCGTCATGTGGGCGTCTGACTACTTTGGCCGCGTGCGCTCTATCCAGATCGCCTGTGTCCTGGGTGTCCTTGGCGGCGCGCTGCAGAGCGCTGCGCAGAATCTCGAGTGAGCCGTCGTCTGTACATATTCTTCCCATGCCGCGCTGACCTCGTTGTGCGCAGCATGTTCCAGGCCGGACGCTTCATCATGGGCATGTGCGTCGGTGCCATGTCCTGCGTCGTGCCCATGTATCTGTCCGAGATGTCCTCTCCTCGGTTCCGGGGCTGGCTCGTCGGCCATCACGCGTGAGTGTACAAAGACTTGACTTGGCAAAGCGCCCACTGACACCCTTTTCAGCATCTTCCTCGTTTTTGGCTACATGCTGAGCTCGTGGACTGGCTTCGGCATCTTCTTCGCGAGCAACCTCGAGCTGGGATGGCGTCTGCCCCTCGCGATCCAGTGCGTGCCGCCCTTGATTCTCCTCGCCGGTAGCCCCAAGGTCCCCCGCTCGCCCCGATGGCTGGTCTCGCAGGGTCTTAAGGAGGAGGCGTGGGTGGTGCTGCAGAGGTTGCGCCAGTCGCCCGACGATCCCGAGGACCTGTTTGCCAAGGAAGAGCTCTACCAGATCCAGGAGCAGCTGCGACTCGATGCCGACAAGCTGGCTGCCTACGGTAGTCCCTGGAAGGCCGTTATCCAGAAGCCGAGCTACCGCAAGAGGATGATCATTGGGTCCCTTACGCAGTGGGGTGCCGAGTTTGGTGGCCCGCTCGTCATTGTACGTTGGACATATTGTTTTGTGCAGGGAATAGGGACTGACATGCCAGAACAACTACGCAGTTCTTCTCTACACCGGCCTCGGTCAGACGGGGTATATGCCACTGCTTCTCTCCGCTCTGTGGCTCACGACAGCCGGTGTCATCTACAACCCCCTGGGCGCCTGGCTTCACGACAAGGTGAGAGGGGGGACTGTAATCCCGAGTGTTGATCAGTGCTGACAGGACTAGGTCAACTCGCGCCGTCTCATGTATATCATTGGCTTCTGCGGCATTGTCGTGACCACGTCCGTCATGTCGGCCATGATCGCACGATTTGGCGGCACCGACAACAAGGCAGGCAATGGTGAGATTCACGCGCGCGGCGTGTAGACGAGTAGCTGATCTGTGTCTGTGTAGCGGTCGGTGTTCTGTTCATGTTCTTGTACCTGGCGTTCCAGGGCACTTTCTGCAACACGACCATGGTGTGTTTTCCGTAGCAATGTGGCGTAAGTACACACCCGCTGACACCACGCAGTACCTCTACATCAGCGAGATCTTCCCGACGGAGATTAGGTCCATCGGCATCGGATTCTCTCTATTCGGCCAGTACGCATGTAAGTCGAGGGCGCACCCGCACGCCAGGCTGAACCGTGCTAATCCCTCAGCAACCATCATCCTGCTACAGACGGCGCCCATTGCCTTCGAGTCGGTCGGCTGGAAGTTCTTCCTGGTGATCATCTGCTGGAGCGTCGTCTTCGTCCCCATCATCTACTTCTTTTGGCCCGAGACGGCGCGCCTGACGCTGGAGGAAATTGGCCAGCAGTTTGGCGACGAGGTGGCCGTGCAGCTGACCAACCTCGGAGACGAGGAGAAGACGGCGCTGGACCAGAAGATTCTCGGACAGGACAGCAAGCAGCCCGGCCCCGAGGTGGTGAGTGCGCCCGCGTCGGAGAGTGATGGTCGCAAGGGCCCTCAGTGAGGGCGATTAGGACCATGGCATCGAGGGGAATCAAGAGCGCAGAAGTGTTCCATTCTCCCTTGTACTCCGTAGGTCGAATATGGAGGTAGATTACATCATGCCTTCTGGTGCGATATTGTAATCTCTCAAGAAATCCGTGATCTCATAATACGTTTCTATTTCATTAGTCTATATGAAGCCGCTCACGCCTTGCCCTCGCGCACGACGCTGTCAATAGCCCGCGCGACATATTTCACATTTGCATCGCGCAGGCCGCAGATGGAGATGCGGCCGGTTGGCAGCATGTAGATGTGGAACTTTTCCTGCATAACGGCGACCTGGTCCGTGGACAGACCCGTGTAGGAGAACATGCCCGTCTGGTCGACGACGTGCTTCCAGGAGCCCGGGGTGCCGAGGGCGACGAGCTCGTCAAAGAGAGCCTGCCGCATGGCCTTGATGCGGCCGCTCATGAAGACCAGGTCCTCGAGCCACTGGCTGAAGATCTCCTCGCTGGTGAGGACGGTGGTCGCGACGCGGGCGCCAAAGGCGGGTGCGATGGAGACTTCGCCACGGTGGATCTCGACGAGCTGGGAGCGGATGGCGAGGGCGACGCTCGGGGCGGCGTTTCTCGAGGTGACAATGTGGAGGGCACCCACGCGCTCGCCGTAGAGGCCGAGGTTCTTGGAGAAGGACTGGCAGACGGCGAACTCGAGGTCGGGGTGGGTGGCAAAGTGGCGGATGGACCAGGCGTCCTTGTCGAGGTTTCCAAAGGCGAAGCCTTGGTAGGCCGAGTCAAAGACGACAAACATGCGCTTCTTTTCGCACAGCAGGGCAATGTCCTTCCACTGGTCCTCGGTCGGGTCGATGCCCGTGGGGTTGTGGGCGCAGGCGTGGAGGAGGATGGCGTCGCCCTCCTTGGCGTCGCGCTCGAGGGTGGCCATGAGGCCGGCAAAGTCGAGGCTGCACGTCTTCTGGTCGTAATAGGGGTAGTCGCGGACCTGGATGGCCGGGGCGTTCTGGCGCCAGATGTGCGGGTGGTTGTCCCAGGTCTGGGCGGGCAGCCAGATCTGCTGGGGCTGGATCCAGCGGGCGAGGAACTTGGCGATGATGCTGTTGGCGCCGGTGCCCGACACGGTCTGCATGGACGCGACAAAGGGGGCGATCTCGGGGTCCAGCTCCGCGCCAAAGACGAGCCGGCGCGCGGGCTCGATGAAGGCGTCTATGCCGTGCAGCGGCGAGTACTCGTGGGTGCACGAGGGCAAGTCCATGCGCTTCTTGGCCTCGGCCACGGACGGGAGCAGCCACGGCTGGCCTGCATCGTCGCGGTACGCACCAATGCCCAGGTTGACCTTATCCTCGCTGGTGTCGCTGCGATACGCCGCCTCGATCTTGAAGGGGCCGCCTAGAGGCTTGTGTTCCACGGCCTCGAAGCGAGAGCGTGTTGCCGGAATGGAGCCCATGTTGGTTGTCGAGTGGGATAGTTTGCGTGAGATGGCTAGCTGAGCGACGAGCAGGAGCAGATGACGCTGCAATTGTCTATAAGAAGCACTTGGACTGAGTGAGTGCGTGGAGTAGAGGAAGAGTAGCGCCGCGGACTATCCGTAGGCTCGGCTATCCAAGGCAAACGATGGCTCGATGGTGCGGAATTTTAGCAAGTGAGAAAAATTGAGCCGCGACACGTGCCCGTGTGGGCCCTGGGGACGCGAGATCGGGATCCCAGGAGTCAGGACGGGGTTTGCCAGCTTGATTCCTCGAACCACCAACAAGACTTCCCCCGCGAGCCATGGCCATGTTTACGTAGGTTGTTGGCTGAACGTCGTCGGGGTGCCAACGTCACCGCAGCATCGTGACCGTGGGGTGTCCATGTGCGCACAGAGGTGGCCTTTCTGGTCTGTCAGAAGGTAGTAGGGGTCACTAGGAGAGTGGCAGGCTGTTGATGAGCCAGCTGAGATGGAGACGGGGACTAGAAAGAAGGCGATCTGTCAACATGAAGCTGCATGTGTCAAACGTGGTTGAAGGGAGAGGGAGGGAGAGGGGAGATCCGGTCAATTGGGCCTGCTGAGACAATGACGTAGTCATGTCTTCTGTAGGGTAAGCAAGAAAGACGTGCCCTCCCATGGTCGGGCCGTCGGAGCTTAAAGTTGAAGCTCAAAGAGCAAGGCAGGCCACATTGCCCCTGAATGAATCGCAATCAGGGGCAATAAAAACCCTGGCTGCGTAGCCAATCCAATGGTATCAATGTCTCACTCATTAAATGTCCAAGCATGGTTTCACCACCACTATTGGCCAAACCTACGCACCCTTATGCTATCTTGTGCCACATGGAGGAGGACTGCCATTCGCGCTCCCATGACGACGGCCACGTCGAGTGCAACGAAAGAAAGACTCTGGTCAGAATGAAAATGAGATTAGATCGTTTCGATTAGAATTCAATATAAAACACTAGACTCTTGGTCTCATGCCAATGCTGCCCTCAGAGAGGATCTCAGAGAGGATCTATACAAGCACTCCGTTAGTTGCATATCTGCACCAGAGACGACATGCACTTGTCGGTGCGTCACCACCTCACGCCCTATGTTCAACACCAGGCCTCGCCATCAGTACATGCCCCATTGTACAAACTGCAATCGCCATGGTGAGGTCTGACGAGGCCGACGCCTTCTACTTTGGCGTGTACTCGGCGATCCAGGAGATCCCCGTCGGCCGGGTCACCACATACGGACAGTACGTACTTACGCAGGTCTCCACGCACGCATGCCTCTAACACTCACAGCATCGCCGCCCTCTGTGGGTATCGTGAGTGCCCTCTATCCGTCATGTCCTCCACGAGATAAGCCCACCCAGTATGCATGCTCACCAGACATCACACATACAGCCCAGCGCCCGAGACAGGTAGGCGTCTGCCTCAAGCATCTGCCCGCCGACCCATCTATGCGCCACCACAATGGCAACGTCCCATGGCAGCGTGTCATCAACGCAAAGGGCCTCATCTCACCAAGGTACATACACAGAGACGCTCCTTTTTTCTAGTCACACACCCACCGACAAAACAAGCTAACAGAGCCAGGTCGGCCCCATCCGGCGCACGCAACCAGGCAGAGACGCTGCGTGCAGAGGGCGTCACGGTCACAGAGAACGCCATGGGGGAGCTCAGCGTCGACTTTGACACCTACGGGTGGTTCCCCGAGACCCTGCCGTCCGAGGAGACATCATCGCAAGAAGGAGGAGAAGGGTAAAAGATCTCTTCTAAATTAGCCCCGCGGGCATATATGTACACGCAAAACATAGGCTAGTCTACCCCAAAGCCACCCAACTCACTTTGCAGGGCGCAGGATATCAGTCGTGAAATTCGTTCGCCATCTCCCTGCCCTTGTGTGGTCGCTCCTCCACCCGAAAGTGCGAAGATGCACACAGTGCCAAAGATAGAATAATAAGAATAGTGGTGAAAGAACCAAGAAGAAAGAGGGGGGGGCTGTTCGAGGAAAGAAAGAAAGCGCAGTATACATCTCTCATGGGACAATATATGTGTGGTTGCAGTGTGTGCGAGGCAAGTCAAGTGAACGACCACCAACTCCGGCCGAGAAAAAGAAATGGAAACAAGGAGAGCGATACGAGAAGAAAAGAAAGCAAGGAGAGGGACAAGACCAGGCGACATGGTCGTCTTCGTCGTCGTGGGAGGCAGTTCTGGCGCAGCCCCGACTAGAAGCAGTTCAGGCTGCCCTTCTTCTTCTTGCCCTTGTTGATGGCGTTCATGCGGTCCTCGAGCTGCTTCCGCGCCGCCTCGGCCGCCTGCCGCTTCTTGCGCTCCTCCTCCACCGCCTGCACGCTCCAGCGGTTGTCCTGCTGCGTCTCGGGCGTCACCCGCTCCCGGAGCTCCTTGACCTCCGTCTCCAACGTGCCCGCCTTCTTCTTCCACGCGTCGCAGTCCGCCTTGACCTTGTTGGTCTGCTTCTCCAGGTCCGTCAGCGCCTCCTCCAGCGTCTGCGTCAGCTGCCGCTCCGCGTACAGGTGCTTCTCGATCGTCCGGATCCGCGCCTCCTGGTCCTCCGTGATCTGCGAGATGTTGAACTGGTCCTTGCTCGCCGGCCGCAGCGACGACGTCGGCGAGCTCGGCGGCAGCCCGTTGGCCGTCGGCGGCGGTGACTGCGCGCCGTTGGGCAGAGGGGGCAGCGGGATCGCCGGCGGCGGCGACGGCAGCGACGCGTGCGAGGCGCTCTTGCGGACCACCGAGTTGGAGCTCGTCCGCTTCGCGTCCGCGTTCGTCACCACCTCCTCGTACTTGGCCTGCAGCGTCGCGTACTCCTCGCGCACCGTGTCCAGCTCGGCCTGCATGCGCACACGCGCCACCGACTGCTCCTCAATCTGCGAGTTGCGCTCGCTCTGCAGCGTGCTGAGGCGGTTGTTCGTCATCTGCGCCTCGTCGTAGTTGTTCTGCAGCTGCTCCTCCAGCTCCTCGACCAGACGGCTGTTCTTCTTGTTGCGGCCCTCGAGATCTGTGAGCTTGCTCTTGACCGCTGTCACCTGGGCCACGACCGAGGATGCGTTGTCCGGCACCACATCCACCAGCGCCGCCTTGGCTGCCTCGAGGTCCTTCATAATGGTCTCGTTGATGGCCGACAGCTCCGCGACGTGAGACTCCATCTCGCCCGTCTTCTTCGTCGCCTCCTGCAGCGCCTTGCGGTCCGCAGCCAACGTCTCGATGCGCTCCCCGAGCTTCTCCGTGCTAGCCTCGAGCCCAAGTACGGTGGCCACCTGCGTCGCAATGGCCATCAGCTCCTCGCGTGCCGACGACAGCTCGGCCTCGAGCCTCTGGCCAGACTCGGCGTGCTCGCTGAGCAGCACCTCCACCTGCTCCTCGTACCCCTTCTGCTCGCGGCTCTTCAGGTCGGCGAGCTCCTGCGTGTGGCTCGACTTGAGGGCCTCCATGGCTTCGTGGTGCGTCTTGGCGGCCTCCTCATGCGAGGCGAGCTGCTCCTCCAGCTTAGCAAGGAGCTCCTGGTGAAGGGAGCCGTCCTCAGCGGATGGGCCGCGGGCCTGTACGGCCTCCTCGAGCTCCGCCTTGGCGTCTGCGTGCGCCTTCTCAAGCTCCGCAACCTTGGTGGCGTTGCTGTTGATGATGGCCTTGTATTCGTCAATCTCGTTGCGGAGGAACTGGATGAGGTTTTCCTGCTTCTGCGCGGCCTCCTTGCCTTCCACGTCATCGCCAGCGGGCGTATCTGACACAACGTCGCGGGACTGCGCGTCACCAAGTTGGGTCTCCAGTTTCTGTACTGTGTCCCGCAGCTCAGACTCCCGCGTCTGCATGGTGTCGAGCGCAGCCTGGTGCTTGCCTGCCCACGCTGCCAACTCGGCCTCGAGCCTGGCGATCGTCTCATTGTTCGCAGATGGCGTCTCGGCTACCTCGGGGTCGGACATGGCCTTCCGTAGAGTCTCCAGTTCAGCAGTGAGCTCCTGCTCACGGGATGCGTGCGCGTCGCGCATCGAGTTCATCTGCTTTTCCCTCTGCTCCAGCTGGTCACGCATGTTGGCGACCATGGACATGTCCATCGGGCTGGCCTTGAGACTGCTCCGCTCCCGTGTGAGGCCAGAGATGATGGTCATCTTGGTCTCCATCTCCTTCTTGGTAGAGGCAACGTCAGCCTCCAGCTCCTGGATACGCTCGCTACGCTGGTGCAGCTCGTGCATGGCCGCCGTGATGTTGATCTCAAAGTTCTGCATCGTCTCGGGCTTGTCGGCGAGATTGTCGTTGGCGATGTTACGTAGAGACGCGAACGCGCGGTGGGCGCGGTCGATGAGGAGGTTCTGGCTGGACTTGCGTCGGATGATGGGGTTGGGCGACCGCGGCGAGCTCGTCTCGCTGGCCCTAGCTCGTTGCACCTCTTTCTGCAGCTCCTCGACCATGTCAAGGGCCTCGGTGTGCTTGCTCTCGAGCTGGGCGTATCGCTCGACCAGCTCCCTCTCCGCTTGCTCGCTCTCTTCGGCCAGGACCTTAAGTCTCTGGACTTCACCCTCCAGCTGCCGGTTCGCCACATACGTGGACGAAGAATGATGCAATGTCACGTCGTCAGTTGACGATGTGGGCTTGGCTGTGGCCGAGTCGTCCTCCGAGACGGTGTCCCCGTTCGATGTACCCGCGGTAGCCGGCGAGTCAATGGCTGACGACAATTCCGACGACAGCGACCGAGATACGGAGGAACGCACTCCAGTCTTCGCATCGGCTTCGCCCGCCTCTGACGCAAAAGACTCAGTTTGACCTGGACCAGCTTCCGAAATTATCGACTCGCGAGCGCGCTGCTTGCTGTGACGAGCCTCGTCCATGGCGTCTTGAAGCTCGGCAAGCTTGGCCATGGCCTCCTCGTACTTAGAGTGCAGCACATCGTATTGGTTGACGGTTGTCTCGTGGTCGACGCGGAGGTCCAGCAGCTCTTGCGTGACATTCTCCAGCTTGTCCTGCACGTACCTGCTCTGTGCCGGCGTATCCTCCGTGGGCTGCGTCTCGGCAGCCGCCTCCTCGGCCTCCTCCTCGACGGTTGCAATCTTGGGCTCTCCCAGTGCGGCATCCTCATCATCCTCCGGGATCGGATCTTCCATCTGACTGTGGCGGCTGACGTGCGACTGTGCGCGAGAGTGGCCGGCGGTGCTGCTGCGCTTGCGATGACCGTTGGGCGCCGGCTGGCTACCGGGCTCGGGTTGCTTCGACTCGGGCACCTCATCGAGCTCCTGAAGCAGACTGTCGAGCTTGCCCAGGCTGCGCTGACGCTCGACCACCTGCTCCAGACGGTCAATCTCCCGCTGCATGAGCTCAGAGTCCTGGTCGGCCTCGGCGAGACGCTCCTCCAGGGTCGAGATGTAGTCCTCGCACGAGGCCTCATTCTCACGGACGCGAGCCAACTCCTTGCGCAGCTCCATGACGATGGTTGCGTTCTTCTCCTCACCGCTCGTGTGGCCGTCAAGCTTGGCTTCGAGGTCATGGAGGTAGCTCTCTGTGTTGGTTTCGCGGTCCTGGAGCTTCTGCAAGCGTGCCTGCAGCTGCACGTTGATGGTCTCGGCGTAGGCACACTTGGTCTCCTTCTCGAGAAGGCTGGCTTCGGTGCTGGACAGCGTGCCACGAGTGCTAGAGAGGGACTGCTCGAGCGACTGAATGGTCTTCTCATACTCCATCACGACCTGCTCGACAGCCTGGGCGAAAGAGTTGGAGCGATTGATGCGGTCATCGGCGCTGTCGAGCGTCCCATCCGCGTCGTGGAGCTCGCTGCTCGACTCATGCTCGCGTGCTCTCGCGAGCTCGGCAATGAGCTTCGCGTGACGTTGGCTCAGGGCCGTGTAGTTCTCCTGTGTGTCGAGCAGCTGGTTCTGTAGCTCGGCCTCACGCTCGCTCTGACGATCAATCTTGTCGCTGGCGCCAGCCTGTAGACGACGTGGGCTAGCCTCGGCGCGACTTGCGCTGTTGCGGATCTGTTCGCGCAGGAACGCCACCTCGGCCTTGAGGCGGTCGATGACAGCCTGCTTGTCGCCCTCGTCCACCTCCTGGATACGGGGCTTCGACTGAATCGCCCGAGCGCGCTGCGCGTACTGAACAGTGTTCAGCGTCTCGCTCAGGTGAAATTCGGCAGGCGTGACGCAGGCGATCATGTATGTGTAGGCGTTGCCGCCGAGCGAGTCTTGGAGGAGTCGTGTCAGCTTGGAGTCGCGGTAGGACACGTGCGAGCCAGCTTGGCGGGACGAAAGCTGGCTAATGACCTTGCCCAAGGAGGCAAGGCCCGCATTGATCGAGATACCCTCCCGAGCCCTGTCGCCATGAGCGCCCGTGTTCTTCAGCCGCTCGCTTCCCGCGAGGTCGACAAAGTGGAGCTTGCTGTCGGTGGTAACAGGTGCCTCGTGGCCGGACATGGCCTCGATCGGCACGGAGAACCTCTTCTCGGCGGCGGAGGGCTTGTCTTTGCGCTGGATCAAATTCAGAGAGAAGACGGCGTGGGAGCGAGAGGACTTGGCGTTGACGGCGGTGGCGTCAGTCTGGCGGATGGAGGAGCCAAAGTTGAGGGCGCCCATGAGATCCTCGACGCTAGTAATATCGACCTGGCGCAGGCCGGTAAGGATGATGTTGCCCTTGACGTCCTCGCGGATGGCCACGTTGCTGCGTTCGCCAACAGGCGTACTGTCTGGGACGAGAAGGTCGCGAAGCTGTTCATTGTAGATCTCAACGTAGGTGGCCTTGAGAGACCAGTTGCGGTCGCCCAGCGCGTTTTGCGCGCCGTAGGCGCCCCGGCTCTTCAGATGTGAGAGCGAGCTCCGTTTGGAGGCCTTGCTGGGGGCGGACCCCGTAGGTACATCGAGCTTCTCAAACAATGCACGAGCGGCACGCGGCACGACACCCATCATCTCCTCGTCGAGCTGCTCACCAGGCCCAGAGGTACCCATTGTGTATGATTTGCCGGCGCCTGACTGGCCGTAGGCCAGTACCGAGACATTGTAGCCTCTGGTGAAGGCGTCTATCGAGTCGCTGAGATACTCCCAGATCCCCTCTTGCATCACGTCGGATTCAAAGACTCGGTCGAAGACGAACAGCTTGCGGCCTTGTGGAGAGTCGATGGCCAGGCTCGTGCTCGAGGTCGTCTGCACCATGGATCGCTGGAAGCGCTGGGGTATCAGTTCGTAGCCGGGGTCCTCGGGCTTCAGAGGCGGTCGCACTCGTACGGCTGTTTCGCGTCAGCGCAAGGCACCATGCCGCATCGCGATCATACTCACCGACTTTGACAGCTGTGCGGCTGTCCTCATCGGAGGCTCTGCTGCCGGCCGTCATTTTGCTACCATTCATGCTGAGACGACTGCTGCTCCGTCCTGCAGGTCTCGCGATGGCGCTCGGCGGACGATTGCCCGGACTGGGGGAGGCTGGTGGTGAAGAGGCCATGATGCTCGTTGGTGTTGGTCAAATGCCCCTGCGGGAGGGTGTCAAGCGTGACAGGCCTGCATAGGCTGGCGTCGCTGGTCGTATTCGTCGTGAAGATGCGCAAAACTGACGTTGAAAATGTTGTACGCTGTCAGCAGGTCGGTGGGCGAGACAAGCGGATCGTAGGTGTCGAAGCTCCAGGTTGTGTCGGGTGTGTGGGAAGCACGTAGTAATTAAACACGCGTCTGACCACGGTACCGCGCAGAGTTCTCGGCGCACAGCCGGACGCAGCAAGACAGTACAGCGAGCGTCGACGCAGCTCTGCTGAAAAAGAAGAGAGGGCTCCTTTCAAAAATGGCAAAGAATGCGTGTATGGAGTATACTCGCCCCAAGCCAAATCTGAGGGAAGTTGGCCAGCGTTGGGTTGGCTTTCGTAGAAGCAACGAGGTCCTGAAAAAGGGGAAGGCGGCATCCGCTCCTTCCATCAATCACACCGAAAGGCGAAAGGGTCCTGCTTGCCTTGTTGGCTGTGATGGAAAAAAATCCAGGGGCAGCTTCAGGGGGCCAGGGGTCAAGTGCTTGACGTGACCCAATTGGTGATTGAAGCGGGGGCTCATGGCGCTTGGTGGGGCACCCGCATCTGGATTGGGTCGGAGGCCAAGCCAGTGACAGCCTGACAGGAACCGCGTCGGAGGCTGCTTGCTGCTTGTGACTTAGAGGTTGTGAACTGGTGGCCCCAATGCGGTATGTAGTCCTTGTAAGGGGTCGTATCTTTCTTTTGTCAAGTCGCATGCTATTCATGCTGCATCACGTTCGCGCGGGAAATGCTCCGCGTCCCAAGTTGTTCCTGCCAAGTCACTCAATATTAGTGTGGTGCGGGTGGGCCCGGGATCCTCCAGCCACATGTCAGCCACAACTGGACAAGCGACTCGAGAGGCGCCTTGCTAGTCAGTACGTAGTATTGCTTAATTTATCGTACCTACAAATATTCCCATGTTCTGAATCGTTCAATGAATTACCATCACATGGCAAGCTAACCACACTCATGCGCGGATGCATCATCCCATGTTGCATCAAGTCCCCGTGTTTTGCCGGTCTGGTTGAGATAGTCAAGGTCCACCACTCAGCTTGGCAGTCGAGTCAGTAATCCCATCGTCTGCATAACCCTGGACACGCATCTGAGTTCCAAAGTTGCTGGCCGCTCTATTCCTCATTTTTCTTCTTGTCAACGACCAAATCTACGACGTAGGTCCGCGAAGCGTGACCGCGAGCGCAAGCTACTCCGCAGAATACCGGCAATGATCGACAGCCCCTAGGTTCCGGGTCGCATAGTGGTACACACATAGCGGCGGATCAGACCCGTGCTCAATGCACTGTCGAGTCAATCATGTCTCACTGGCGGGCATAGTAGGTCTATTCAAGGCGCGACAACATTCAACTTAAGCTAACAGACACCTACTGTGTATCTGTCTGACAAGCTACAGGTCCGTCTCAAACGTCAGTAGTCCATCGAGTGGTGACGACGCGATGCATTCCTAATCTGATTAGCAATCGTCAATGTGCCAGTAGGCTTGGACTGACGGGTCGTAGGCATCTTGGCCGCCGTACTGCTGATCGTACAGGTCCTGCGCCTGATGCTTTGCGCTGTGCTTGGCCTTCTCCTTGTCGACGTGGTTCATGCCCTTGGACTCTGCCCACTTGTCCATTTCCGCACCGGTGAAGCTCGTCAAGGCTTCCTTGGCGAAGCCATGCGAGACGGGCTTGCCCTCGGCTCTCTGGTGATCCTCCCACTTCTTCATCGCCTCGAAGGCAACACCCCCAGCCACGACTTCGTGGGACAAGTGGCCCTTGTGGCCGCCTTCGTAGGCCTCATCATGCTTCTTGCGAGCGTCGTCTAAAAGCGTCAGTGGGATTCTGCCACAGAAGACCTGGACACACCAAAGTCGAACATGTCTGCGGTGTGGCGTGTATTCTGTGTTGTGAATGTCGGCTTGTGCAGGTCTAGAAACTTAGACACTTACATGCACGCCTAGTTATAAGCTCTATAACACACGAGGCCGCGTCATCTCAAATCATATTTGGACGGGTTTATCTTGTTGTCACGTTGCACGTCATGATGTGAATTGCGAGCTTGTCACTCAATGTTGGTGGTGGATTAAGCTTTTGGCTTTGGGGTGTGTTCACTCCAACCGGAAACACAGCACACTTCTGCACGAGCCAGACGACGATGTATGCCAGCCTATCCGTTCTAGATCCGCGGTATCTGTGATTGTACTAGATCACATGGAAACTCAAAATTTGATGTGATTGCCAGCCGGGCAGGGTCCAGGCATGGCTTCCCTACCATGTTGATGGTTATCACAGGGTAGGTCGTCGGGGACGGCGGCAGCAAAGTGGCCGGACGGGACTGGACTGACAAACGCCCCCACCAAAGCACGTGATCAGGCGTCGCCCGCATGCCAAGCGCGTCATAGTGTGAAATGGGCAGAGTTTCGATGGCGTGTCTACCAGCAAGGACCGCGACAGAAAAGCCAAACCCTCGACCGACATGCGAAATGGCAGGCGATGTCATCGATCTCGTTTCTTCGAGCCCGGAACCTCAGCTTCGCCCCGCGGTAACAACCAATCCGGCGCGCCAGAGCCACCAAGGTGTATCTGGAGCCGCGCAGTCACACAAGACCAATTCGCTGCCCAAGGCGTTGCCCGCGACGATAGACTTCGATCTTGACGACATAGCCGACGAGTTTGACACGACGGGGGATATCGACGCTGCACTACACGCACCATCCCAGCCTCGTCTTCAAGCCACCACAGCCCAATCCGTCAATGGATACCCAACCACTACCCAGCATGTCGTGTTGCTCTCGGACGACTTCGATACGACCGGCGGATTGAGCGAGCCTGTTCTCAGGGAGAGTGTCGGCAACAAGAGGCGTCGACTATCCCCATCCCCTGCGGCTGTCGCTACAAAAGTAGTCACCACAGGACCAGCACAACGACGATCCAGTCCTCGTCGAGAATCACTAGGTTTAGTTGACGAATTTTCCGACATTTCCGACCCTTTTGCCACCTCCCCTCTTCCAGCGACCGCAGAATTTGTCAGAACGGCCCATGTCACCAATGTGAAGAGCCCGAGTCCGCGGCTTGCCGCACACAGTTCCCCTAGCCAGGTTCTGCCTGCCGTGCAGAGAGCGCCAGTCTCCCTGCCAAAGGACCCCTTGGCGTCGTCGGACCCCTTCGCAAGCTCGCCTAGATCGTTACATGGTACGATTGACCTGTCCCTCGATGATCCGTTGCGTGGAGGAGGCACGAGCTCCACACAGCTGCAATCGACACACTGTCGGGTCGGCCCGTCAAATCTGTCAAAGCCTCGCAGCCCACCACGACCGGTGGCAGTATCATCCCGCCGCCAAATATGGGATCCTATTTCGAGCTCAGCACCTGAGGCATCCATGAATGGAGGGACGGTCCGGCAGTACAAACCCTCGAGCAAAGCAATAGAGATTGATTCCGACACAGACGAGGCTCCTCCTGCTGATGACATTGATTCTGATGACCTTCCCGACATTGACAGCCTTGCGAAGCACGTCGCGAACCGCCCACCAAGATCTCCCCTTCGTCGATCAAGAAGTGAGATTGTCAGCTCGAGAGGCGCCGCCAGGGTGACCAAGGCTTCCGCGACGGCCGGGGGGAGAACGCGTGAGCGGCAAACAAAGGCTTCTACCAAAGATGCAGAGAAGAGACACAGGCAGGAAGAGAAGGCACGGGACAAGGCTATCAAGGACGACGAGCGGATACGAAAGCGGGCCCTGGCCGAGGCGAACAAGCACCTGGCGGACAGGAAGGCCTCCACGCGGGAGATGGTTGTGGACCTGCCCTCGACGCTGAGCCAGGAGACGAAGACGCATGTGGAGGCCATGTTCGAGAAGCTCGATGTTAGCTACAGACTCAGGCAGACGCCTGTCGACAACGTGGTGCTTTGGCGCCGAAAGGTCTGCCGCCGCTTCAACGAGAGTCTGGGCCACTGGGAGCCGGTTGTCGAGCGCCTGGTCCCCGAAAAGTACGCCTTGGTGGTGGTGTGCGCACCCGAGTTTGTGGAGATGGCTCTTAAGGAGAGCCTCGAAGAACATGTCCATAAGATGGACGAGAGCTTTCCCGATTACCAGATTATCTACCTCATCGAGGGCATGCGGAAGTGGTTCTCCAGCAACCGTGCCACGCTAAACAGACAATTTCGAGCAAACGTACGAGGGGAGCCGTCAAGCTCGTCCGCGCGACGGCGTACCGCGCAGGAACCCGTCGACGAGAGCGTGGTCGAAGATGCATTGTTGCAGCTGCAGGTCCTGCACGACAAGTACATTCACCACACCGAGGACGCAGCTACTACGGGCGACTGGATCATGACTTTTACCCAGCACATCTCGGCCGTGCCGTACAAGAAGGCCAAGGAGCACGCGCTGCGGGATGTCGGCTTCTGCATGGAATCGGGGCAGGTGCGGTCGGGAGATGGGCCCAAGGATACGTATTTACGGATGCTGCAGGAGATTGCCCGCGTCTCGGCGCCAATGGCGCATGGGATTGCCGCGGAGTTTGAGAGCGTACCAGCCTTGGTGAATGGCATGCTGCGCGGGGGGCCGGAGCGGCTGAGCAACGTGGCGAAGACAGTCGACGGCAAGGGGACGCTGGGCACGAGGATGATCGGACAAGCTGTGAGCAAGCGCATGTACAAAATCTTCACGGGTCGGGACGAAACGAGTACAGAAGTATAGTATAGATCTATTCATGATATGACGACTATGGGATTGGTAACCTGGACACTAGACGAGTCAGCTTTGGTCCACGTAGTAGATGGCAGCAAGAGACAAGTGAATGAAGTAACGATCAGACAGCGGTTGGTTGTTTTCCACATTGTAATTTCAGAACAGGTCTGTGAATACGGTTTCTCATCACGCAAGGTTGGGGTGTTGGGGGAGGATAGCAAAGAGTTTCTTCAAACGTACCTTGTCAAGTGTCGGCATCGGCACGCTTCCGCTTCTTTGGCGCGAAGAAGGACGTGAGCGTCTTCTGCTTGTCGTCAAAGCGGGCGCTGCCGATGCCACCTCGCGTCTTGCGGAGGCCTTGAAGGTGATCAACACTGTTGACTCGGAGGATGTGAACCTTGGTGCTGGACCACTTGGTGTCTGCTGATGTCAGATGGGCCTCAAGGAAGCCCGTGTTGCTCCAGGTCGGCATCAGTTGGCTGCCCGGGCTGCCAATGCGTTGCGCCTCTGGAGCAAAACTCATAGAGCCGTGCGAGAGTTGCTGACGCAAATGCCTGAACAAGACGCCAAGGATAATGCCGTGGGCGACGACGTATACATGATCTGAAGAGGAGACGAGGGGAAGCAAGCGCTCCTGGAGAAACACGCCGACGCGCTCGCGCATGTCCTCAGGCGACTCCGCACCTTCATGATGATGGTCCCTGCCAGCGCCAAAGCTCGCACCCTCGCCTGTGCCAAAGTGTTTCTCGCGGAGCTGAGGCAGCTGCAAAGGCTCTTCGCCGTTGGCACGCGCGTCGCAGATGGCCTGAGCCGTTTTGACAGCGCGCTGCAGGTCAGATGAGAAGACCCTGGCTGCGGAGGACGGGTTGCCTGAGAGGTGCGTGGCCAACCGACGCGTTTGGAGGACGCCATGGGCGGTCAGTGCCGAGTCGCGCGAGCCAGCGTAGACTTGTGCGACATTGTCTACCGTCTCACCGTGACGGATCAAGAAGAGACGCATCGCGGTGCCCTGACAAGTCAAGGCGGCCAGGTGGCGCGGTGACGAGCCATCACAGAAGTGGTGAGGATGTGAAGTGGTAAAGGAAGAGATGTGAAAAAAATTTGGAGGTCGAGAGGCTTTTGTTACCTGTGGTGGGGACACTAGCGGCTGTGCTTACATAATCACGCGGAGATTGCCCGATCATCGTCGCAGGCCTCATTTCTTGAGGTGCGTGATCTATCCGTCCAATTGCTCAAACTTCCAAGTGTGCAAACCAGGGGCTGCTCAGATGAGCGTGACGATGGACTCGCTACCCTCACAGGGCATATATCTGGTCCATTCGTGATAAAGTCAACACCTACCCACATGGACACACCTGGTCTGACTTTCCTCAATCTCCTACCGAGAGGGAACCGGACAGAGCGGACGGTAGCGCGTCGTTGCTCCCCGTAGCCGTCTTCGGGAGTTGTCAATACATGTCAAACAAAGGGCGTGAAGGGCGCGTCGACTGCCGGTATCGCGCTGCGAGCCGCCGCTTATGTGGACTGTCTGTCATCCGCAAAGGACTCACGTTCACGCCACTCTTGTTCTGTGCGGCCACACACGTCGTGGGGAATCTTGCACTGTTTCTTGAAACTCGCTCTAGCCCCTGGCATCTACAGATTGTCTGAACATTGGACCGACGTTGCGCTTTCACCGAAATGCAGAAGATCCTGGACTCAGCGGTAGACGCCATTGGCCGCACACCTCTCGTGCGCCTCAGTCGCATCACCTCATCTCTAGGGCTCGAGGGGTCCATTCTCGCCAAGCTCGATTACTTGAACCCCGGTGGCTCAAAGAAGGACCGCGTGGCCCTCGGTATCATTGAGGAGGCAGAGAGACTCGGCACTCTCAAGCCCGGACAGACTGTCGTCGAGCTGACGAGTGGCAATACAGGCACGGGTCTCGCAATCGTCTGCTCTGTCAAGGGCTACCCATTTGTCGCCGTCATGTCGCGAGGAAACTCGGTTGAAAGGGCCCGCATGATGGCAGCCCTAGGAGCCGAGGTTGTGCTCGTGAACCAGGCGCCTGGATCGATGCCTGGCCAGGTATCCGGGTCTGACCTGGAGCTCGTAGAACGCAGAGCGAAGGAGATTGAAGCCGAGTGGGGCGCCTTTCGCGCTGATCAGTTTACGCGGGACGGTAACTGGATTGCGCATCACGACGGAACGGGCGCCGAGCTGTGGGAGCAGACAGACGGGGCCATTGACGGCTTCGTGGACTTTGTGGGCTCTGGAGGTACCTACGCGGGCGTTTCCAGGAAGCTCAAGTCACTGAACGACGCCATCAGATGTTTCATCGTTGAGCCAGAGGGCGCTGCTGTCTTGGCGAAGAAGGAGGTCACAAACCCAGGGCACCCCATCCAGGGTGGTGGCTACATGATGCCTGAATTGGCGTATCTGAAAGATCTTGCTGTAGATGGCCTCGTGCAGGTCACGGGCGATGAAGCCAAGGAAGGGGCTCGCATGCTGGCCGTAAAGGAGGGCATCTTTGGAGGATTCTCCAGTGGCGCAAACCTCATGGCTGCCATCCGTCTTCTGCAAGGCGAGATGCGGGGGAAGACGGTGGCCATCGTCATATGTGACTCGGGCCTCAAGTACATGTCCACTGACCTGTGGACCGATCCGCAGATAGATTGAACTGGCTGGACCCGTGCTGTTGTGCGGTTGCTGAAATCAACTCTGTTACGTCGCCGTAAACCGATGTCTGTGGCCGCACCCACAGCGCCAAGTCGCCACGTCGTTGCATCGGACTATGGAGGCACCCTCATCATGGTCTCCAGGATCTCCAAGCGGTCGGCGGCATCCCAGGTTTCCTCCTTCCAGTAATCGAGCATCTGCATGACCTTGCCAACCGACGCCTCCCACCCCAATGGCAACATGGAGTGGAGACGAGATTGCGACGCGGCGACAAGGACCAGCGCACTTCGTGTGCAGGACCGTAGCATCAACCACGTCCCGTGATGGCGAAGACGAAAACCGCCTTCGTTTTCCTCTATGCGCCGCACGCAGACCTGGAAGCCTTTGATGGCGAGGAGGCGGGAGTCGTCATCGTACTTGGACCGGTGAATCGCTTCGACCATAAAAGGCCAGTACATCATCTCGTAACAGTCGAGCAGGTGGCCATTCAGAATGAAACGCAGCGCAGCGTGCTTCTCGTCTGCGGAACCGGGGGTCTCGGTCGATCCTTTGAGTTTCAGGGTGTCGGGTAGGGACTCGAGCCTGGAAGATGAGAAAGGTCAGAATGACAGCTGGATATGCATTGGTTCTTGTTGGGTCACGCACCAGCCATCGGCTTGTTGCTCAAAGTCCAGGATGGTGTTGATCCTCTCGGGCAGGGGACCACTCGGCTGCTCCTGGCAGGTATACGTCAAGACACGATTCTCCAGTCGACGGAGTGCAATCTCTGCCAGGTAAAAGTACCAGGCGGCCTCGCTCTGCGACTGAAGGCTTGCAGGCGGCTCGGGAAAGAAGGCTGGATAGCGGAGGTTCCAAACGCTGGTCTCGGCAATGTTCAGCTCCAAACGGAGTTCCCTAGCAGCCAGATCAGCACATGCGGCTCTGGAGGCCAGCGGATTCTTGGAGTCTTGCGTACAGCTCCGACTTGAAACAAGTCCAGTAAATGCTCTTGTGGAGCTGTGACTCTGCCTGCCGAGGGTCATCGCCATGTTGGCCTTCTGCGTCGCGGTGCGCTGTGGGCACGAAGCCCTGGCAACATGCCAGCGCCTGAACAAACATCTTCCACGCCTCGACTGGCCGTAAGGTTGTCATCAGGTAGACGCCCGCCAAGAAAAAGATCTGGGCCTCGACAATGCCACTCTTACACAGCAGGGTTCCCATTCGTCGTTGAGCAGCCATAAAGAACGCTTCGCCACGAAGAAACTGGTCGGATTGGCGAAACGCGGCCGATGTCTCGAATGGAGGTTGGCTGTACCGGTCCGCTATGGTTCCAAGAGCATATATAAGGAGCTACAGCGGCGTGGAGTGTCAGTCAGGTATCTGCTGCGTGCGGGAATGGGACGTACCAGCAGACACGAGTTGGAATCCCATCCCAGGCCATTGTACCGTGTGAATCTCACCGATTCCTTGACGCGGGAAATCTCCAACACGGGGTTGTATATGTGAAAGTTGTCGAGGAACTGTTGCAATAGTGACCCTGCGTCATCAGCTTCAATGTCCGAAGTTATCAACGACCGCGGGTCCGAATCTGAGCTCCCAGCCTGGAGGAGCGTCTTCAATGGGGTTTGGTGGGCGGATGCCAGGTGTCGAAACATTGGCCACCCAAGAACAGCCTCAACGCTGATACTCCAGACTCCTGGGGAACTTTCGTTTGCCACATTTCTGTTCGACACGGGCGTGTGTTCATAGGGTCCGCCAGTCGTCTGACTTTCATCGAGATCAGTAGATGGCACTCCAGGGGCGGCAATGACTCGATGGTAGCCTGGAGTTTCGGGATGCGCAGCTCTAAAAAAGATCCTCGAGCACGTCCAAGCGTTGAAGAATGGCCAGGCTCGCCGAGTCAAAACTTGGACATGTCAGCGGTTGTTTGTGCGGAGAACGGAAGGCCTGCCATCTCAAAGATTGACACTGTGTCTGCTCATACGTACCTCGACTTGTCGCCCTCCTGGTACACGCATTCAATGCCCAGATTTAAGCACGAGGAGCAGGTAGGTCGCTCATTGTCACACTTGGTCCGGCGTCGTCGACAAGCGAGACAAGCCTGGGCAGCGCGCTTCCGAGGATACGCGGGCCTTGTGTCGGGCGTGGAACGTGGACGCTTGCGCGACCGCTCCTCCTCGTTTGATGGCATAATCAATGGCAGCCAAGCATGGGTTTTGCGACGGAGTGTGGTGGATAAAGAGTATGATGGCCAGCCGCGGAGACGAGGGACAGACAGTAGGCCTCTGTTCTGGTCCCTGGAGCTGCTGCTCCAGAATTGGAGTCGTCCACAGAAGACATGCCCACAGCTCGGTCGGCCTGATTACGAAGGGGGGCCGATCAGCGGAAAGCCGGAAACGCCCATTTGTCACTAATTACTGATGGGTGTGCTAGACTAGCGGAAGCGCGGATGGCTGATCAATCGATTTGTTGGAGAGAGTCCAGACTCTGGGGACACCATTCCAGCAGCAGCAGGCCTGTACCTAAGACTTCCAGCACAAGCTGTCAAACGTATCGCTCTGTTCCCAGATAGCCGACCAGCTACGGTTACATTTGGGCAAGAGCAATGTTTCCAAAACAATTTGTGCTGGCCCCTGGCTGGGCTTATACGCAAGAGAGACGGCGGGCCGGACTCTTGACTCTGGAGCGCCATGCGCGCGCCCATGCGCACAATGGGGAAATAAGCGCTTTTATTTCGACAGAACAAGGGCTTAGATGGCGATGACTAGAAGCCAAACATGAAATTGGTCAGATTTACGATGCGGGGCATGAAGCAGCAGCAGCGCAATGATCATGCTTCATTCAATCCGACCTCCCATCAACCAGCATGGCCAGCCTAGACTCGCAAGGAGACGACCGGTCCCACGTATTCTTCCCTCTGCCCATTAGGAAGCTCAACCCGGATGGGAACTGCCTTCTCGCTGACACCCTGCAACTCCACCGAGATCAATGTGGTCGACTCGTCGCGCCCGCGTTTCCAGGAAACATGTGCCACCCCTGGGGCCAGTCTTCCACCAAGCGGCACCCGGCACTCGAAATCCCTGAACAGACTCAGACGCGGCTTGAAAGCGATTACTGCCCACCCGGCTTCACCAGGATAGATGCCGGCCACCTCGAACATGAATTCGTACAACGGCGCGCAGGACCACGCATGGCAATCGGACCGTCGCGTCACGTCATCCTCACACCACGTTGTCAAGTTCTGCGATATCTGTGCCTTCCAAGGTCCCCAGAGAGAGTGGAACAAGTCATCGTAGAGACGTCCACCCACAGCTGAGAGGGCGCGAAACATGTAGAAGGACATGGCCATGGATGGCTCGGTGAGCTTCGGGTGCTGCGTGTCGTCCTGGACAGACCTCGATGGCATGAGGCCCATGTCCCGGGCTGCAGGCAGTGAGCGCACCAACAAATCGTGAGCCGCGCCCCCCGTCACTGCGCCGCTGAGAACGGCCCAGATCTGGTTGTGCTGGCTGAAGTCCTCCGCGAGATCCGCCGAGGAGGCCAGACCGTCTGTGAAGAGCGTGTCGACTTGGCAGCGCGCCCGGACAGCCTCGATGACGGCGTCTGCCCGCGATTCGTACTCTGATGCGACAGCAGGTCTTCCTGTCTTGCCCACCACTGATGCTGCGGCTCGGAGCGTGTACGCATAGATCATGTTAGTATATGTCTGGAACCCGGTTCGCTTCGCGGCTGGGGGGATGCCCATGGGCCGCCACTCGTTCGTCCAATCGACAAAGTCCCAGTGCGTACCCAGTGCCTCCTGACTTGCGGAAACGAGATCCAAGTTAGAGTCGATCCGTCGGGCAAACGTCTCCAGGATACCGTCACAGGCTGCCAGAAATCGCCGGGTAAAGCCAGCGTCGGCGTAGTGTTGGAAGTGATCCGCCACTGTGCAAATCCAGAACAGCGAGAAGTGCGGGATGATCTGAAGCTGGTGGCTTGGGCTACGGCTGGCGATGAGGCCAACACCTGGCCGATACGAGTTGTGCAGCTGCACTATGGCTTGACGTGCCATGCGGTCGTCGCCCGCCGCGGCATAGGTGAACAGACAGGAGCTCCGGACGTCCATGGCGTATTGGAGCTGCTCGTAGAATGGGCAATCCTCGTAGCAGTCGTGCATGCAGTTTGTCAAAGTTCGAACACTGATTCTCCACATCTTTTGATAGTAGGTGTCGTGCTCCGGCGCGCCGGGAATGCTGAAGCCTCCGAGGACATCTAGGGGATAGTGTGTCATGTCCAGCTCGACCCCTATCAGCTCCAGAGGGCATTGGTCACTGACAAGAATATAAAGGGCCATGAATCGTAGTGTGCGGAAGTGGAAGGGCGCAAACGTCTCTTCTTCCCTGGCTTGAGAGGTGTACTGCAACTCGGAAGCGTTCTGCGCGTCAGCTTGCCCACCAAAGACGTATTCATCTTGAGGACCCGTGAGCAATTTGTTGGTGTCGCGCCGGTCTCCTTTGCTGCGAGCGTAGGGGGTAGAGAGGGGCTCGTCTTCATAGGCTTCCGAATAGGTGACTGTCAAGCGGCTCCCCGGGAGATCAGGTCGCTTGAACCGGAAGGTTGGCCATGCCGTGGCGTGATGAGGGAGCTCAAGCTCCACATGATGCACCGATCCCCGTGGGAAAACCAGCGGCGCGCGATTGTCTTTGTTGAGAAGGCAATCTTCCCATGCTGATAGAGGGATCGAGCTTTGGATGTTGTGAATCTCTTGGAACGAGAGGGGCGAGACCTTGGCGACTGGTATCATACGGGGCGTGAGGACCCATGGTGGTGAGATGCCGTGTGACTTGGGCAGCTCGAGACAGACTGCCCGAATCCATTGGAGTGTTGAGGTACTGGAAATACCCGGGTCAGGGTTGGTCTTCTCGTAGACGTGCAAAAAGTCGTCCTCGTCTTGGTCGACGCGCAAGATGAGGGAAGTGTCGAGGCTCGTCTCCCAAGAGTCGTCACTCTGGATTCCGAACTTTGCGCGAGCCTCCTTGTCCGGTGTGCGAACAAAAAGGCCCGGAATCGGCATCCTCGGGAAACTCGTCGCATGCGCCGAAGCGTGAAAGAACCTCAGGACCTTGATGCCGATGTGGTTGACGCCAGTCTTCAAAAAGGGCTGGATATCGAGCTCGTCGTAGAACCACATGTGTTCGTCTCCCTTGACTGGACCACTGTGGACATTCTGGTGGTTGATGTACAGTTTGTACTTGGTGTCAGCCGTGATCTGGATGACCAGTGGCCCCGACGGCACATGGTCAAGTTGTAGAGCCTTGCGAAAGTGGACGAAGCCTCCTGCTGTGCCTTGGCCATAGTCCACCCAATCTGGATGCCAGATCCAGTCTGTGTCTAGGAGGGATGAGTCCATGTTGAATCAGTGGCAGATATTGAACGAGTCTGAGAGCGTCGATGTCAATGTAAGACTGATGCGACAAGGCGCGCAGCTCAGGTTTCCTTTTAACCAAGATCTGTGCCCTTGGCTTGTCGGTTGGCGATGGTGAGCCGGTCATGTCCGGGAGGTGGGCGGCGGTCTACTACTAGTCTAGTATTCCTATGCAGACCGTGTTAAGCGCAATTGCGCACTGGATGCGCCGAGTTCCTCATCGAAATCAATTAGTACCCACATCATGGGCACCATCCTCGGGCTCTGTTGTACCGATAGCTTCTTTGACTCCTCACGTACTGGGCTACGTCTTTGAAACGAGACGATGTAATGAGTGATGGGCATCCATGTTGGATCCTGGATCCAGCCAGAACCATCATTCCGCGTGTTTTACCCATCAAGAATCCTGATTATGGCAATATTCACTAGCAAAGGCTTGTCGAGTCGGGCGCAGAATAGGTCAAGTTTGATAACACCTTCATGGTCGGTCATGGGAACACGAATCTTATAAGATCACGCCGTCTATGAGACTATAAACTTCAATCCTCTTCATCTACAGCCCTGTCCACCATTTTGTCTCCTCAACTTGGAAAGTCGCCTGCAAAAAGTCGCCAGAATTGCCGCTCCCGACCCAGACGTCGTAGACGCCACGTTCCTCGATCCAAGCATGGCGAGCCTCGTCCCAAAAGCTTGTAGCGTACTTCCTTTCGACAGGAATTCGGGCCACGGCCGTCTCCCCCTGTTTGACAAAGATCTTGGAAAACCCCTTGAGCTCCCTGACCGGGCGGTTGATCGATGGGATGCGCTGCGAGACGTACAGCTGCACGACCTCGGAGCCATCCACAGCGCCAGTGTTTTTCACCGAAACTTCAGCGTGGATGACGTTGCCCTGATCCCCTTGGCCTAGCTTGATGGTGAGATCAGAAAACGAGAACGTCGTGTAGGATAGGCCTGAGCCAAAAGACCACAGTGTGGACTTTTTGACCTTGTCATAGAAACGGTAGCCCACGTAAATGTCCTCTCCGTACAGCACGCGGCCGCGCTCTGATCTGTAGTTCAGATAGGCCGGGTTATCCTCAACTCGGGCTGGAAAGGACAAAGGCAACTTCCCAGACGGATTGACGTTGCCAAACAGTACATCGGCAATGGCGTTGCCTGTTTCGTTGCCGCCGTACCAAGCCTGGACCACACCAGCAACCGAAGAAGCCCATGGCATACTGACAGGCGTGCCGGACTGCACGACGACGACGACACGGGGGTTGGCATGGGCGACGGCCGAGATCAGCTCATCGGAAAGGCCAGGCAGGTCCATGTGCGGGCGATCGTGGCCTTCTTGCTCATAGTCAGAGTTCAAACCGACAAAGAGAACGACCTGCTCCACGCTCCGTGCCAGCCTGACGGCGTTCTGGATTTCCTCGTCGACATCGATTACTTTGGTTCCGCCAAGCCGCACGCCACCTCCTCCAAATGAGACGACGCCGTCTGCGTCCTTGACCTTGGACGCTGCGCCGCTGGCGAAGACGACTCTGATCTGGTAGGATTGCCCCGCGACAACGCTCTTGATGCCAGTTTCCTCGACGGTTCCGACATTAAAGAAGCTGCCGCCGCCTCGCTGTTCCGTCTCGTTGTCGATGAGAAGCTCCCCATCCACGTAGAGTCTCGCGGTGCCGAAGACGCACAGGCCAAATTGGAAGTCGCAGGTCTCTTCCGCCGTGTAGGTCGCGTTGATCTCACCCCACCAAAGATCTTCCGTGAGCTTGGGGTGATAGTAGTCCGCAAAGTACATGTTGGTGTCCACGAGATGAAGCGTGTCAACAGGCTGCCGATCTGTCACGGTATCAGGGTGGGTGAAGGCCTCAAAAGTCACTCCTACTTTCCCTTCCCGTGTTCGCAAGCTGGGACCGAGCATCGGCAGTGTCTGGTGTGCATGGCATCCGACCGAGTACCGCACGTCTCGGGCCTGCGAGGAGATACCTTCAAACGGGGTGACGGCATAGTATGGTCGCAGAGTAGCCGATCCTCCACCGCAGTAGGCGGCCATCTTGGCGTTGGGTTCAATGACAGCCAGTGTCTTGTCTTTCGTAAAGGGCAGAACCGTATCCTCGTTCTTCAAAAGCACAATCGACTCGCTGGCGATATCCCTCAGGAGCTCCGCAGTCTCAGGCGTGTCTCGGGGTTCTTCAGGCCCTTCCACTGGGATTCCAGACTTGGTCGCTCTGTCCACAAGCTTCAAGACCTCGCGGACTCGCTGATCCACAGTTTCCTGATCGACCTTTCGAGACATGATGGCATGGTTCAGGAGCTGACCACGCCAGCGCGTTGGTCCTGGCATCTCCAGATCAAGTCCAGCATTGATCGACTCGACTGTGGAGTATGTTCCATACCTGAAGTGGTGGCACATTAGCTTCGCCATTCGAACAGGAACTTGACCGTTACGTACCAGTCGCTCATGACAAGTCCAGTCCAACCCCATTCCTTTCGGACGATATCCTCAATGTATTTTCGATCGTCGCTAACATGGATACCGTTAACCTTGTTATAGGCTGTCATGAAAGAGCCAGGCCGAGCATCCCGCACAGCGATTTGAAAAGGCAAGACGTAGATCTCACGCATCGCTCGCTCCGTCACAATCGAGTCCACAGCCATGCGCTCGTGCTCTTGGTCATTGGCCACAAAGTGCTTGACGGACGCCACGATACCGGTGCCCTCGATGCCAGCGATAACTGACGCCGCGCAACGACCTGCGAGGACTGGATCTTCGGAGAAAGACTCGAACCCTCGCCCGCCCAAGGGGCTACGCTGCGTATTGACGGTCGGCCCTAGAAGTACATGTACGCCTTTGGCTCGTGCCTCTGCACCCATCAAGGCGCCCGCTCTTTGGAGGAGGTCAGTGTTCCAGGTAGCAGCAAGACCAGTCCCGCAGGGAAAGCAGGCTGCAGGCACTCCATTGAAGAACCGAGTCCCGCGGACGCCGTTGGGACCGTCTGAGAGTCGGATGGATGGGATATTGAGGCGTGGGATCGCCTTTGTGTGCCAAAAGTCGATGCCTACAAGGGCGTCAAGTTAGCAAGACCTCTTCACTTGTGTAGCTTTTCGGCACAGGAAGAGAGGTCCATTCACTTACCAGATAGCAAATTGATCTTCTCCTTCAAGCTCACAGCTGGCCCAAGACAGTCTCGACGTCAAACGCAGGCACACACGCGCCTTGTGGCGAAGCGAATTCGAGTCCAGACATGTCGCCCATGATGGTGGAATGGTATGCGGTCGAAAGAACGTGTAATGGTACGATTCAGCGTCCAGTCAGGGGCAACCGAGTTGACTGGCCAGCTCCTTTGTACCACGGACTATGGTCATGTTGCTGGCGTCTTTGGCTTAACCCCAGTCGAGGCGAACAGCTCGGTGCACAAACGTCCGAGCTGTGGATAACGGCCATCTCGATCAAGGCAGCCTTTTCTTGACTTCGAATCTGTGAGGGGCTGGTGTATGGTCGCGCGTTCAGTTGGAGTCTTGGAGTCCTGGATTCTTGGATGCTTTGTGTTTGACCGACCCGGCTTTCCGCGGGCGCGTGATGCTCTTAGCGTCTGGGCACGATCTTGTTGACCCGGCTTTCCGCTGCAGAGTTTGATGGCGACAGGGCACGCCACATGCGCCATGTGGTTCCTGGCTTCCTGCCCTGGCTGGGGTTGATCGGTCTGTCGACTCGTGATTATCGCCTGTCGACCCAGGCCCGGGTAACCCCAGGCCCCCCACACATTGCGACCCCAGAATCACTGAGCTGACCGAGACGTCTCCAGACTCTACCGGAGACACCGTCTGGCCTCGACCTGGTCGAGACGTGGATGCCTCGAACGCAAATCTCGCGTCAAATACCACCGGGGAGTCTGGGTTGCGCGACTCGACGCTCCAACTCAAGACTATAAAGACCTTCGACAGCCCTTCACCAATGCTGTTGAGATAGCATCCGGACCAGCCAGTCTAGCCCTTCGACCAGCCTGCCCTCGATACTGATCTGTCTTTCACCCCAACACATCGCAAACATGGTGTCTCCAGGACACGACCCGATGATCGCGACCATGCCAGAGAGCAGTGTTGACACTGCAAAATGGTGGAAGTCTCGTAACCTTCGAACCTTGAACCTGCTCTTGATATTCCCCTTGCTCTCCATCTTCACCCAGGGGTACGTAGGGCTTTCCTCCGATGTGGCTACTTTGCCATCAAATGTTCGCCTGCTAACCGCTCTCTCTGTCGCAGCTTCGATGGTTCCATGATGAATGGTCTGCAGTCTGTGGAGAACTGGCGCAACTACTTTGGCGAACCCAAGGGCGCAACTCTCGGTCTCTTCAACGCTGCCTACCCCATCGGCGGCCTCTGTGCGATTCCCTTCATCTCCTTCGTCAGTGACACGTTCGGGAGGCGCGTGGGCCTGGCCACCGGTGCCACCATCTGTGTGATCGGCGCGACATTGCAGGCTGCGGCGCAGAATCTCCCCATGTTCGTCGTGGCTCGTGGTATCCTGGGCTGTGGCACGGTCTTCCTCGGATCCTCCGGTGCGCCCCTCATCACTGAGATCGCTCATCCCGCCCACAGAGCGACAGCCACAGCCCTGTTCAACACCTCGTATGCTCTTGGGGCCATCATCGCGGCGTGGACGACCTTTGGCACCTTTCGCATCGCTTCGAGTGCCTCTTGGCGCATCCCCTCGGGTATGCAAGGTCTCCCGTCCATCATTCAGCTACTAGGCCTGTACTTTGTGCCAGAAAGCCCTCGCTGGCTCATCTCCAAGGACCGGAACGAAGAAGCCCTTGCGTTCTTGGCCAAATAACACGCCGAAGGAAACGACCAGGACCCCTTGGTGCAGTTTGAGTATAATGAGATCGCGACGCTCTGGCCTACGAGCGAAGCATTGACCGCGGGAGCGCGTTGCAGAATTACCTAGAATTTGTCAGAACAAGCGGCAACCGCAAGCGACTTTTCATACTGCTCTGGTGCGCCTGCATCAGTCAGATGTCTGGCAACGCCTTTATCTCCTACTACCTATCGCCCGTCCTCACCTCTGTTGGTCTCACCACCAGTCTGGAGCAGACCCTGATCAACGCCACGCAGCAGGTTCTGTCCTGGCTGTCCGCCCTGTACTTTGCCACCCTCCCCGAGAAGCTGGGACGCCGCACGCTCTTCCTCGGCTCACTGAGCGCCATCTTTATCTGCCTTGTGAGCATCACGGCCGGGAGCGCCGTGTTTGCCAATGACTCCAGCAACAAGGCCGCTGGCGGTGCGGTCGTGGCGTTCTTGTACCTATTCTCGCCGGCGTACAACTTTGGTCTCAACGGCAACCTGGGCTTGTACATCACTGAGATTCTCCCCTTCAATCTGCGTATGCGCGGCCAAGCGTGCTACCAGCTGTTCGCAACGTGCTTCACTTTGCTGTCGACGTATGCCATTCCGGTGGGGCTGGAGAGGATGGCGTGGAAGTTCTACCTCATTTTCATTCCTTGGGTTTTGGTGGAGACGGTGGTACTGTGGTTTGTCTTCCCAGAGACAAAGGGTCCGACGCTGGAGGAAATTGCGGCTATCTTTGATGGCTTGGACGCGACCATCTCGTCACCAGAGAAGGTGGATGTCGAGAGGGCCGAGGTCGAGCACAAGCACTGAGCGGAAGCCCACGGTGGGCGCGCCTTTGGCTTTGGTGTTGCCATATCGGCCTGGTGGACAGGTAGAAGTAAGGCTGTTACTGGCACCGCTCCATTGTCGCCTTTCTAGTTGAATATTGAGACGTGTATTGTAGAGTCATCATATTCATTTCTTGTTTGCTTCGTGACAGTCTTGACGAGCGGCACTGTCGAGACATCCAAACGTGTCGAGGGAAGCGGTGAGGGCTGCGAAGCCTGCGATGAGGAGCCAGGTAACATGAATGATGATTGGTAAGAGGAGCTTACAATGAGATTCCCTAGTAATGTGCAATGTTCAATTGTCGACGAGTATGCGCGTACTGCAAATCCACGTGGCTCCGTTCAGGGGTAAATCATGATGAAAAGGCGAGGTTGGCCAGAGCGATTGAGACGATTAAACATTGAACTGGAGCGTCACGTGTTTTCAAGCCGCGCAGGCAGAGTTCAGCAGGCATTAATGCCTACGCAACCCCTAATGAATCAATACATTGTAGACTACAGCATAAAGTTTTGCTTTCAATTTGATTGCTTCGATTAAGCGAGGCTCGCAACGGCTTCTCTCGGCTCGCAAAACGCGTGATGCACGTTAAGCTTAATCACTGGCGTGACAATCTCGAGGTCGACGTCATCCGGGAGCTTCACTGCCCGATGGGGCAGTCGAGACGCAAGAGCTGGTGAGTCAGTCAGGCAAGATTGTCGTTGCGCGTGACATTGCGCGTGGACATATGATGTGATCTAATTTTCATCAGCATGCCCAGCTCGAACCCTTTGTACGGAGCTCCATGTAGCTTCGAGCTTTCACGAGGGCTGAGGAGGGGTTGACCGTTGTCTGTGCTAATTGCGTAGCGTGATGCACCTGTGATGTGCCGGAACCGCCAGACTCAGAGTCAGACCCATGTTGCCTGGCCCACAGATTCAATCCAGAGTCTAGACTCCATGGCAGAGAAATTCTTGCAAATTTTCCCCAGCGGCTCTTGTCGAAGAATCGTTTGCGTCGTCACGCCACTGGCTGAGAGCCTGAGTCGAAAAAGATAGCCAGCATCTGGAGTCTGGACTGGGCTGGGTTGCCAGCAAGGCTGTGCGGGTGGAGCTCCAGGAAGCAGTCACCAAGACTGACATGAACTGACAGCAGACTGGCAGGCACACCAATGCACTGCAACGACACCACGGTAGAATCACTGTGGCGCCGCCATACCTAAGCGTTATGACATCCTCTGACTGGCCTTGGCTGCCTCCTGGTCTTTGGTGTTTGTCGCGTCGGAGACTGGAGGTAGTCCCATGGATCGATCACCTGGTGACCTCAAGCTGCTTGCACTCGCCATTGCCACGTTAGCTGCCAGACGCGACGATATAAAAAGGGGCCGCTAGCGAGCAGGTGACTGGCGCTTCCTTCCTTTGATTCTTCTTTCCTCCCCTGCCCTGTATCATGATCATCAATTAGCTCCAGTGTTGCTTGCCCCTCACCAGAACATACAAAACAGGCGCTGCCCCCCCAACTCCCCCAAACATCGACAGATCGTCATCTCCAACCACCATCGCATAGCTGCCGTACCACAATTGCTGCCCGCCATGCAAACCAAAATCCGCGCTGCGACGCCCGAGGACCTGCCCGCCGTGGTCAAGGTGATCCTCGCTGCTATCAACAAGGAGCGCCTGTGGACCAACTTTGTGCCCTCCAAGACGGGCCAGGACGAGAGCTACGTCAAGGAGATTGAGGCGCTGCTCAAGGAGCACCTGGACCCCTCCAATAAGGACTGGGTCATCGAGGTCATTGACCTCGCCAAGAAGTCGCAGCCCTCGCAGATCGTCTCGGTCGCCGTCTGGGACATGTCCGCCGCCGAGGACGACGACCGCAAGAAGCGCGACGTCAAGACTGACATTACCGACGACCGTCTGTCCGCCTACACCGCCGTCGTCTCCAAGGCGCGCAACGAGTTCTTCAACCGCTATCCCCAGCACTCGTACCTGCAGCTCCTGGCCACGCACCCCGATCACCAGAACCACGGTTACGCTAAGGATCTCGTGCACTCCCACATGGTCAAGGCCAAGCAGAAGGGCGGCGTCCTCACCACTCTCGGCGGCCCCTTTGGCTACATCTTCTTCTCCGGACTGGGCTTCCATGACCTCGGTCCCGTCTCCCTGCCGCCTGGCTCGGCCAGTGACTCGCACATCATCAAGGCCATGTCGCTCACCGTGCCCAAGGAGGAGAGGAGGCAGTCCATTGTCGACTCAGTGCTCAACTACATTTCTAGCTAGAATGCTTGCAGCACACAGTCACCATTCGCATTTGCTTCTTCATCGTCATGAGTCTACGGCCTTTTGAGCGGCTTGTCCATAGCATCGACGGGATCAGGGTAGTAATACAGTAAATCCCCATTCACAAGCCAGCATTTCGGCTCCAGCGTCGAGCGCGACGCATGACGTAGTGAGGGGTTCTCTGCAAAAGGCGGGGGATCAGCCGCCTGGCAAGAATCATGAAGGCCAAGCGCCAAGAGCACAGCCGGTGCCGTTTCCGATGCAGGAATGGCTGGCATTGCCGCATTGTTGTGTAGTACGTTGTGTCGCTCGCTCGAGGACGGTGGGAGGATGGATAAGGTATGAGCTTCAAATTATGCTTATGTTTATGCTCCATTTCCCCAGATGTGGAGTCACTCCAGGACTGTAAATCATGGATGCCAGGTCCCCAACGCCAGCCAGTACATACAGCAGATGCTGGATGGCAAAAATCACGCTCAATCACAGCTCACCTCCTCCGTGTCCTCGTCGACACAGGCGCCGGCTCGAACGCGTCCTCCTCATCTGAGATCTCGTCGTCGCTAATCTCGACAGTGGATGCTTTCTTTTGCGACGCGGCGGCGGCAGCACGTCCAGCCGTCCTTCTCTGTGTGGCTGGTTGCGACTGAGAAAAGTCGAGCTTGGATTGTGTCTTCTTGGCGGCGGCTTTCTTGGTCGCTGCTGGTTGGCGCCGCTTCGGCGGTGGCGCTGGCTCCTCCTCTGCCTCGTCCTCGGACGCCATGATAACGTCCTCCTCCTCGTCCTCGCTTGGTTCCGCAGCTTTTCGACGCCCGCCGCGAGCGGGCGCTTTCTTGACGGGCGCCTTCGCAGCGGCCTTGGGGGCGGCTTTTCCACCGCGCTTGGTTATCCGCACCGGCTCCTCCTCCTCGTCCTCCTCTGCCTGGCGCTGGGATGTGAGTCCCTTGGACTGCCTGCTAGGCTGTGTCGTCGGCGCCATGCTGTCCTCGAATGTCCACGCGTCGGGTGCATCCTCCCAGCTCCCGTCAAAGTCGCTGTCCCAGTGGGCAGGCTTCGGTCGCAACGTGCGCTTGCGTTCGGGCATAAAGGATCGACCGCCCTGCTGCTCGATGCGCGCCTTGTAGATCTCCATGGCGCTGTTCAGATCTTCATCGTCGCTCTCGAGACCTAGCAACTGCTGTACCTGTCCTGTGAGATGCTCTGACACAAAGAGCTCCATCGCGTGCTTGTCATCCTTTGCGACGAATTGGTTCACCGCGTCTGAGAACGGGCCCTGGGGGAGCACCTTGAGTGACTGTGCCGAGAGGAACTCGGACACAATCGACTCGACCTTGACCATGTCGCCGTCGTCTCCGACAGCTTCCATGGCGTCAGCGGGGTTCACGACATCCTTCTTGCGCTGCATCGTCTTCTTGCGGTAAAAATAGACAACGTCGTTCATGTTGGCAACTTTGCCCGAGAACCGATTTGAGAAGCGCTGCGGGTTCTCGACCTCGTACTGACCTCCCTCTGCGGCCGTGTACTCAACCTTGAGCCGAATGAGGGGAAGCGGTCGCTCTTCCAGGGCCTCCTCGTCGCTCTGTATCGCTTCCCACTCGGCGTTGGCCTCCTCAATCATCTCTTCCACCACCTCCATCAGCCGTTTCGTGACCTCTTGTCGGTTCTCCTTCTTCTTCTCCAGTCCCTTGAACCGCTTGTCTGCGGAAAGGACGAGCTCGCGAGTGACAAAGGGACGGACGCTCTTCAGAGGGATCTTTTCCGTTTTGAAGTCCTTGCCGGTCACACTGAGGATGGCGACGTGCTTCTGCACCGCTTCCCCCGGCACTAGCGACGTGGCAACCGATGATCCAGGCTGCATGACGTGCAAGCCTGTTTCCGGGTTCTGCGACGGGTCGATCAGACACTCGTGCTCATGGCCCCAGACTACTAGGTCCATCCAGTCCGGCAACACGCTCTCCGGCAGGTATGAAGTCGCCGTGTGGGCGTGGTGGTTCTGGTGCACGGCCAGCAGGTTGAACCAATCGCCCATTTGTAGATTGGGCCGGTACCACTTGACCTTGTGGTCCCGAAACGTACGAAACATGCGCTCGTCCCGAACATTGCTCAGCCCAAAGAGAGCCAACTTGGTCTCGCCCTTTTGTAGGAGCACAGGCTTGACGTGAATGTTGTCTGCCTCGGCCACGCGTCCAAAGTAGTTGAGCAGACCGCTGGCCTGGAGGAGGTCCAGCGAGCAAAAGTTGCCCTCGCCAGACGGGTCGTCATGGTTGCCGTGGATAGAGAAGACAGGTATGGATACGTTGATGTCGGGATCCTCGTAGTTGACGTGGGTAAATGCGCCCTCGAAAACCTCGGCCGCATCGCTCAGGAACTCGAGAGGGCAGGGTTTCTCGCCCAGGCAGTTCTTGCGCAGGGTCCGCATGACCTGGTACAGAGATTTGCGAGATGGCTTGTTGTCGTGAAAGAGGTCGCCTCCGAGGAGGACCATGTCGACATCGTGCGTCCGTGCGAGGTTGAGGATCTCGTCAAAGGTGCGCCAGGAGTCATCTTTCCGAATGGCGTCGCGTTCTTCGTAGCCGACGTGGTTGTCTGTCGCAATGAGGATGCGGATCGTGTCCGCGTCTGTCGGTCAATTGGTGGCCAGAATTGGTCCGAGGGGAACATACCTGTCGAGTCAGTCATGATGGAGGGCCTAGGTCGCCCTTGAAGCAAACGGATTGACGAAATCGTTGCTCGGGGTGCGTGGGAGCGAGTTTCAGGCTGACGCGGGAGGGGCAATCGCCAACGCGAAAGTTGAGCGGCATCACGTGATTGCGTGAATGATGAAATCAACCTGTTTGCGACCACTCACTCCGCTCACATGGCACGGCGACATGGCACGGCGACATGCCGGACAAAGAAGACGTGTCACATGATGTTCGTCTTGCACCAAAGCAGGAGCCGTTCACCCTCAAGCCCTTGATTGCGGACATTCTGCGAACGCGCTTCTGCGTGCCGGGCTCCCGGTTCCTTGTGGAAGATATTACCAAGACGTCCGTGTCGAGCTCCGGCAGATGGAAGGCGGCACAAATCCTGCTCAGCGATGGCGAGCTGTGCATTCAGGCCCTGATGAGTGGCCACCTCTACCGGTATCTTGACACTGGTGAGGTCTCGGTGGGGTGCTACGTCAAGGTAGAGTCCTTTGACATTCGACGACTTACTTTAGAAGACAAGAGCGAGATGGTTTATTTGGTTGTGGAGGATATCATCACGATTGGGTGGAACGATGGATACCGCGCCCTATACGCAGCGGAGAATGCGGACAGCATGGAAGAGCTTGCCTCGGAGCACGACCTCGACGTGGAAGAGCAACAACTCGAGTACAGACCCGACGAGGTCGCGCAGGCCCAGGCTGCTGAATCCTTTGAGCAGCCGAACGAGGAAGACGAGAAAGCGTTTGAGGACGCCTTTGAGGCATTCGAGGCAAAGACATTCCCGCTCAAGACGAAATCGAGGGAGCAGAAGCCGGCGCCCTCATCAGGAGCAGTCGCTCTACCCAAAGATTGGCAGAACCGTCAGCAGCCACTTCGCCTCACGCCACTGCGATCCATTCCCCGGCTGCCATACGCGCAAAACTGGTGCTGCAACGTCCTGGCCATTGTGACCTCGCTGTCTCCTGTCGAGGCGTCATACCTGCCTCCGTATCGCCAGCGGACGGCGAGACTAGCTGATCCGTCTACATCCAAGCACGTCCACCTGACTGTGTTTCTGGAGCCGGAGAACTTTGAGCCCAAGATCGGTAGCGCGGTGCTGCTCGTCGGCGTCAAGAATCATCGGTTCGACGGCGGAAGTCTGAAGAAGTATGCTAGTGATGCGGACAGGACGGGGGGTGGCGAGTGGTGGCATGAAGATCCCCTTGATTTGGAGTGGTGCGACGTGGCTGGCATCAAGGAGTGGTGGGCAACAGTGCAGGCTGCGATGGCTGCGTAGCCGTGGGAGCCGGGGCTTACAAGGCGGTCTTGGCTCAGCTCGCTTCAGGCCTTACAGTTGCTCGCCTCCTTTCGGCAACCTTGGTTACCCCGAATTCCATGTACTATTGGCGGAGATATGGGATACATCTAGCCTGACAATTGCTGAGCTGGATTGATGCTGGAGGGAGTCATATCACACGTCCATGGCTGAAGGAATATTAATCAGCCCGGAGCCAGATCCAGAACACCACGGTTCGAGGAAAGAAGTAGAGGAACGGAAGCCATCCTTTCCGCGTGAGGGCCACTGGTTTATCTAATGGATGTTTACCAAAAAAAAAAAAAAAAAAAGCTACCGAATCCAAATCACCCGCGACATTTTGCTTCTACCCAGCGCGATATCGGTGGTCTATCAAAAAGCAAAAAGAAGGGTCTGGCCGGGGATTGAACCCGGGACCTCGCGCAAGCTTGGTAACTCAGGGTTTGCTAGTTCAGAAGAACTCCCTAAGCGCGAATCATACCACTAGACCACCAGACCGGCTAATGTGATTGGACAGACATTTTTTGGTTTGTCTTATAAGCTAACAGCAATAGAGAAGCAGAGGAGTTAAGCGAGAAGAATGCGGACTCAACTTCACTTCTACAGGAAGAGTTGAATCTCCAGTTTTAAAATCGTTGCTCATGGCGCACCGTATTTTCTTCGATGCTTGAAGTTTCCGGGCCCTAATTGCTAGACGGGGTTCACGAACATTTACCGGGAGATGAAGTTGGATGCCTGACTTGGACTCGGACTCGGAATAGACATTGACAACAGGGCATTCTAACTTGAACTTTGAGTCGTTATGTACCTGATGTCAAGAACTGGATGAGTATTTAGTAACCTGCCTTGACTCACAATGGACGGCAAATGTTGCAACATTAGTGGTATCCGTACACGCTGAGTAATAGTGCATCTCTTGTCGCCAACGACGCCAGTCCTTCACAGACGCCCACCTCGCCACTCGTAAAAACAGCCAGCGCCAGAATTCGAGCCCTCGCCATGCTGCTCCTCGATCTACCACCAGAAATACTCGAGGGAGCACTTTTCCTCTTGTCAAACGCCGATATCAAGAACCTGCGATTGGCATGCACGCACCTGGGCCAGGTCGCTCGTCTTCGCCTCAATCGGGTCTTTTTGTCCCTCAACCCCTTGGATATCCAGGTACTCCGCAATGTAGCTGGACATGAAACGTATCGCCACCATATCACGGAGCTGATATACGACGACACGCGATTCCCCACAACTAGGGAACTTGATGAGGATGTATACGAGACTTCCAGCGACTCAGATAACAGAGCCGATGGTCAAGTCCCAACTTGGTATAAGCGCAAGTACCAGGAAATCCGCGAAGAGCTTGCGGACCACAAAGGAGAATGGGTTGAGCGACCACATCACATTCTACGAAAGAAGCAATACGAGTCGCGACCAAGTCTCAGACAATCTTACCACCGCTATCAGAAGGTCGCTAGTGACCAAGGCAAAGTCCGGGCCGCTGGAGGCGATGTCAAAGCTTTTGAACATGCCTTGGAGTGCTTTCCCAATCTCCGGAAGATTACTTTAACCCCAGTGGCACATGGCGTACCTTTCCGACCATTGTACGAGACGCCAATGATACGTAATCTTCCCTACGGCTTCATTTACCCTGTCCCATGTTCTTGGCCCGGTTCCGAGAGCGAAAGTGGCCATGACCGTATCATGCCGCCCTGGGATGACGAGAGAGAGAAGAGGAAATGGCGTGGTCTTCGCGTCGTGCTGAGGACTCTGACTGAGCGTCCGCACGGCATCACCGAATTTGTCATCGACGTCAATCAGCTTCGGAATGGCGTGAGCTGCAGCATGTTTGACACTGTGAGCCACAATCAAGAATATGAGGATCTTGTCTCTGTGCTCCAAAGCCCAGGCTTCTCTCGCCTCGATCTTGCACTCTCCACCGGGGACCAGAGGAACTCCCTTTGGCCATGCTATCGGAGCGGCTTGCTACGACAAGCGCTGGGCGAAGCTAAAGATCTTCGCCATGTCAGTCTCGCCACTGGCCTCATTGTGCCAGCGTCGGCATATAGTCCGGACCAGTACGATGGCGGTGGGGAGGAACACTTTTTCCCGCTTCGCACAATTTTCCCATTGGACCAGTTGAGGCAGCTGCGGCATTTTGGTCTCTCACGCTTCATCGTGAAGCGAAACGATATTGTCAACTTTCTCTCTACTATGCCGCCTACTCTTCGATCTATCGAGCTGAGCTTCCTCTTTTTCATGAAGAGCGGCGAAGGACAATACCGCGAATTGCTTCACGACATGAAAGACAGGCTGGACTGGCGCGAACGTCCTGAGTCGCAGAGACCAAGCATCACGCTTTATCTCGATTCGGAGCCTCCGGCTGATGGGCACTGCATTGACATTAGCGTCGAGACAGAAGCGTTTGTATACCACGGAGGTGAGAATCCTTTCATCGATGGCCCTAATCTGGGTGATCGTGTATACAGAAGTCAGGGCGTGGGTATCAAGCGAGACATGTTCAATCCAGACAATGATGTGCCATTCGCTCCGCGGGAGCGTCTCATGGACATGGGTATCCTTGAGCCCGACTACTTCTACCGCAATGGTATTCAGCTGCGTCCATGAGTCTGGGAGCTCGTGGAAGAGTGTCACTCCAAGAAAAAGCCCACTATGGCTCATTGTGTTGGCTTGCGTGTATGCCACACTCCACCTACACATCAAAACGTCATGTCAGATACATGCTACGAGCCGGCTGGTGGACGCAAGATTCGAGATTTGCGACTAGTGGTCAATCGAAGAGAACATGAACCTTTGGGCCCGATACATTAGATGGGCGAAGAATACACGCGGGTGGTCAGTGGGGAAGGCCATTGTTCTCAGGCACCCTTATATAGACAGCTTCCCCTCGGCAACATGCACTGAGCACTGCGTATACGGAGGATGCTGCCTCCTTCCGATCATATCAGATCATAAGCACATGTTCAGATAGCACAATCAAAGCCATTGTCTAACCCGCCTCTGGGCGCCCTCTATCAGAAGGTCTCAGCGTCGGGCGCAATCGGCTTGAGTTGTCCCGCTCCCTTAAAGCTCTCCTTGATGTTGGCCTGCTCCGACAACATGAACCTGTCGACCTGCGTACCCAATTTCGCAAGGCCCCTCCAGCGCTCAAAATCCTCTGGATTCCTCTTGTCGCCATGCGCGTCCTCCGGTTTCTCCCAGTGGCCCTTGGAGAACCCAAGCAGTGTCGTGATGGTCTGCCGCGTAATGTCGTACACGAGCGAGCAGATGGTGCCGGTCTCCTCGAGCCAGTTACACTGCCACAACTCCCCCGGGCGGATGCACTGGTACGTCGCCGTCTGGTAGTTCACTCGACCTGCCATGGGGCCTCCGTGGATCGCGTAGACGATGCGGTTCTCCGAGAAGAACCACATCTCATATCGCCATTTTTCGGGCTTTCCATCGGCGCTCTGCGCGTTGTAGTCGTAGATGAGGTGGACGTCTCGAATGTCGTTTTCGAAAGATGGGTCGAGATCCGTGTTGGTAACAAATTGCGGAAGGGAAGTGTTCGGAGACATTGTATCAGTTGTGTACCGAGTCGCGACGCAAGGATCAGCATGGAAGAGGGCGTTTCAGAACCAACATCAGCTCGCTGAGACATTTTATCAAATACATGGGGAATTGACTCTCAAACTAGTGTTCTAAGCGTCCCATCCGAGTATTCCGAGAAAATGTGCCGTAGCCCGAATTGTGTGCTCTGTCGCGGATGGACGTCATTAATGGCTGGAATGCTTTCGAGAATATGCGGGACCTAATGGGGCCACGATGTGCGCGAGTGCTGAAAGTTGGTCCTCGCATCACCGGTGCGTGTCCCGACTCCAGTCACATACTCCGTCATTGCTCTTGTCGTCGCGCGACTCGCCTTTCCTCGCACAAATGGACACCATCGCCCTGCCGCCAAAATTGGTGCACTTGTTCAGCCTTCGGTGCGCTGTCGAGGCTCCAGTGGACATTGGGCAAGGGCCGTACGGGCAGAGACGATGCGTGCCCATTGCATCAGGTCAAGTCCACGGACCGCACGCCCAAGGACAGGTCTTACCCGGAGGAGCTGATTTCATGTCCGTGGCCTTCTCGCGACGGCGGCTCAGTGCTAAAACGACTTTTGCAGGCTCGTAGAGGAGAACCAAACGACGCATGTCAATGCCAATTACGTGGTGAAAACCGACGATGGCGCCTTTCTATACATCCAGTGAGTTCAGCGTACAGTCGCACGATCCTGGACTCACTCGTAGCCTCTAGCACCGAGGGCACGCGAGCTGGCTCGCCCGAGATCCTGCAAGCCCTGATGACGGGAGGGGACGTGGACGACCGCCAGTACTGGTTTCATCTCCATGTCAAGATTGAGACAGGACATGAGAAGTATAAATGGATGAATGATCGGGTCATTGTTGGGCGCGCCACGAGAACGCCAGGCGAGGTTGCCTACGATGCATATTATCTGGAGAACACGTTTTGAGGCCTTGATCGATGGGATGCTCTTGGATAAGGTCGCTTGTTGTGTATGTCGAGGACAGCGAAGTCACATTGTGGGCCGAATGCGATATTCGTGGTCGTGTGCTGACGAACACCGCACCCCGTCAACGATGGTGACCCGGAACGCCAGAGAAGATGAGTTTCTCTACCTGTCCCTGCAGTCGTAAGCCCAGCAATCTCAACATTAGCCAAGTCGTCAATCCGTCATTTCCGCAGCGCGATCGCTCCAGCTGTGCAAGGTCAAGGACTCGCCCAAGGACACCGCGGGCGGGGGATCTGGTACTCTCACATCCGTATTCAACGAGAGAAGAGGCTCTTGGGAATGGGAATTGCCTATGCCCGTCGCGGGAATCCAGCCGTTGTTGCGTCCTGGGTGCCTGAAACGAAAGAGGTACCCGCTCTCACACGCCAGTACGAGAAAGTCATCATCGACCCATACGTCCAGCAAGTCAGAGAATCCTTGAGGACGGGCAAAGGTCGTCGCGGAAGTTTGGTTATTCAGGCGCACCCGCCAATTCCCTACCACTGGCCTCGTATCGAGCACCAAAGGCGGCGGTGTGTCTGCTGATCCTGAGCTATATGGAATTTGCGAAGCGCTGGTCTCTTCGCGAACACTGTACAAGGTCTGGTTCCATGTACAGGTGACTGCAGCCTCCATCACATCCCATGTTGGGGTAGGCAAGCTCGGCGCGTGTCGACGGCGAGCAGTGCGAACTTGTACTCCGGAAATGGGCTCCTTGGTCCCCCAGAAAGCCCGTGTGAGGACGTTGCAATAGACCCTCTCGCTCCAGCCTTCGCAAGGCTGCCCGGGCATGGTCGTGCGCGGCGGCCATGTATATGTTGCCAGCTGGAATGATCCGCAATTGTCAACCACGTGGCAGTCCTGAGTGAGGATGATCCGGGACTCGCTGGGTGCCAGTTCCCACTCGTTGCGAGCAAGACGTCTCTGATGACGGACAATGGACTTTTCGGTCCAGCATCCATTGTTCCGCGAGTACTCGCAGATTGCATATTCATGTAGCTGAGAATAGTCTGGCCAAGGTAAGAATACTGCGCGACAAACACACTAGAGACGTACCATCGTCAACGTCGCCCCAGGGGCTATGTATGTACGTCCATACTAAGAACAAGTTGTCGTCGCTCCAAGGGTGCATGACGACGGCTGGTAGACCGTGAAAAGGTGCCTTGTTGGGTTGACCTTGCACAGATACACTGGGAAAAGGCGATTCTGGCAAGATCTCCTCGACAGTCCGTTGTGCATTCACAACCATCACCTGCCCGCCTCTGCAGACAGCGGCCACGGTCTGCCTGGTCGCAAAGCATCGAAAGAGGTGTGTTGGCAGGACTATGCGTTTCGACTGTGTACTAGTCGTGTCATATACGTGGCTGGGACGTGAGCCAGTGTTGCAGAAAGAAGGGGGAGGAGTGGACTGACATGTATCGCGATCCAGACTCGGGCCCCTGGAGCTCGACAGTAGCCACCACCTGCCCGGAAAAGGCGGCGAGGAGCTGCAGCGCGGTCGCCTTTCTCACATCGACAGTGAGACGTAAGCCACGCCGGGTGCCATTTTCCAAGTCATCAATCACAATCTTGTCCTTGGAGGGCTGGAAAGCAAGCCTCTTGTTCCTGTACAGACACGCAGGAGCCTTGCCGGATTCCACAAATCTGCCTTGGATGGCGGATAATGGTCTTTTGGAGTTGTCGACCATGGGCGTAGCTTCGTAGAACGGAATGGCGTGCAGCGCACCTTGGCCCCCGACGCTGCGATTGACCAAAGCCAAGTGAGCCAGAATTGCCCCTTCTAATGTCTTGTGGATGTTTTCGTGGGCGTGCAGCTGCTCCAACCCAAGGAACCCCTCCCGTGCGATGGTGAGGCACAGCAAGGGCTGCCACATCGTCTCCTTCCAGGGCCGACTCACGAGACGAGTGGTCAACAGGTCATGCAGCGTTAGGCCATCTGCGATGCGCGTGATGAGTTCGGGGGGGAGGTGCTCAAGGGAATGAAAGCCGCGCTCGGTTGTCGCCCTGGCCTTGATATCAACACAACGCAGCGCGCGTCGCAGCTCAATGAGGGTCCATGGGTCCATTGCGTCGGAGCTGAGAACGGCGGAGAGAGCGCTGCGATTGCTGACAAGAGCCCGCGCAAGATCATCCGGGTCAACAAGCGCGTGGTTCGTCATGGTGCTGTCTGTCCATGGCCGACGCGCTCGGCGCGGTGCATTTGTCGTCGGAGCGGATTCTTGAGAGGCGATGATTCTGGTATCGTGATTCGGCCCCTGCCACGGGATGTGAGAATGCCATTATGGATGGGCACTTCTCAGTAATTCAGGATGACGCGCAAGGTGAGTCGTACTGCACAGTCTCTGCTAGCTGAGCCGACGCGTCCGTGCGTGAACGCGCCTGTTTACACTTACCCTATACCGGCTTCAACACATCTCGCAGAATTTCGACACAAAAGCAGTGAGTGTCCTGTAACAAAGGCCGAGCATATATCAGCAAATAGTTTGAAGACCAAGTTAAAGTTCTCCTGGTTGCACAGCATGAACGTGTATAGCCGTAGCAGATATGCCCGTGCACTCTCAATTTGGCCAAAGATGAGTCTTTATTTGTTCAATGAGAGAAATAACAAACCCCAAATACCATGCTATATATTTGCACAGTCATTATGAACAAACTCAGCAATTTTTCATGGCTATCTCTCTATAACAAAGGAGATCAAACATAGCCATGGTCAATGAATATTGGTTTATCAAATAATACCAATCAGCACCAGGCCATAGGGTATGCTAGACCTGAACGGACGCGACTGGAGCCGCGCGCCTTCGGAAGATGACGTGGGCCCAACAACAACAAGTCGGAGGGTTAATTTTGTGCTGCTGCAAGCCAAACTCCAATCATCAGCCTCGTGCTGACCAGACAGAACCGAAATCAAGCATTCCTAAATGGGGTCGCCGGCCCCTCATCAGCAATCGCCATCAAAGGCGCACATTGTCTTGTCTCCGCGACCCACTGCGGTGCCGAAAGGCGTACAATGACCCGGGCGCACGCCTTTCTCCCAGGAACAGATGAGCAGCAAGAGGACTCGTGGTCATGGGCACGAAAAGTATAAGAATGATGACCACAAAGGTATGGATCGGGTCGCAGACAGAATTGATCAATCGACCTGACTAGCGTGCTACTACACTCCCGTCGTCATGGCTGTCACCGACAAAAGCGACGACTTTGATGTCGGCACAGACGTGCACGCCGCCATCAACGACTTGACGAGGCGTCTAGCTGAGCATAGCAAGAATGTCGACAAGGAACCTATCATCAAGGTGGCCCAGCCGGAACACGTGCCGTACCTGCGCAAGATTGGGACGCCTGGAGCTGCGCACGACGTTGGGACAGTTCTCGAAGAGGCATTCACAGCTTTTGACTTCCGTCTGCGCGTCAATCACCCACGCTTCATGGGTCTGATTCCGTCGCCGACTTCTCCCGTCGCGTGGCTGGGGGACGTGGTCGCCAGCGCATTCAACGCTCTTGGTGCCTCCAAATTGCAGGCGTCGGGGCCAGTCGTGATCGAGAAGACGCTGATCGAGTGGCTGGCCTCTCGCATCGGCTTTCCAGCCACTGCAGGCGGCGTCTGTGTGTCAGGGGGCTCCATGGCCAACTTGATGGGTATCGTGCTCGCGCGGGATCGATGTGTGCCGCACGGGGAGGAACAACGCGCCGTGGCATACCTGTCCGACCAGACACACTACTCTGTCGCCAAGGCACTGCGACTGCTGGGTTTCAAGAGTGACCGGGTCAGAAAGCTGCCATCGGACGAGAGCTTTCGCATGGACGTCGGCGGGCTGCAACAGGCCACCAGGGATGATCGTGCCAGCGGGTTGATGCCGTTCCTGGTCGTCGGTTCCTGTGGCACGACGAACACGGGCGCCGTCGATCCTCTGAAGCGGATCGCAGATGTCTGCAAGACGGAAGGCATGTGGCTGCATGTGGATGGTGCCTATGGCGCATCAGTTTCCCTCTCGGCTACCAGACGCGACGTGGTGAACGAGTTGCAATACGCCGACAGCCTGTCCTGGGACGCGCACAAGTGGCTCTTCCAGACATATAGTTGCGGCCTGTTCATTGTCAAGGACAAGGCCAACATGGTGAAAAGCTTCGCGAACAAGGGCGATTACCTTCGGGATGGAACGGCGTTTGTGGATGATGACATTCCCAATTTCTGGAATTACACAATGGAACTCACGAGACCCGCCTCACGCGCCATGAAGCTGTGGTTTACTCTGCGTGTGATCGGCACGGAGAGAATCGGCGAGATGATTGACCATGGTTTCAAACTCGCCGAGCGTGCTGAGAGCGAGATTCGGGCGCTGCAGGATTGGGAGATATTAAGTCCGGCGAATATGGGTGTCGTGACATTCCGCTACGCCGCCAGGGCGACAGCGGCGGAGCATGGCCAGCATGAGGAAGCGCTCGACGCGATCAACTCGAGGATATCCAAGGAACTAATATCGAGCAACGTCGCGGGCATTCTCACCACCAAAGTACAAGGAAAGGTCGCGCTGCGAATATGCGCTTTGAGTCCCCATCTAGCATTGGAAGATATGGCACGTATCATTCGAGAGGCAGACCGGCTTGGGAAGGAATTTAACGAATGCAGTAGATAGACCATTGCAAAAAGAAGAAAAAAGAATAAACGAGACCACCCATTCTAGATGCAGAAGAGACATCAATCCCTGTGGCGCCTTCGCGTCTCACAAAGCACGGCGCTTGGTTAGGTCGAGTTGTGTTGCAACGAGAGCAGTAGACTTTGAAGTCTGGGGGGGCAGCAAAGTAACCACCGCACCCGGAAGAGTGAATTTCCAGACAAACGGCCAAGAGACCCTCACGTGTGGAGGCTCGCCGATATTAATCGATCCAATCTCAGTCCGGATCTTTGCTTGCCGTATATCCTGGACGGCGCGAGAGGGATCTTCTTGGAAGTTTCCGACGGACACTACTATGGCTTTGGAGCTGACAGAAACAGCGGTCCACCCGGTGGCTCTGATATCAGAAGAGGACATTATCGTTACGAAGCAAGACTGAGTGGCAAGGCAAATGGCAAAGCAAGTGACAAGATAAGTGACACACCACATCGTCTGTTACGGACTGGGATGCTCAAGTGCGCGCATCTCGATACTAGCTTAGGCATCGAAGAGTCAATCGCTACAGGGCCGTCTTTCCCACGGTTGTCTTTGACATTGGGCACGCGCAGTCGATTGTTTCGACAATGACAAGACGCGTAATGCAAGGCACTATCCCGGCGATCAGGAGATCTCACACCTGCGGATACGGGCAGCAGGAGCCCTTGGCATGCACCCCCCACACTTATCGACTCAAAGGGATGAGATGGTGGCAGTGGACGCATATACATAACACAACTAGGCTCGCCAATCAAAGTGTCAACTCGAGGGCTTCTGTCCGCTCGGCACCGACTTTGTCGCCGCAGAAGACCGATATTTGCGTCCCAGCATCTAAGGCTCTCAGGAGGCACCGGCAGGCAAAACATCACCCTTCTTCGTCTCTGACGATCCAGGTAAGTGTGGATTTGATGCATGTGGACGGCCAGCAAAGGACGGGTGCGTCTCAGTGACTCCGGCCTCCGCCTTGGCTACGGCCACTGCTGATAGCCGCGCCGTAAGGCGACCTGAGTATGCGAACCAATGTGAGTGCGAAACTTTGTCGAGGGTCAGAGTTATTAGCTGCGCCGGCTGCGTTAACAACGTCTTCGACAGGTGCCCGGAATAACGGACTCTTCGCTGTCGACTTTGCAAGGAAAACAGGAGAACCTGGAGGCGGAGCCACGGTGTCGCCCACGCTGGCCGGCACACTCAGCGACGGACACGTCGAGGGGGCGCACTTGCACGCAATATGAAGTCTTGTATCGTGCTGAGGCTCGAGATGAAGACTCAAACTGCATTCCCAATCACGTATTGCCATTGTTGCCCGTCAACAAACCGAGCCACGGCAGCATGTATCCATATTACTCCACCCCTTCAGAATCCGGTTGATCTCACTGTCATTACCAACACAAATATACGTAGTCCATACGCGCCGCTAAGAAAGGGGTTCAATTGCGTTCTCGTTGTCTATGGGGCGCATAGTAGTTTTTTTAATCGGGATAATAACTTGGAGGAAGACCACGTTTATTACCCGTCGAGCCGTGGCTTACAAGCGCACCTATGGCGTCCAAGCTGTCGCATATGCCTAAATACGTGGGACAGGGGGGTAGTAAATGTGACATCCCGTCAGCAAGGCTGCAGTCGCCCGCACAGATCCTGGGCTGGATTGGGGATAAATGCCAATGGCGTTGTGAACTAGTAGTGTTGGTTGTTGCTATCAAAGAGAGGGCTGGTATGATTTATGAACACGCGCTGGCATTGACATTTTCCACCCACCTCTGCCTGGAGTTACCTTGTATTCCATTCGTCAATACATGTACTTCATAAATGCCCAACGATAGGAAGAACCCCCGGTGCGGACGAGTGGTGCATGTCTTGCTGTGTCGAACTCACGCATACAGGGTAGCTCAGGCCTCTCAGCCGAGATGTGCGGGGAAATGTAAATAAGACACCCCGACAAATCGTAAAAAAGTACCAAGCTGGAGCAACACATTCCAGAATCCTTGATCGATACATGCATCGTACACGTGCGAACCATGGAATTCAGGTCTTCAACCCATTCTCCACGCGAAGTTAAAAATGGCGGACGCAGGCCAAGTGGTAGGTGCGCATATAACAGTTGACCGCTATTGGGGAGCGGGACATGCAAAAAGTGAACCAACGGCCATAAAGTATGAAACGGCAAGAGCCATTTCGGACTCAGGACCCTATGGGTTCCAAGATCCTGGGCAAGATTGCCCACGCTGCTAGTGTGCCTACGTATCTCTGTCGCTGCAGCGAAGCTGTGCGATACTGTGGTACCTGTCGTTCACGTGTGATTGTGAAAGCGTTACGGTACTCGCAACGAATATTCGGCCAAGAGATGCTAGCAATGCACCGTGAGTCGGCACTCCTTTATTACGTAGGTCCCTGGGCGATGAATTGGCCTTGGGCTTCCCCTCACGGCTGGGATGCCGGTTGGGGACTGGCGCGGCGTCTCCAACATGAACGAGGCCAAGCAGGGAATTGTTCCGAAACAAGCGCATGACTGCCCGAGTCAGCAAGTCCGTTCGAGACTCAAGTGGGCGGCTTGGATCGCGTGGCACGTCGAGATTCAATATGCACAATCGTGGTGAGAGAGCTGGCGCTGGCAGCCCAATGGTGGCCGTTAGCAGAGGAAAGAAGAACTGGAGGGACCAGCAGTCAAAAGGCATGAATCTCGAGGACCAAGCACGGCTGAGGGAGGTGTAATTGGTGCCGTGATCCGAGCCTCGTGTTTGTTCGGTGCATACTGGGGCGAGTTCGCCGCAATCCAGAGTCCAGACGAGGCAGGCAAGTGCCGCAAATCGGGGCAAAGCTCACCCGGCAAGGATGCAGCCATGCATGCGGCGTAGTCGCGCCGTGAAGGCGCCGTCCGATGTGGCACGATTGGTGCTCTGGCTCCGGCTGGGGGGATGGAAACTCCAGTAATTAGAGGGACGAGCGCCCTGGGGCCCGCTCCGGGGTAGACCTGCGGGGGACGACTGGGGGGTAAGATGCCCGCTGCTCATTGCCAGCCAGCCAGTCAGCGGGCTTGAGGAGCGATAGGGGCGGCTTCAGTGCCTGGGGAAAAGGCCGCTAGACGTGTTCAGGCTAAGGTCCGCAGCTCGCGTCGACGGTGATTGGCCAGGGTCCTGCCAAGCTGGTGTCTGTGATAGGCGCGTCTAACAGACGATGCAAACCCCAGATCCTGTTCCCCAAACGGCACTAGAAGTTGTGCCCTTCTCCCCACCTTCTGCCTTTCGCGAGCGATTGCCTGCTCGTGTCACGGACTTGCCATCCGGAATGGGATCGGAATGTGTTCGGTTGGTGGATTTCCATCAACACATGGCTCCCGTGCTGATGCTACTCCCGCAAGGACCAGCGTCCTGGCCTCGCTTATAATAGTCCGCGTCTGCGCCTGACACTCTCGCCTTGGTCTCTCCTACCTCCTACCTGCTTCTCTGTGTCTGTCGGTCCATCCCTCATCCACACAGCTTGTGCGCGCCGCAGGGTCCAGTTACCATCGCCCATCATGACTTCACACGACGACGGAAAGTCGCCCAGCGACCTCGCAGAGGTGGAGGCGCACCACTCTGCCAACCCCGACCTCGACGAGAAGGCGCGCATCTCCAACTTCAAGGCCGATGCCATCGATGCGGAGAATGTCGAGCACAACATGGGCGTGCTCCAGGCCGTCCGCGCCTACCCCATGGCCAGCATGTGGGCGTTCATCATGTCCTGCACCATTGTAAGCTTCCCCCTTCTCACACTCACCCATGCGTGCGGCTAACACGGCCAGATCATGGAGTCCTACTGTGTCTTCCTCATGGGCAGCTTCATTGCCCTGCCCGCCTTCGCCAACGACTACGGTATCTGGAGTGAGGAGAAGCAGAAGCTGGTCATTGCGCCCAGCTGGCAGTCTGCCCTCCAGGTGGCCGGTCCCATCGGCGCCATCATCGGCGTCTGCATCGCAGGCCCCATCACCAGCCGCATCGGATACCGCTGGGCCACCATCTTGGGCCTCATGCTCCTCAACGCCTTCATCTTCGTCTTCTACTTTGCCAAGTCGCTCCCCGTCATGCTGGCCTCGCAGCTCCTCGAGGGTATTCCTTGGGGCATCTTCATCGCCAACTCGCCCGCCTACTGCAGTGAGATTGTGCCCCTCAAGCTGCGTGCCCCGGCCACGCAGATGCTGCAGATGTTCTGGGCCATTGGCGCCATCATCGTCAACGGCGTCACCTACCACTACAACACCCGGCTCGACGATGCTGCCTACAGGGTCCCCATTGCCCTCCAGTGGATGTTCCCCACCCCACTCGCCATCCTCCTCTTCCTAGCCCCCGAGTCTCCCTGGTGGCTCGTCCGAAAGGGTCGCCTCGAGGATGCCAAGAAGGCTGTCCGACGTCTCGGACGCAAGTCCGTGGTGCAGAACATTGACGAGTCCGTTGCCATGATGCGTCGTACCATTGAACTGGAGAAGACCGAGAAGGAGCCCAACCACCTGGAGCTGTTCCGTGGCACTGATCTCTACCGTACCCTCATTGTCTGCGGTGTGTACGCCGCCCAGAACCTGACGGGCAACCTGATTGCCAACCAGGCCGTCTACTTCTTTGAACGTGAGTTCTTCCATTCACTCGTCCATTCCATCCCATCATGCACATGAGCAGAGCTGACAAGTGATGACAGAGGCTGGCATGAGTGTCAACACCGCCTTCGCCCTCGGTCTCATCACCTCAGGCCTGCAGACCATCTTTGTGATGCTGTCCTGGATCCTCACCACCTACCTCGGCCGACGCACCATCTACGTCTGGGGCTCCGCCATCAACACCGTACTGCTTATCGCCCTGGGCATCGCAGCCTCCTTTGGTGTGTCGACCTCGGCGTCTCTGGCCCAGGCTTCCCTCGGTCTCATCGTCTCCGTCCTCTTCACCCTCGGACCCGCCCCTGCCTCCTGGGTCATCATCGGAGAGACATCGGCCATCCGTCTCAGGCCCTTGACGACTGGTATCGGCCGTGGCTGCTACTATCTCGTCAACATTCCTTGCATCTTCCTCTCGAGTTACATGCTCAACCCCACGGTATGACTTCTTTTCTCCATCATCCCTGGAGACAAATTGCTGACGCGACAATAGGGCGCAAACCTCGGCGGCAAGTGTGGCTACGTCTGGGGTGGCACCGGTTTCTTCTGCCTGGTCGTCGCTTTCTTCTACCTCCCCGAGATGAAGGGCCGCTCGTACCGCGAGATCGACATCATGTTCAAGCGCAAGATCCCCGCGCGCAAGTGGAAGAAGACTGTCATCGATGTCAACGACGACGAGTAGGCGTGCGCACATGCATCGGCATGGCTCACGTGTTCACCAGACATCGCGCGTGGTTCTTGGACTGTGACGGTGCGAGTGTCGTCTCGTGTTTCGCGCACCGTTACAAGGGGGCTGTCGAAAGTGTCCAGTTGCTCACTTGAGCCGCTACTCGTGGATAGTAAATAACATTGCACATTTCGATCAATCCGCAAAGTTTGAAAGCTTCTTGGGAATCAAGTGAATTCTGCTGGACTTCTGCGAAGTTGTACATATCCAGCCACCTGTAGACACAATCCGCAACCACCCAGTGTGCTTGGTCCAAACAGCACTCGGCGACCTCCGCGGCTCTTGCATCGCAAAACCGTGTGATGTAATCTGTAAAGCTTATTTCTCCATCCAAATGCCCATCTGCTGATTTCACACCATGTGGTGTGTCATAAGCTTTGAGGGTCCAGAGTTCTGGACCATTGACCGGGAGATCCCGCATGGGCTTGCAGCAACCACAAGTATATGGGCTGTCGCGGTCGTCCATGACTATTGCGGTCATTGATCGCACCCATCACGATTCGCAGAAGCGAATACAAAACAAAGTCGGCACGTAGAGTCCAAGTATTGAAGCTCCCTCACTTCGCATGCTGCTGCTCGCCATCTGCTTACCTGCAGCTCGGATACGAAGCTGCGCTCGACTGTAAGCCATCATTTGGTCCTTGGCGATCACGACATGGATCCGTATCAGGATTTCGTTCAGGTGGCCTCGCCATACACAACAATACCTCCAGGACTAGACGAGCCGATACCGCTGAGCCCGAGATGGGTTGCCCCAATGGCCCTCGCATTGTGCGTTGTCGCGCTTGTCCTCCCGATCTTGTCTGCCCTGTATGTATCTTCCTGACCACAGACCGAGGTCAAGTCGTCCCTTAGCTGACACATGATTGTCTCAGAGCCCTTGCCTCCAAAGGCGGCGCAGTAGCTCTTCTCACGGACCCAGATGACCCAAGCGGCCTGTCATCAAGCAGCTCGGACACTGATCCAGATGGCGAAAGGATACGCGAGCTGGAAGACACCTCGCCAGAAGTGCAGTATGACGAGCTCATAAGCCACGACATGGACCACTTTGACCGGTACTCATCCTGGCAGAGCTTGCAGGAATGGTATGTGCCCTCAGTTCTCCAGAGGCATTCCGGCCTTAGATTGTGGAGAGAGTTTCTGACTTTGATTGAAGCGTCTTCTGCCTAGACCCGTTGAAGCCGAATGACATGGTCCGTCGCCTCCCCTGTGGCCACATTTTTCACACTCGATGCATCATGACGTGGTTTTTACGGGAACATCACAATTGTCCCCTTTGTATGGCTGGCTTCCTACATAGGGACGTGCTGTAAATGGTCTGTGAGCGGCAAGCAAAGACGCATATAATGTCACTACCACACTAGACCGACCAGGAACAAGGGGAATACAAAATTGAAGAGCCTCTTGGATGCAGTTTCAACGCAATGACATCGATGGAATCGAAAGCAATCGTGTGAGGTCTAGATTCCCAGCAGCAGGCTCATCGATTCATTCTAAGAACCCATTGTTTCGAAAGCCCAGACTCAACGGTGCCGCTTCTGGTTCTGGAATGTCTACGGCCTGGGGTAATGAGAGTCACTGTTAGGTCTGCATACATTTATCGAGATGAAATCGTTTAAAGTGTGGGAGACGTACGTAGCAACCTTTAACTGGTATCTGACCAGCATTGACTTTGCCGGGCGGGTGCAAGTTGCAACGTCAATCTGCCGCCATCATGCTCACAACCTTCGACTAGCGAAACGCCAACGCGGACCTCAGCAGGCGGTCAGCCAGCCCCTCTGCATCGCGACCACTGGATTTCAAGTCTCCGAAAGTCCCGTAGCAGATCAGACACTCGTGTTGTATGGGCTCGGTTATTTCGTTGGCCAGGCGGTGGCTGCATGTGTGGATTCAGAGCCCAGATCATACCACCCTGGGCAACACGTGCATTAACAAAGTACAGCATTATAAAGTCGAGTCGGATGCAGCGGACGCTGGCTTTACAGGGGTATATTCAGTCCTAGCTGCCCTGATCAACCTGCTCGTAGCCAGTTTCACTGCTATCGCGTGACCACAACCACCTCTTGCCACATCAAAACACCAACAGAAACATGCCAGGCGCAACGAAGGAAGATCAAAGCCAGGTCCCCGAGCTCCTTTACCACACTTACCTGAGGGTCAATAGTGGAGAGCCGGGAAGTCCCAAGGCTATTCCTGATGTCTACGTTCTCGCGACTTATGGCACCCTGAACGCAGCGAAACAATTCGCCCTGGGGGCCATTTCGACCTTGGGCTACTCGAGGGACGACTTCGACCTCTATGAAGAACGTCCCAAAAATACTGAGCAATGGGAGCACGGCGATGGAGTCTTGGTCTACGCCAAAGCTCCCGCGGGACACGAGTTCATTGTCGGCATCGACACCAAGCCAAACACTGGCGATCTCAAGGCAACATCTGAAGGGTCGCTCATCTTGCCAGATGGAGCAGACCACCTGCACTACATCCTGCAGACCATGGTGGACTACAACACGGACCGGAAAGCCAACACGGAGATTGAAGGCGCCTATACCCGCAGGAACGACGCCATTGAGGCTGCAAAGCGGTGCCTACTGGACGAGGATCAGACCGAGGCCGACTTTGCGCAGTTTGACACCCGGGAGAGCTTGAACCTGAAGACAGAGGCCGATTGGCCTTTTGGGGAAAATGTTCTCGTCCACGCCATTAAACCAACAGGAGAGAACTACTTTGTGTCTGTGGGAACGCCCCCTGAAGCGAATATCAAGCATGGAAAGAAGGAACAGAAGCAAAAGCAGTGAACTTGATTGACTGTTTCCGTACTTGCTGTGGACGCGGGCGGGATCGACACGCCGGAGACGATGGAGATGCTTGTTGGAGTTCAATGGCAAGATCACATGTTTCTACTAGGTGGCAATTGTAATAATGGAGTAAAACTTCCCTGAGTATCGTACGATGGTGAATTCAGGCTCAGTCTGACGTCCTTGACCGGAAGTCTCGGTGTCAGACCAAGACCTGACTGTGAAAACTTGTTACAACTCCCCCCTCGAGCTGTGATCCCGGATGCAATGGAATGGGCGCTACACTGACAATGCGCAGGCAAGGTTCAGCCACAACTATCAAATCATAGAGTACGTGGCAAGACTACATCAAGTCTTCGATGCATAAGAAGCAGAGTGGACAGTCACTTTTGTGCTGGTGAATGTGATCCTTGGTCTCTTAGCAAAGAAGCCGGACTGACGCATCATGGCCACAAAGAAAGTTTCGAGCATCACGATTGTAGGAGTTGGCCAGGTGGGCGGCGCAGTGGCCTACGCCCTCATCCTGAGATCCGCTTGCGATGAGCTGCTTCTGGTGGACAACGACGTCGAACAGGGATACGGACAGGCGCGAGATCTGTCTGATGCGGCGTATAGCAGCGGCAGCAAAACCCGAGTGCGACTGGTCTCGCACCGCGAGGGAAGCCAGAGTGATATTATAGTCATCGCGGCAGCATCGAAGCATCCAATGGGTAAGAAAAACCTGGCCAAATTTAGGGAGTCAGCTGTATAACACGGCGAATTCACAGGCGAGACCAGACTCGAGCATACACACCACAACATCTCTATCATGCGATCGATAATCGACGAGATGTCGCCTCTCAGACCAGATACTGTTCTTCTGGTCATCTCGCAGCCTGTTGACCTACTCACCTCTGTCGCGCTGAAGCTATCCAAGCTTCCGCACAACCAGGTGCTGGGGGCAGGGACCTACCTCGAGTCAGCACGACTCCGTGGAATGGTGGCGGACAAGGCTCATGTGAGGCACAGCAAAGAAGATGGTCTGTTATTTCAGTACTGAATATTTCACAGGTGTCGGCGAATTCGATCGATATGTATGTACTGGGCGTACAAGGACCGCAGCAAGTAACCGCCTGGTCCTCAGCCACGGTCGGGGGTGTTCCCCTTGACAAGGCCCTCCCAGCCGGCACCATTGACAAAGACAAGATCGCCACCGAGAGTGCGGAGCGGTCGCACAAGATTCTCCTGGCCAAGGGCTCGATGCCGTTTGGTGTGGGTTCTGTCATAGCAAGTGTCTGCACTTCGGTGCTCAATGATGAGCGCAAGGTTCGTCCAATTAGCTACTATGAGGCAGACTTCGGATGTTGCTTCAGTAGGCTCGCTGCAATTGGACGGCAGGGAGTCGCAGCTAGTCTGCCAACGGCACTAAGTGAGAGCGAGATGGGACAAATGGTGGAATCGGCGGAGGGTTTGGCTGATACGCTGAGCCGTATTAACGACTTGTGATTTCGACGGAATGCTCATGATGTCGAAAAAGGGTGATGCGGGCACAGGAGGATGTGACTAGCTATGAACATAGCTGGCACACGTCGTTTTGTTAACGAGAATGGAAGTAATGAAACCGTTTGAAAGTATAGCATTGATTGAATGGCCGTGAGTAACTGAAGTATTATGTCGTCCCCCCCTAGCCATTGGGATGAAGGTGTCCAACAGGCCAATTCAAACCTCGCAGCCTCATGCGCCTGTCATTAATCGCCTGATCAACACTAACCACCACAATACTTCCTCCCAGAAATGGGCATTCTTGCTTTGCCCTCGCAAAAACCAAAAGCAAGCCTGGTACAACTGTTCAATCCCCCTTGCCATGCCCATTGGGTCTCCGAGCCACCTGCGCCTCCCCTTCGATGACATTCTTCATGACGTCGACGAAGCTGTCGGGGCTGATAGAGATCGAATTAATCCCAGCCTCAACGAGGAACTCAGCGAATTTGGGATGATCACTCGGCCCTTGCCCGCATATGCCAATCTTGACGCCCTTCTGTCGTGCCACAGATATGACGCGGAGGAGCATCCACTTGACAGCCTCGTCCTGCTCATCAAAAAGATCGGCCAGGCCGCTGTTGTCACGGTCCACGCCGAGAACAAGCTGAGTCAGGTCATTGGAGCCAATAGAGAACCCATCAAAGTATTTGGCAAAGGTGCCGGCGAGGATGACGTTGGAAGGGATCTCGCACATGACATACACCTGGAGGCCAAATTCACCTCGTTTGAGGCCATTCTCGGCCATGGCGTCGAGTACCTGAATGGCTTCCTTCTCGGTTCGACAGAAGGGGACCATGACGATGGCGTTTGTAAAGCCCATTTGCTCGCGGAGTCGCTGGATCGCGCGACATTCGAGGGCGAATCCTTCTTTATAGCGCGGCGAGTAGTAGCGCGATGCGCCTCGAAACCCAATCATAGGGTTGTCTTCCAGAGTTTCGAACTCAGAACCACCGATGAGGCCGGCGTACTCATTGGTCTTGAAGTCACTGAGACGGATAATCGCGGGCTTAGGGTAGAAAGCAGCGCACAGCGCACCGAGGCCTCGTGAGAGCTTGTCGACAAAGTAGTCACATTTGTTCTCGTACCCGCTCGTCAAGCGAGAAATCTCCTCCTTTTCGACCTCGCTTTTCAACTTTTCAAAGTGCACCAAGGCCATAGGATGGACTCGAATCGCGTTACTAACGACAAACTCCATCCTGACGAGGCCGATGCCATCGACGGGCAGCCGCCACCACTTGTATGCGGCTGCTGGGTTGGCGAGATTCAGCATGATCTGAGTCTTGATTTTAGGTAGCTTGGCGAGGTCCACGGTCTCAGTGGCGATCTTGGACGCGCCATCGTACACAAAGCCAACGTCGCCCTCAGCACAAGACACCGTGACAACCTGGTCCGTATGCAACACGTGGGTTGCGCTCCCAGTGCCAACGATAGCTGGCAGCCCCAGCTCACGACTGACAATGGCCGCATGAGAAGTCCGCCCACCGTGGTCGGTGATGATAGCCGCGGCGCTCTTCATGAGGGGAACCCAATCCGGGTCTGTGACCCTGGTGACGAGGATGGACCCTTTGACGAAGCTGTCCATGTCTTCGACTGACTCGATTAGACACAAATTACCAGACACAGCGGCGTCTCCCACTGAGCTGCCAGTGACGAGGACACGGCCCTTTGTTTGGACATTATATGTCTTGAGCACAGCCGTGTCGTCGCGGGAGCGCACCGTCTCCGGGCGCGCCTGGACGATATACAGATCGCCTGTGACGCCATCCTTGGCCCATTCAATGTCCATAGGACAGCCATAGTGCTTCTCTATGATGCAAGCCCATCTGCTTAGCTGCAAGATCTCGGCATCTTCCAGAACAAACATGGCCCGTTCCGCCTTTGAGGTAGGGACTGTGCGTGTCGGGGTATCTTTGATGCCGTAGACCACCTTTGACGCCTTTCCGCCGCATTTCTTCTCCAGCGTAGGGTTGAGGCTGGGATTGTTCAGCAGAGGCTTGAAGACCTGATATTCGTCAGGATCGACGGTCCCCTGCACGACGCTTTCCCCCAGACCCCAGGCAGCATTGATGAGGACGACATTGTCAAAGCCAGTCTCGGTGTCGATGGAGAACATGACGCCAGAGCCGCCAGTGTTCGAGCGGACCATGCGCTGCACCCCAATTGACAATGCAACGCTCATATGATCGAAGCCTTTGGACTGTCGGTAACTGATGGCTCGATCCGTGAAGAGCGATGCGTAGCACTGCCGGCAGGCATCCAAGACCGCATCCGCCCCGAAGACGTTGAGGTATGACTCTTGCTGGCCTGCGAAGCTGGCATCCGGAAGATCCTCTGCTGTTGCACTGGATCGCACTGCGACAGCGAGGTCCATGTTCCCCTCAGCTCGCGCCAGCTCGAGGTACTCCTCTTTGATGCTGGTGGCTGCCCCTGGAGGCCAGCTTCCCCGAAGAAAGAGGCGCCTAATAGCAGCGCCCGTCTCGGCCAGAGTTGCCTTGTTGCTCTGCCATTCACCGATGATGTCGGACAACCGGGCCCGAATATCGTTATAGTCGACGTAGTCCCAGTACAGCTGTGAGGTTGTCGCAAAACCGGGCGGAACTGGTATGCCCTTGTTCTTGAGGGCGCCAATCATCTCGCCCAAGGAGGCATTCTTTCCTCCGACGAGGGCCACATCGCCGCGGGCCAGAGTCTCAAACTTGCGGATGAGTGTTCGATCATTATTTGATGAATCCATTGTCGTGTCTTGGTCCAGGAACCTTGAGGCGTCAATATGGATACGTTCACCAGAAGCCGTCGCCTGTCGTGACTAGTACAACTTGAATTATCGAGGACAGGCAAAGCGCGTGCTACAAACGACGTCAGAGCGTCTCCTTATCTGGACTTGCTGACTTGTACTCATAGACATGTCTCTATACGAAACCCGGCGATGTCCGCGTCGATGTAAAAAGGCACCACGGTATTATCGCGGCCTGGAATAGGACCAGGCGGTTGGTTGCACGCGTGGTCGGGATTCCAGGCTTTGGCTCCCGGGAGCCTGCAAAGTCTATTGCTGGAGTGGCCAGTTTTCCTCGTCTTAGGCCCATTGGCAAGGTGGTGTACTGGCATGCACGGTTCAACCCCTCAAATTCGTTGCAAAGCATTCCATGGCGTGTAAATGATGCCATCTGGTACCATAACACAGCATGTGTCGAGTTCTCGAGGAGTAGTCGATCTCCAGTATCAGCCCACACTCGCGGGAGAGCGGGCATTGGACATTGCAATGTGGTGGCCCCAGGTCGCTAGCTCTACGATGCAGCCATCTTGATGTATATGATGGTCGGAGAGACTTGGGCCATCGGTATGAGTGATGGCCTTCTATAGACTTCCGGAGGGACACCGCCCTCAATTGACATTGAACTGAAGGCCCCCGAGAGAGTCCTGCGCTGTCATCTAAAACGCCCCGTCCGCGGACAACGCAATTAATTTCCTCTACAAAAGCACAAGCGAGTTTCCGAGAGAGCCAGCATCAATCACATAATGTGAATTGCTTCTACGGGAAGTGCCTCTTCGCAGCATGCTTTGCTTTTCAAATGGGTTGTTTCGCGATACAGACCGGCTTCCTCCGCAGAGCAGCCCGGGGCACCCGGACGAGGATCTCGGGGGCTTCCGCTGCTGTCTTCTTGGTTTCCGTGCAACATGCGACTTCAATAAGCATCGAAAGTCGATACGTAAAATTATGCTCTCTGAGGGTGTGGTGCTGAAGGCACTGTCCACATCGTCGATGATGGGGGCGCCACAGGCGAGGATCACCGGGGCACACCTCAGTAGGTTATCTTCATGCTCCGGGCCTGCCCAGCCGTCTATTGTGGACTCGGCCGTTATTTTCTTACGCGATAAGTTATGAAGACACCAGGTCTATTGCTCTTTATTATATCATATCTATTTCAGATACAGACATAATATTTGTTAGACCCAGGCGTACTGTATGTTGCGTACCAACTAATACCCATTGTCCAGGGCTGAACACGTCTGTGATACCAAGTTTGCCGCACAAGATGATGATCTAGCAGCCGGTAGAACGTGTTGACTTCGGGGGTTTCTATTGTTCATGAGGTTCTCAGACAGACAATTATGCTTTCACTGAGTAACTAACAGAGATCCGGCGCAACCTCGTCTGTCGGCTCAGGCGGCGAAGGTCGTGTGATCCGTATTCCAAGCCCACCAGCCCGGGGTCTTCGGCTTTCTGTTAGATCAAAGATCGTGCCGTCCTCTAATTACGTCAAATATGTCTCACTCACCGCTGGCGGTGCCAAACAGAATCGTCACCGAGAAATCGATCATTCTAGGCCATGCCGAGGCGATGCCGTTGCCGACATCCACTTTCGCTATACTTATATGTCGGGTTGGGGCCTTGTGCTGTATATGAAAAAGAACCTTGGCCCATCCTACCTCGTGAGCGCAGACTTGAAGATACAGTGCCACATCCTTACTATTACCGACATCATGTCCTTTGTCCCACACGCGCACATGGGATCTCTGATCCGTCTCTTCGATGAGATGGACAACTACACACGCGACTCAATCGGCAGGCGATCTCTCCAGACAGGGGATCCGCTGCGAATTCAACCTCGCTTCGACGTTTGTGAGCGACAAGACTCGTATGACTTGTACGGGGAGCTCCCAGGACTGGAAAAAGAAGACCTCCATCTCGAGTTCACCGATCCCAAGACCCTTCTGCTCAGTGGTCACATTGAGCGCTCCTATACCACGGGAACCCCGACGGAAGGCTTTACGGCAGTAGAAAAGCCGCCGGAGAAGGCAGAGCAGAAGACAACGGGAAAGCCAGTGGGAAGGTCATCCCAGGAACAGCCCACACCAGAGAGCGGGAAGGGTGCAAGTGGTGAGAGCGCCGAGACCGGCAAGCAGGTGGCGCCGGCGAAGGAAATGGGCCCCAAGTATTGGGTTGCCGAGAGGAGCATCGGGGAGTTTTCCCGCGCATTCAACTTTGCCCATCGTGTCAGCCCGGATGGGGTGACTGCGGAGCTCAAGAGTGGTGTCCTGTCGGTGCACGTTCCAAAGGCTAGCGATGCTGTTATCCACACAGTACAAGTAAGTTGATAGGGCTGAGTCACATTGTTTCTGTAGGGGACTCTTCTTGTGTGCTTATCTATTACTTCTTATTCTTAATTTGTTGCGCCCCCTGGGCCCTGAACGTGTCTTTGTTATCGCTCACGGCTACCCTATAGTTTCTTCAAAGAACATGTATTATACCGACACTAAGGTGCAGTCATAGTAATGAGTGTGAGGATTATCATACAAGGTAAACTGTTAGAAACAGTTGAGTTACTGACGAAATTACTTTAATAGAAACTCACAGGGATATCTAACGCTGTGTTACTGAAAGCAAAACTAACTAAAAGGCGTCTGAATAAAAACACGCAGGAATAACACAGTATTTACCACGGATCTAACACAGTAATACAGCTACATAATTAAAATATAGATTCTATTCCGGAAGATTTAGTAGGCCTAAATCTCGAAGCCTACTAACGGCGCCTAAAATTCAAAGCAATCTATCTTATAGTACGTTATAAACGAAGTTTAATTATTTTTTATTACCGTGTGATATTCTTAACAGACTTAATAGAGCGATCAATTACAATGTCCAGAGGCCCCGGGAGTCGAGGACTTTCTAGGTGCGCGTGCAACGGACATACCTTTACCTTGTGTCTCTTTCAATTTTGGCACCCATTGCGTGTCTTTGTATGGGTGCGTCAGGCAGACATGCTCGAAGCTCAGCAATCTAATCGATAGAAGGATTGCTCGTCAATCTCGGATCTTCACAATCAAGAACTAATTGAATAATTTAGAGAGTTTTGACTTTTAATCCGGATACGAGAAGCTGCGCACAGGCTTTCGGGTCGCAAGGGGAACAATATCTGCGGGCACCCGACTGTGGAAGTCGAGTGCGACGAGCAGAGACAGACAGATGTCAGATGTGTATGAGGCGAAGTTGCGAACCTGCGAACAGAACCTGGCAATCCGAGGGTTCGGAAAGATACCCGCAATAGTGGAACACCCCCGGCTCCGTGTCGCCGGCCTCGAGGGCCCGGGACACCGCCGCCCCGGGCCCCGCGCGGCCGGGCGGCCGGGCGTACCCGACATGGAGCCGTCGAATCGACGTCAAGGACACGATTCAAGGCGCTATAGGAAGCACTGCTACTCTATTACTGCCTCGTCCACCGGGATCGCCTCGCATATCCCGTTTCCTCCCTAGCTGAGTCAGGGACGGCAAGCCTGGCACCGCGTAATGCCCGAATGACTTACATGTACTTACATCGTGTAAGGGAGGAGTACACACCGATATATGTATGTTCAATTGCGAATGGCAACTTGCATAATGCGCATCTACATCGGTGTATTCAATCTTCGTTTCTTTATCAAAGTTCCTCCCTTTACGTACCGTCTGACTTCTCCCGTGCTCATGACTATTGTTTCGTTTAACTTCTGTAGTCCCCATGAGCACACGCGGCCATGTCTGGTCTGTGCAACCCCGAGTGCAAGAACGGCGAAAGGTCGCTCTATAAATTCCCATCGTACTACTCTTCGACATCACGACAATGCTCGACGGCTTTCAGATGGACCGAACCGGGACGTGGTATCTAGGAGCCTTTTTTTCCCGGCGGTTGCTTTGCGCTAGCGCATCAAGGAAGCTGCTGGAGGAAAAGTATAAAGTGCTGAAGAACATGAATGGGTGAATTCGTGGGTTACATCGCGCGGACAGTGAATGCCTTGCAGAACAGTCGTGACGGGCAGTCCTGCGCGTGAGATCCGCATGAATACGGCCAAATCAGGACCCACAAGGCGGCGCACACTCACTAGGCAATCGATAATCTTGAATATACCCAGTCATTAGAAAGATTAGACCATCACAAAGACCGGGCAGGCCCCAAAGTGGATGAACATCGCTCAGTACCACTCCGTGCCCGGAAGAGAAGAAGAGACGCGACAATTCCCTTCGGCTTCGACGAAAGAGAGGCGACCTAGAATGAGAGCCTGACAGATTATTATGAATGCCATCTGGCACAGCGAAGGGCTTTGTCACGATTACCCGAATTGAATCCGGACGGAAATCGGCACGGGCTGTGAACCTGTGGAAAGCTGGCGCAGTGCGCACGGGTCTACGAAGCATAGACACCACATTCGGCTCCTCGGCGTGAAGGCGTAGTAGTCCGAGCAGGGCGAGAAGCTTGGCGGGTTCAGTGCGCTTTTTCCAGGGGCTAAGCAAAGCGAAGGAGGAATGCGAAGTCTCGGAATTTCGTGTTTGTTGCCAGATGCGGACTTGCCCCTAGCCTGTCTGACGCTAATGTATGCTCCCGAGATATACATGGCGAGGGCGGGCGTATTAATACGAGGCGCGACGAGGCGATGCGAGCAGATCCGAGATACCCACACGCACGCGGTCATGCCGCAAAAGATAGCACACAATTATTAACACATAGATGTCCACTCGCAGATTACATGTAATATGCATGTTCTGTCTTCTCCTACATGATAATTCTACTTCAATCTTTCAACTCGCATTCCCCCTTCTACCCAGCCTTCGACGCGGTGGTGCCCTCACGCTTAGCAATCCGAGCTTCCACAGTCTTCGTCTTGTCACCTCCAAATCCCGACAGGCAAACAGCATGGCCGAGCTCAAATCATATAACGGCTACTACCTCTGGCAGTACATCCCGAACACAGCAGCGGCTGCCCTGTTCACTGCACTGTTCGCCTTAGGAACGGCAGTGGTGGTGTGGCGGATGATCAGAAGCCGCGCCTGGTTCTGCACAGTATTCATCATCGGTGCCATACGTGAGTTAGCACCAATTGATTACGGATTTCCCATAGGTGGCCCATTCAAAGCGTCCACTCGCTGACTTGAATAAAACCGTAGTGGAAATCGGCGGATACGCTGCGAGAGCCGTGTCAAAGAACAAGACCGACGAGCTCATACCCTATGTCATCCAGAGCACATTCATCCTCGTCGCACCCGCCCTGTTTGCCGCGTCCGTGTACATGTCACTTGGTCGAATCATTCGAAGCATTGGAGCAGAGTCCCTCTCGATTATCCCCGTCAAGTGGCTCACTAAGATCTTCGTGTGTGGCGACGTTATCTCCTTCATGGTCCAGGCTAGCGGCGCCGGCATCCAAGTCAAGGCGGACTCCGCACAAACGGGTGAGAATATTATCCTGGCGGGTCTATTTATTCAAATCATCATTTTCGGGTTTTTCGCTGTCACGGCCGCCATCTTCCATGTCCGCGTGCACCGACACCGGCCGAGAGCCTCGCTAGAGCATGGTACGAAGTGGGAGAAGCTAATGACCATGCTCTACATTGTCAGCGTCCTGATCATGGTCAGGTCAATTTTCCGTGTGGTCGAGTACATCATGGGCCGCGACGGGTATCCTTTGTCACACGAGTGGACTCTGTACGTCTTTGACGCGGTTCTGATGTTTGGAGTGGTGGTCCTCTTTGCTTGGAGATTCCCCAGTGACTTGAATCCATTCAAATTGGATCAGGAGAACATCGAGATCAGTGGACAAGTACGACAAAGGGGGGTCATTGCCCAGCACAAGTAGTTTGGGGCTCTGATAGTGACGCGCGCCGGGGTTTCACTTGCACTGAATCACTGGCATAGATCTGTGTTAGTCTAATGGATAGAAAGAAAGTTCACAATCGAAGCTTCTAGTGGAAAATGGGGTTCAAGATCTAAATTTACTTGGATGGATGTTTGAGCCCACGATCCTTCTTGACGAGTGACGGCTGGGTCTGGCCGAAGAGCGACTAGTTAGGAACACAGCTTGATATAGTCAAGAGACATATACGCTTGTATTCTTTAGGGCCAGGCATGCAGGCAATTGATTGTGAAATCAATACGATGTAATAGTATATCTCTTCCAAGTGCAAGACTAACCGTAGGTAACTCGAATCCGCTCCGTTGTTCACACACGAACATTGCACGCATCATCAAACACCTGGTCGGCCCTTTGTGATGGCATCGAAATGCTCCATGACATCTCTGTCGCTGAGTCCCACCTCACGTCTCCTGTCCGCTAGATACTTTCCTTCTATTAGGAGAGCTGCCTCGACGGAACGTCGAGTATTAGAATTGGCCGTGTAGAGGATGCTTTTGTAGATCCCCTGCAAAGGATACGTCGCTATCCCCATCACCGCTGTCACAGGACGTCAGTATCAGAGCCTCTATTTCGCAGGCATCCATCATTCGGGGTCCGCAGTGACCGACCGCTGGTTACGTACCTGTGAAGACATTGCTGCCCAGGCCTGCAATTCCCTTACCGACACCTTTAACAACCCCGATTGCCCCTTGGCGCTGGGCTCCAGAGTATGGTAGGAGGACGAGACCAGCCACTCCGTCGTAGAGGCCGAGGACAACACACTTCCCTCCAGCGGCTGCTCCGGACTTCCAGTCGCGAATTTCGCCGTAGTCTCTGACATTCTCACCATATAAGTGCGGCAGGTGTCTCAAGCCCTCGGTGAAGGCAAACGGCACGATGATTGCGCCACTCGATAATCGCTTCAGAAAATCGGCGGCACCGCTCCCTGAAACCGCAGCCAGAGTTCTGGCTGTGTTCAGACAGTGTCTGGACTTTGCTCCGCCGTTGATGCTGGTTGGGTCTTGGGCGCGCAATCTCGCCATGTCCGTGGCTGTTAGATCAGGCGAGGTATTGGTCTCCGCATCCTTTCTCCTCTGGTGATAGACCTTGACAGGCTTGACGACCGTGTCTGCAGCAGCCCTGGCCAGGTCTGCGCTGACACCAATGGCGGCACCGATCGTTCCCGTAAAAGGATCCCACCGACGTGTCTGAATGACGGTTCGACGGCTTTCGTGCCTGAAGAAGATCAGTACTCCGTGTACTCACAAACCATGGGGGGCGAGGAATTACATTTCGAGCCCTCTTTTTTCAACCTTGAGGTGACTTAGAAGAACTTCGGCCGCGGCCTTTGATAGCTTGAGGTGAGTCCTCTTGCACGAGTATGTCCATGCTGCAGGCTGGCCCTTGATAATGTCACACTCGAGCAAGTCCCGAGGAAGACTTGAGTGGAAGGACTTTACCGCCTGCTGGACGCCCGGCTCGGACCTCATCTGCACCGCAATTCTCTCCGCGGCCGAGGCGGCTTGTTTGGTCAGGCAATACTGTATCGCCTCGACGAGCTGACTCACGTCCAAGGACTTCTGAGCAATGGGCGACGGGCCAGCGCCGGCAGCGGCCACCATGTCGCCCCAGAAAGGCTGGCTGCGGACATGATTAGCTAAAAATCGTGGTTCGAAGGGGGGTTTCGAGGGAGTGGACTAACTCCCCAAAGAAAGGCACAATGGTGGTCGGCCGGCCATGGAGAAGGCCGCATGCTGTCGTGCCTGCACCTCCATGGTGTACAACAGCCCTGACGTGCTGGAAAAGCCACTCATGTGGGCAGTCGTCCAGGAACATGACGTCGGTACTCTCGGCGCCATCTAGCTTGCTCCATCCCCGCGAGATGAGTGCCCTGGTTCCGGTGATAGAGACAGCTTCGAGAATTATCTCAGAAAGAGATGATGGATTGTCGACGACGATGCTGCCAAAGCCAATGTAGATCGGAGGCGGACCTGCAGCGAGGAACTTCTCGAGCTCAGGAGGCGGCGTGTACGAGGGCGGCTCACGGAAGAAGAATCCGCATACATCTAATCCAAAAGTCAGCTGCTTGCTATACAAGTAAGTGCAAGCAGTTATACCTATGTGGTTCCCCCAGTCTCTGGGCTTCGGCACTAGAGCGGGCGACCAGCAGTAGGTGAAGGGAACGTTGAGCGTTTCTGCGAGACGCGGCCCTTCTGAAAAGGCAATATGCTCCAAATCGATGCTCTCTCTCCACTCGTTGATGATGTCACCAAGCCTAGTCGAAACATTAGTCACCTCATGTGGTGAAGCCGCTCATGTTCGAGCAGATAGCGTCAGTCACATACCCCTGCCACGTCAAAACCTCCACAACCGCGTATGAGAGATAGTTTGCCGACATATGCTTGGTGACGGAGCTCTGACCAAGCTCCATGTTGACCAAAGGGTGCGAGAAAGCCTCCGTGCTCGTCCAGGGCATTGTGAACATCATGTGTACCGGGATGCCCAGCGCCTGAGCGCAGTGGATGTGAGCGAAGCTCGGCGGGTTGGCGATAATTGCATCCGCCACAAACGGTACATTCGAGACGGGGTCTGGGCTTATGCAGGACCTCCAGCAGCCGCGAAGGATCTCAGACATCATGGCCCGTTTCTTCTTGATATCGCCAGCCCGGAGGCTTTGCATGCTTGGTATGAGCCCCGGATTCCGTACCATATACGCCATAAGCTCTGTCGGATCCCCTCCGATGGGGAAGAATTCCAGTCCTGCGTCACGGACAAACCGGTCAAAGGTATCGTGCGTCGCTAGTCGCACTCTGTGGCCGTGTTTCTGTAGCTCAACGCCTAAGGCGACAAAGGGTTGGACATCGCCACGGCTTCCGACAACCTGAATGGCAATGTTTAACTTGATGGGAAAGAGGTGCTCGACGTCTTCCGCATGTTGCCTGCATGAGTATGGGGGAGGTGCCGAGGACTGTCTATCTTTTGGGGGTACCGACGGTGGCCCATTGATCGAGAGGAGCGACAGTCTCCTTACAATGTCCGAGTCTAGTTTTATGTTGATGCGGCCGTCCTCTGTTGATAATAGACTGTCAGCTTCCTTCTAGGGTATTCATGAACACAACCAGGTAAAGGGGGTGACTTTGATCCCTACCTCTCACCTTTGGCTCTTCACTCAACAAGTTCCCTTCCAATGCCATGTCATATGACGGTGGCGCCTCTGTCGTCGTTGGTCGATCGAGATCTTGTTCATCCCCCATTTTGTTTCCGTCGCTCGCTTCTGCACTTTGAAGTGAGGGAATTTGACAGTGTAGTTATTGCGCCAGAAAGACATGAAGTGTCTGAGTCAATGACGAGGGAGGCAGGGACATGGAACTGTGACATAGTGGGTGAAATATCAGTTTTCAACATTCCATCATTTCCGAGGCTAATACTTGCGCAACAGTCCATCCCGATTGACTGACTGATTGATCACTGAAGCCCGAGGGGGGCGCAATCCGAATCCGAGAATCCGAGATGCAGAGTCGTGGACTCGCGACTCGCAGACACTGCCACCACTCACGCTACTCGACTCAGCCTCCGTTCTAATTTCTGTCTCCTGAAATGCTAAACACGTCCGCCCCACGCCTCGCATTAACTCGCGCTGGCTCGGATGTTGCGAGCTCACCGGCACTCGACTAGTTGCTGCTGTGTGATTTGTGCACAGTGCCAGAACTCAGGCTGGCCAAGACCTCAGACAGTCTGTGGCACTGTGCCACCACTAAACGGCCGTTGGCTGGTCAGGGCTCACTCGCCCAGATCGCCTAATGTGCCACCTTTCGCGTTTCTCGCGTTCTTGTTTTTTTCTTCCAGCACCAACAAGTTAGCATCTTCTTCCGTCAATCAGATAACAATGTCATGATTTTTATTCTGCATAATTTCCAATCCCTTTGTCCAGCGACTTTAGCTCCAAACTTCACCATAACGGACAGTTATATCCCCCTGAGTCCTCAGGTACACGCATTTACCGCGCTTGTCTACGGATACTTAGATATAATTCTTATATCCACATGAGGAAACGGGTAGGAGCTACGACGCTCGAATCTCGATTCCCCCGCCTCTCCCACTATGAAGTTACCTATCTTTACACATCGACTCCATGCAAATGGCGCAACCTAATTTGCACGTGTGCATAGTTGGCGCGGGCATCGTTGGTCTCGCTAGTAGCATTCTCCTTCTGCGGGATGGCTTCAAGGTCACATTACTAGAGAAGGACGGCAGCCTACAGGTCAGTTTTCACGGTTTCGGCATGATTGAAGAACTCATCTAATAGGCACAGAGGTCGGCTGCAGGCATTCAGCTCCATCCAAATGCCCTCCGAGTTTTGCAAGACCTCGGAGTGTACGACAAAGTCCAGGAAAGATCCGTCCTGATACGCTCCATTGACTTGAGGCAGTATGCGACCGGGGAAACATTACACTCCCAAGACCTTCGGCCGCTGCAGGAAAGGTACGGCGCACCAGTGGTCGCTGTCCACAGAGCCTTTCTGCGCCAGGTCCTGTACGAGGAAGCCGTGGCACGCGGAGCCAACGTGCGCCTAGGTACTGCTGTCAAGATGGAAGCCTCCGATCTCGAACATGGTGTTTTGAAAATCAGTGACTCCGAGTCTATCAGCGCGGCTCTTTTCATCGGAGCTGACGGAGCAAATTCGGCCTTGCGTGAAGCCGTCACTGGCCGCAAACTGAAGCTGATTCCTCATGGTTTTGTCGTATATCGCATCTTGATTGAAGAGTCACTCATCCAGGCACAGCCCAGGCTTCGACATCTCATCGAAGCGCCGATCATCACCGCCTGGCTCGGTCCGAAGTCGCAGGCAATCACATACAGCTTGCACGGGCTGTTCAACATTGCCTTCACGCGACCATGGTCCGAGGAGCCGTTTTACACTCCACAGAAGGGCGACCTAGATAGGTTCAGAGCCGAACTCAAGGCCGAGGGCTGGGCCACGGAGCTCCAAGAGCTGATTGAGCTTGCGACGGAATGCCACCGATGGATGTTCATTGAGCCGGAAATCGACGATGAGAATACGCCGTGGGTGGATAGGAGCGGCAAGTTTTGTATTGCCGGAGATGCCGCACACCAAACGTTACCGTACCTGCAAGTCAACCCTGTTCGACCTTGATAAATTGTGGCTAATAATTCACAGAGCACAGGGGGCAGCCATGGGCCTCGAGTCTGCCTTAACATTGGTCCACGTCCTGAAAAACGCCAGGGGGCACGCTCAGATTGGCGCTGCTTTGGGAGTCTACGAGACCCTCCGCAAGGAGCGCTCTGCGCGAATTATCAGAGCTAGCCTGAAGAATGGGCGGCTCTGGCAACTGCCCAACGGTCCCTTGCAGCAAGAGCGCGATCGTGAGCTGCTTAATGATACACCCAGCGCCGGGTTTCCAAATTTGTTGGCAGATCCATTCTTTCAGGAGTGGCTGTGGGGATTTGACGCGACAAAGGCGGTGGATGAAGCTTCTAAGGTGTGATGGCAAGTTGAGAGAGATACGAGAATCCAAGTCTTTGCGGCAATGTTCATCAACGGAGCGAAGCGGGCATTCCAACGATTGTATTAAAAGCAGCACACTTGCGTGAGCCACGGACTACCTCATGTCTCCTGAGAGGGACTCGACAGATCTGGACGGCTTCAAGAGAGTGGGAACCACTCGTTGAACTTGCCCTTGGGATCGTACTGCTTCTTCAGACGCTGCAGCTTGGCGAGGCTGCTGCCGTAAATGTTGCTCAGAGGCTCATCGCCATGCGCGAAGTTGACGTACCTGCATGTGTTAGTAAGTCTTCGGTGCTGCAATTTGGGCTACTCACGAGCTGTCGCTAGTCCCGGAGGAGTTGTACCACAAGTGCCGGAGCCGCTTGGCAAAGTCATTTGCTTGAACATCGAGCGATGGACTCGTGTACCAAGGGATCACAATGGCGTAGCACTTGATGTCACGCCATGGGTAGGCCGACTTTGCACCCCCAATCTCCAGATTCTTGTCAGTGGAATAGCACTCCGTCAGAATTGTTGTCTGGTTCGCTTCAGGGTATGTCTGATAGAACGAGAGGTAATCGTTCCAGGCGTTGCGCCAGGCTATCGGGTCCAGAGTCTGCACGTTGGCGGTGTAGGCAGGTTTGCGACCGCCCCTGGCGCAGAACATGTCGCCGGCGGCATTCCAGGTGTTGAACGGGATGACGGCAGTGTCGTCCGCCAACGGTCCAATGTCCAAGATGGAGGCAAACTTCTTGCGGCCCTGCTCTTCCGAGCCAAGGTAGAAGGGCAAGACAGCCAGTTGACCCTGGGTAAAGTAAAAGTCCAACTGCATCTCGGGCTCAAAATCGAGCTTGTCGATGGCGGAGATGACCTGTTCAAGCTTGCTCGAGTCGTAGTGCAGAAGGCCTGTCCAGGCAGTGTTCTCAGCCTGCGGCATCGGGTAGCTCTTATAGACAACCGACGTGACGATGCCAAAGTTGGGGCCGGCACCGTTCAGTGCCCACCAGAGGTCCGGGTTGCTCGTGGGCGTGACGGTGACCTTTTTTCCATCGGCGTTGACAAGATTCACCTTGAGAAGCTGATCAGATCCCAAGCCGTACATGCCTGTTCCGCGACCAACACCACCTCCCAAGCCTGCGCCAATGACACTGACACAGTTGCAGGTGCCGGTTGCGACGCGAGCATTGTTGTTGTAGGCTGCACCGACGAGGTCCTCGATGAGAACGCCGGATTGGAAGGTAACTTGCGTCTTGTCCTTGTTGAAGCTGATGGACTTGAGCTGGGAGACATCAATGATGATGCCGTTACGGCCCAGGGTGAACGTGTCGGCCCATCCAGTCGCGCCGCTCTGTACAAGATACTCGACCTTGAACGCGTTGGCAACCTGCACGATTTTGGCGACGTCGTCTTCCTTTCCAACAGTGATGATGGCTCCGGGCTGAGGCTCTTCATATTCGCTCCATCGCTCAGGCGCGACACCGCACTTGACAAATGAGCTGCTCGAGACGGCCGCGTCAAACTTGTCACAGAGCGCAGGAAAGGCAACGCTGCCCGCCAGGCTCACGCTCGCAAGGGCGGCCGAAGCAATTATGCGAGGGAACAACATGCCAGGCGAGCCCGAACCTTGTTGGACAAGAGAGAGAGAGAGGGATCTGGCTGGCGTCTAAACCCCAAACTTGCCACGCGAGCAAGGTAGTATCAGGCAGAAAGGGGAGAGGGATAAAGGATCATCGACTGCCTTTTCCGGATTGGAAAGGCACATCTAAATACTGCTTGGGAGGAGTGGCACTGGACTGCGGCGTTGCCCGGACGCTCGTTATTTAGCAAGTCCCATTAATCACCCATTTTATGAACAAGGGTAACGAACGTTCCCAAAGCCAGTTTTCGATCGTGTACTAATGCGATTTGGGTTACCGTGTACGTACCAGGGGTGCCATGACTGCACGGAGGCTGGAGAAGATGAGATTGAGCTGAACTCCAGACTCACGTTGGCTCACCCAGGAAGTCGATCCTTCAGCAATCATGGACCAATGATCGAAAGACAGCCCTCACGTGGAACCGATCGCATGCTTGCCCATCTGGCGAGCCACGCGAGAAGATGAGATCACAAGTGACAGATGCACAAGATTATTGCCAAACTGGTCCGCGAACGGTGAATCTGCAGCCCTTTGTCACGTTGGCTCTCATTTGCGAGTCTTGTTTCTGCCCCGCGACATTGTCGAAGTTCGGACCCTGACCGTTAATGTTTGCGAATTTCCCTCTGCTGCATTTGAAATTTCTGGCTGCTGAGGTATTACTCCAACAACAAGTCTCCAACCGCAGTCGACTGGACATCTATTCCATTCTCGACCTAAGAATGTGCCTCGGGGTTGGGAAAGTTGCAATTACCGCGGCGCAATTTGGGTCTTGCATGCAGACTCTTGCTTCTTGCAGCCTGCACTGCAGCGCTCGTAAATGGTGATGTGGCCGGGGTTCCATTCTCCAGACCTTCTCTTCTGGTCAATCCTCGAGCCAATGAAGAGAGTGTTTCGCTGCTGCAGCACGGAGCACTTGTTTATCGCGCGGCCGCGCCGTGCCGTCAGGGTTCCATTGTGGTCGAAGGAAGTGAAGGATTCTGCAGACTCGACAGATAGCGTCATAGGCACCGATCCTCCGCACCGCGTCGGGAGTCTCTGCCAAGCCTCTCGTACATTTGCATGTGTGAAATGGACAAGTAGGACCGAGTGTGGGATAAATGATGCCGAACACCTATCGCAGACGGCAGGTGATGCCATCAAAGGCTCGCCACACGTGTAGTGCCGCACCGCGTTGAAGACTGGATGTTGCGATCGCTGCAGATAGCTAAAGGTTGGGGGCAGCCGCTCTTGGAGGGGCATCTTGTTTCAGTGATCTTGATCCTGGTGATGCACAAAATTGTCAAGTGAGCTGTCGCAACCATGGGAAATCCCTACTTTGACCCCGAGTACCAGCCGTACACGCCTTCGGTGCTGATTGGGACGTCTGTCCTGTTCATGATACTTCCCATTGCCGCTGTGGCCTTGAGGTTCTACTCAAGGAGTCTGGTGCAGGCCAACTTGGCAATCGATGACTGGATTACCATTCCGTCTGCCATTATTTGCATAGGGCTGGCCGTGAACCAAATCATTGGTGAGTTGAGGCCCGCCCCCAGAAAGCACTGACTCGTGAACCGCGGACGCTAATCGTGTCACAATAGCCGCGGTTTATGGCGGACTCGGCGGCCACCAGGAGCTTGTCGACGGCCAACTCGCCCACACCGAGCAACTCTACGCTTACGAGAAGACCAAGTACACGTACCACGTCCTCGGGACGCTGGGTCTCTGGGTCATCAAACTGTCGGTCCTTCTCTTCTACCGCCGCATCTTTCAAGTTCGCATCTTTCGCATCGTCAACGATGTCTTCATTGGCCTCACGGTCGCTTGGGGTCTGGCATTCACATTTGCCGTCGCGTTCCAATGCTGGCCCGCGCATATGTTCTGGGAGGCCTTTGAATCCGAGTACCCTCTATACTGCGTCAACGTCAAGTCGTTCTACCTCGCTGTGGCCGTGTCCGACCTGATCCTGGACATTATGATCTTTGTCCTGCCTATGCCGCATCTGGCGACGCTGAAGATGCCGTGGCGGAGAAAGTTGGCTGTTGGTGGCATTTTCTTCCTTGGTTCCATGTGAGTTTCCCGTGTCTCGAGCATGAAGCATCCCTGCTTACGACATGTAGCGTTGTCGCGATTGGCATTGTGCGCCTTATCATTTTCCAGTGGGTCATCGAGCTCATGGATACCGACCCCATGATCTTCGTCATGGACGCGACTTGGTACTCGGCCGGTGTGCTCTTCTGGCATCTGGCAGAGAATGTCATCGGTCTAATTGGTTGCTGCCTGCCAACCTACAGGCCTTTCTTCAAGCGATTCTTGCCCAAGCTCCGTCTGGGTTCGTCCAACAGATCAACCGCTGCCTCCAAATTCAACTCGACGAAGAGCAAGAACTCTGAGTACCAGCGCCAGCACGACGATGACTGGCCGCTCAGCCGCGCTACTGCAGCAACGGGGGGTTCTTCGAGCTCCAGCACGGGTGACGAGGAGCATGCACTTGGGAACCTGCCGAGAGACGGAATTCTTGTGTCAAAGGAGTTTGGGACTGATTCTACAATCGTCCATGATGGGCAACCACGGGCGCTTTGACATGCACGTACTTTACTATAGACTGCTTAGCGGCGTTATTTGCTTTGTAAATATGTCATTCTGGCACCACGACGAGTCTGTGTTGTAGCACTGAAGTCTAGCAGTGAATTGCTAATTTCCCTGATGCCGACACAAGGTATCATTGTTTGAAGGTGGCCTGAGCTCCGTTTTGTGATTCACAAACACTCAATATATAATTAATTATCCTCCGCGCCGTCACTTAGTGCTATAAAGGCTATTTCGAATCATTAATCTTCTCCCCTCCCTCTGACCCATCCAGCCTGCTGTGATACTCTGCAAACAATGCCGCAACTGTCGTTCCACTCACTAGCAAGCCGCCCCAAGAGAACCACCACGCACATATATCCGGTCTCGTTCGTTTGACAGTCATGACCATTGTCGCCTGGTTGTTGCTCAGTTATCGTGTCATACGATCAGACTGGGAGTAACTCACTAGCCAAAGAGCATTACCGCCAACTGCTCCGATCATATAAACAGGCGAAAACCCAGCTAGAATACCCGTGGCAGCCAGGCATCCAACTTGTGCTGCGCCAAGCGTGGATATAAAGAGACTGGTGTTCTGATAGCGGACGGCCATACTCCTCACACCAGCCTTGATGTCGTCGGCGGTGTCCTGGCATGCATTCACGTAGTCGAAGATAGTCGTCCAGATATAATGCGACATGAACAGAAAGCCGGTGGCAGACGTCGTGAACGGATCCATCCCTAGAGAGGCAGCAGCCATGAGAACACCCCCAGCAATGGGTGCGCTAAGAACAAGCTGTGGGAAGCTGGAACGGCCATCGTCGTTAGTTCGTACGATCAAGTCTCGGAGCCATGGTCCTTACTCTGTATGACGCTTGGCAAGGGGGTACAAGCTAACGCTCAGCTGGATCGGCACTATAGTCGTGTCAGTCTATTCGCCCCGTTTTCTTTAACAATAATCAATGACAAACCTGCGTAGGCAAGGGCAAGCATCGGGCTCGGCAAGCAAGCAATAGCAGCCCCTGCGCCCACGGTTTGCGCAGCGTACCACATGTAACCTTGACTAGGTGTGACGGCTCGACGAGCGACCGGGCGATTCCTGCATCTGGCTACCTGACGATCGTAGTCGCGATCCAAAATATCATTCACCGTGCAGGCGGCACCACGCAAAAATACGTTATACACAAGTAGGACTCCCGCAATTTGTGCTAAGTGTCCCGGTGCCACAGCAGGCGTCACCAGACAAGAGCCGTAGCCGAGGCCGATGAGGTACGCCATGTAGAAGCCATACAGACCGCCAGGCTTCTCAATGCGAGAGAGCTCAGCATATGGAACCCATGAGGGCGGTAGCTTGGAAAGGATGCCTTTGGTCGGGATAGTGTATGGAGGATAGGGTAGGCTAGAGTCAACAGCCGAACTCGGGGGCCGACTTGGCGGCCGCGCTTCGTCACTACCGAATCGGAGAGGCTGCCTACCCGTGACAAGTGACAGCGGTAACCCGGTGCCGAGTCGGGCGGGCGACCTCGTGAGCAGTTTGCTGGCCAGAATTGATGATCTGCCCACCTGGTGTGTTGTGCGCAGCGGGACGAACATGTTGGCGACGCTGCAGTACCTGCACTCGGCCGAAGAAAGCAACCAGGACGTCACATCAGTGCACTGTGGCACCCACGCAACCTTATATGCGCTTATGCGCAGAGAGTCCTGGCGCCGTCCGGCCACGGACGACGATCAGATAAGTTGGCTCACCGACCAGGGCGGGCCTGTTTGCCTGGTCTGAGATAATTAGGTAAAATCTAACTACGGAATGCACACCCCGGCGAGACGGAGACGACCGGATGTGGCGCACCGAATGCCGACACCTGCTGCGCTTTGATTGCTGTGCAAGTTGCCCAATTAGGCAACTGGGTGCCGTGATGTCATCGCCGATCGTGGCCGCCAGGTGCGACTCTGACTCTGGCCGCTCTGACTCTGGTCAATCCACACGACATGAGTGTCAAAGTAAGCGCAAACCCACAGTGCGCACCTTGATTAATCACAAGATGCAGTGATCACCTCTTGGATGCACATCTGTACAATTACAGCGAAGGTCGTCCAGTTGAAGCCTGGGACACTGGGACCATTCACGTTCCAATGTCGTCATCATCGCTGGTGCGAGCCAACAGTCTGGTCTGTCCAGGGCACGGGAGTGGATGAGAGCAGGCATTACGATCCCTCGAGGACGTGCATGTGCTGTGTGCCACGACTGGAAATAACTTGCCAGCCTTGCGAGGTGAGGGGAAACTTGTCAATCTGTCAAAACCCCTCGCTGGTTCGTCAAGGTTCTCCGCACCGAACAATGGCAGTGCTGTGCCACACTGACGCAACTGAGGCCGTTCTGAATGGCTTATTCACGTCCGGCTCGTCATCAATGGGGACCATGGGATGCGTTGGCGCGCGCAGCAGACAAGCGCGAGCATTGAAAAAAAGGCTTGAGACGTTGGAGCCTGAAGCTTCGAAATGCCATTTCACCACTCCACAGTCCACGAGCTGCTCATACCTTATAACAAGCGCAATTGTCTGAAAGAACTACCCCTATCGCAAGATGGATTCGGCACAGAAAGCAACCCTGTCCTTCCTCAGCACTAGCCTTCCCAGCTGCAAAGTACACACTCCCGACTCTCCAGACTACGAAGACCTACGAAAGACATACGTCAACTCGAGCGCCCGCCCCTTTGCCATCGCGCGACCTCAAAAGGCCGAGGACGTCCAGTTACTAGTTCGGGCTTGCCGCGAAAATGGTGTCGACTTCAGTATTCGAACCGGCGGACACAATTGCGTGGGCCGGGCGCTGGTCGACAACGCCTTGACGATCGACATGCGCGAGATTGACTACGTCAAGGTCAGCGAGGATAAGAAAACGGCCAGGGTAGGTGGCGGTGTGCTTCTGGGTGGATTGCTGAAGGCTCTGGGGGAACATGGCCTGGTCACACCATCGTTTGTCTTCCCAGCTTTGCTCATTGACTCTGAAACCATGCTGACTGTTCTGCAGAGGTTCAGTGGCCTCCGTCGGCTATGTCGGATGGAGCACACTTGGTGGTTACGGTCCTCTCTCGAGCCTTCACGGCCTTGGTGTTGATCAGATTGTGGGCGCCAAGATTGTGGACAACAAAGGCGATATTGTCGATGCCGAGGCAGACCTGCTCAAGGGTATACGGGGAGCCGGTCCAATCTTCGGCCCCATCGTTGAACTCACGATCAAGGTGTACCCGCTGGATAAGGTATGGAAATGCGCTGTTGGTATATCTGATCCGAAAGGCTGACATTCCCAAAGCTACTGGTTGGGACACTAGTCTTTGATTCCACGGACATGCAAGCCATTTGGCGAAAGCTGACACAGGGGCTTCAAAATATCACATTGCCTGATCCGCTGCAAGTTCAGATTTTCGCCATGGACTTCCCCGGCGCCGGTAAGGTCTTGGCTGCTATCACGACCTGGGCCTCGGACGATCACGACGAGGGTCGTAAATGGATCGACAAAGTGGCCAGTCTGGGCACGTGTATCATGACCACGACGGACGCAAAGACGCCTGCGACATACGCAGAGGATAACGAGAAGCTGGCGCCCTACGGCGTGTACGGCCGTTCTTTCACCCTCAACGTCAGGGAGTTCACGGAAGAAACCGCCAAGGTATTGGCCGAGTACAGCCAGCAAGTCCCTAGCGGGAATTGCATGATTTCCGTTCACAGCCTCCGCCTGCCCAAAGAGAACGGGGACTCTGTGTTTGGGGCACGAGAGGTCCATCACATGGTTGAAATGGTGTCCATGGGTGTCGACCCGGCGCTGGAAGCACAGGCGACCACATGGGGCCAGGCGCTCCAGAAGGCACTGTGTGAGCGTGATTCGGGCAACATCCTCGATAGCGCATATATCTCGCTTCTCGACTATGACGATGCCGACGTCGCAAAGATTTACAACAAGCACCTGGACACCCTGGTCGGCTTGAAGAAGAAATATGACCCGGAGAATGTGTTTCACCACGCAGCACCGAGATTGCCAGTCCAGTAGGAGGGCTACCGGTATCTGTTAGTCCAATGCTTGGAGGTGAGCGGCTACCTGAAGGAGCTACAAGGGTCGGAGACTTTCCCCGAAATGCAAATGAATATCTATATGAACTTACTGTGAGTACCTTTGCTTATATGTAAGCTGTGTTCGGTGACTCTGGCACGCAGGCCTCAGGGTATATAGGAGCCTGCTCACTTCTACTAAAAAATCTAGGCTATATAGATTCACAGTTTAATGCTTCCCTATAAGACTGTCCGGATGTTATTAAGAGCGAGTAGTGTTATAGCAATTCAGTGGCGCCGATCTATTTCCCCGTGTATTATCTTGCTTAACACAGGGGCCTTGCTCCGTGAGCCTTTCTAATAAGGCTTATTTTTTAGGTCTTAGGCGACTATAACCGAATATAAGGAGCCAGGGAGTACACCGAAGAAGTCTATAGACAAGGCATTGTCTCTTACTAAAAGAAAAAGTATTAATGTGTCTCTAGGGTCTTTTGTTTATAGAAAACATTTAGAAGATTAAATAACGAATAGTTCCTCTCGAATTAGATTCCTTTACAGAGCCTTAACTCTTAACGTACATAATTCTTTTCAATAAGACGCATCTCCTTATCTCCCTGTAGCGCAAAAATCTGTTCAACTGAAGGAATTGTCGCCTCAACAGAATGCAACCCCCTTTTGTGACGAATAGAAGCAAACACGGACCTCATCCCACCAACTGCTGCTCGTATTCCATGATTCCCACAGATAACCAGTCCAACTTTCGAGAGCGCTGCAACCTCGTCGAACCCAAGGGAAGGGTAGTTGGTGGGCACTATCACAAGTGGCACTCTGCCATCCCACGCCTTGCAGAAAGAGACAATCTCTTCCGGCGTCTTCTGCTTGCTGTGTACCAGAATAGCATCGGCACCCGCGTCTGCATACGCCTCAGCCCTGCGCAAGGCCTCTTGCTGCCCCAAGCCAGCAATAAGAGCCTCGGTCCTGGCGATGATAACAAGTGAACTTGTGCTCTTGGCCGCCGATATCTTTCCCTGGAACTCCTGTATGGGTACCAGACTGTGTCTTCCGTTGGCCCTGAGGCTAGTGTCTTTCGGGAAGACTTTGTCTTCTAATACGACGGCTGTGGCACCGGCCAATTCGAACTGCGGAACTGAGTAGGCAACATTGACAGCGTTTCCAAAGCCTGTATCAATGTCTACAATGAGGGGCAGGTTGGTCGCGGCGCTCATGGTGCGAGTGACCTCCAAGTTGACACTCATTGGCAGAATGCTGGCGTCAGGAACTGCGTTTGCAGCGGAAATCTCGAAGCCGCTCACCCAAACAGCGGCAAAGCCTGCTTCTTCAACTAGTTTCGCGGAGAGAGCATTGTGGGACGACATGGCTATCGCCGGCTCGCACGGATTGAGGAGGCCCCGAAGCCTGTCGGCCCTGTTTTGTGTTGAGTTCGATGACATTTGAACTTGAGATGTGGCCGAGAAGACGTAATGAATTTGGGAAATATCTGAGCGCGATGCACTGTTTATCAGGGTGATTATGCTGATTGTCTATATATTACTACGGGGACTACAAAGAATCAATGTCGGAAGCGACTACCAAATTTCGGATATGGAATCCCGAAAATTAACACCGATACCACGCAAGGCACGCAGCCGGCCAGACTTCATTGAAACATCGGACCAGGAGATAGTGACTGGAGCATACGTGAAACTCCACTATCCTGCCCCCTGGTCAATCCCTTGCTCGGAAGTGAACGTCCGAGCTCGGGATCATATAAACTATCCTTCACGGCATGATTTAAGGAGGATAAACAACTCTGGCATTGCAAACCTCCACATCTTGACTATTTTCTTTGGGTTCTGAACATCTAAAATAATCTTGAGAAAGCCTTCTCTTCATCGATGCTATACCCTGAACGCCGAGACATGTTATTTCGAGAGAGCCTCGTCCCGTTTGCGCCTGCAGACCTACACTATGGCTTGAGGTCGGAGTTCATGGCCGACAAGTGCCTTGAAAAAGTGAATCTGGTCATTGGAGCTTATAGAGACGACCGAGGCCAGCCATGGGTCCTTCCCACTGTGGCACAGGTAGCAATCGATAGCCCCATCCGTGACCCGATAGCTAATACCTCAGCCATAGGCAATCCAGCTCTACCACGATGACGCCCTCCAGAACCAAGAATATTTGCCAATTGCAGGGGAGCAAAGCTTCTGCAAAGCCGCGGCGCACCTGCTTTTGGGCTGTGAAGACTCCGATATGCAGAATAGGGTGCGCAAAGAGCCTCACATTAAAGCCATCCTGCCTTACATCGCTGACGGGACTAGAAATTCTCATTCCAAACGATATCAGGCACTGGCGCGGTCCATCTAGGTGCCGTGTTCTTGTCTAAGTTTCTCGCCGTCCCGAAACCCCTCGTGTATCTCTCAGATCCCACTTGGGATAATCACGTTCCGGTGTTCACTCATGCTGGGCTCTCCGTCAAGCATTACCAATACTACTCGACTGAAACGAGGCTGTTGAACTTTGAAGGCATGATCCAGGACCTGCAGGATGCCCCACGAGGCAGTATCATTGTCCTGCAAGCAAGCGCACACAACCCTACAGGCGTTGACCCATCACAGTCTCAGTGGGAGCAGATAGCCGAGACTATGAAATCGTCGGGCCACTTTGCATTCTTCGACTGCGCCTATCAAGGATTCGCAACGGGCGATCTGATGCAAGATAGCTTTGCTGTCCGACATTTCTTCCAGCAGGGCATCGAGATGTTCATCGCGCAATCCTTTTCGAAGAATCTCGGGCTTTATGGACAACGGACAGGATGTTTGCACTATGTGGCAAATCCTGGATCGGAAGCTTCGTCGACTGTCCAGCGGGTAGCTTCTCAGCTGTCATCGCTCCAGCGCTCGGAGATATCCACGCCGCCACTTTACGGAGCCAAGATTGCTTCTCTTGTGTTGAATGACAAGACACTATCAAAAGACTGGCTGGGAGATTTGGCGACCATGTCCGAGCGTATTGCGAAAATGAGGGCTGAGTTACAAGGTCGCCTAGAGGAACTAGGGACACCGGGAAATTGGCGCCACATCACTACTCAGATTGGAATGTTCGCTTACACTGGTTTGAACGAGTCTGAGGTTGAGCTTTTGCGAACCAAGTGGCACGTCTATATGCTCCCGAGCGGGAGAATGAGTGTCGCAGGACTGAACAGCCGGAATGTTAGTTATGTGGCCGACGCAATTCACGATGTCGTGGGCAAGGTAAAAGTTCGGAAATAAAATAGTCTAATAAGACATGACGCAACTGAGGCAATTGTTCTTGGTGAATGGAAATCCTGATAATAAGGACTAACTGATGGAGGAAAATTGTGAGAGAAACAAGAACATAAACCTGAACGGCTGGCATTGCTTGGCACCTCCGATCTTCGGCACTGCGATCCCGATTCCCGACCCGATTTCGCCCCAACCTGCATCACCTAGAAGTTCCATCACACTGTTTTGCTCTATTGTAGATGCAGAAGATGTCGCCCACTAGCCTACCAGCGACCCGTGCACGGAAAAGAATCCCGGTGGCGTGAGTATAATGTCACAGAGCACACGAAGTGCCGGCATGGGACACTGAGTCACTGACAAACCTTGGGACAAGCTGCCGGCTATGCAAGCAACGGAAGGTCAAATGTAGCGGCTCCCATCCTTGTTCGAATTGTACCGGACGAGGGCGCGATTGTATATTTGACGAGGCGGAGAAGAAGGTGACTATCTTAGAGAGGTTCGCTAGTGAAGCCCCCGCTTCCTTCCAGACAGCTAATGGTCATTAGGAATCTCCGAGCCTTACAAGACAGGGCTACACAGAATGCCCCCTCGGCGGAAGGTGACAGCGGCGTGCAAGCAGAGCCGAGTGTTGAGACGTGTTCACAAAACACGACTGACGGACGCCCGCCTTCTACTCTAACGGGACATGGCAATGCGGGTTCAGCTCGACGGCCCAGTCCTGCCCAGACTGGAGCCAAATGTACGTTCCAGCTCACGGATGAGGGGTTTACTAAAATTTCATGCAAGGCAGTCATCCCTCAGCTCTATGGCCCATTTTCGAGGCAGCGGCCTCTGCTCTTGGCGTTGTGGGAATGTCGCATTCGCAACCGCCTCCGGTGTTAGCCAGAGATAACGCTCACAAGACAGTTTCCGGGAAGGGCCTCGAAGGTTTCACGCCATATATCTTCCCGCAAAAGGAACTCATGGCTTATCTGATTCAGGGGGTGGACTTTCACCTCAATCATTTCCTCTGCGTCTTCGATCCAAAGACGGCTTTGACCCAGCTTGAATCACTACCTCTAGAGCCTGTAGACAAGAAGCTCACAAGAATACAGGCTAAGCTTGCCATACTTGTAGGCTTGGGTAAATTCTTTCGCGAAAAAGGCGGACTACCGGGAGAAGTGCCTGGGATGAGCGAATTCATGGTGGCCCGAGATATTCCCTCAGATTCAGAGCTGCTTCAAGATCCAGTGGACGCGGCAGAGACTCTATGCCTCCTATCCTGCTACGCCGACGCGACCGGGTTTCATGAACTCGCCTACATCTATGTAAGATAGGCCGCCGCGGGTGCGCTATGCTGCCACAGCTAATAACGTCCTAGATTGGGCATGCAACAAGGCTCCTGCATGTCTCGCAGTTTGGTCACGGCGCAACCCAAATCATGGGGGAAACTCCTGAGAGACAGTATTGGATCTCTCGCCTCTCTATAAGTGTCGCAATATTGAATGTGTGGGTCTGTGGGACGCTGAGAATCCCACCCGACTTCAGCCCCCGGCATCACTCCTCGATAAGCTCGCCTTTCAATGGGGACGAACAGAGACCGAGTAACAGAGCGCTACAAATTGGATTGGGGTTAACAGTGATAATGAACGAGGCCCTCGAACGCTGTCGCTGCTACCTGGAAAGTGATCCGACAGGAGGACCTGGTGAAAGAGGGCGCGAATGGGAGCCAATACTACCGGACTCGACCACTATCATGACCACACTACGAACCATTGCGCAGCACGGACAGGAAATCATGAATCTCACAGCAAGCCCCATGAATACGGGTATAACAGAAAGATGCGGCATTGAATTGCATCTGTGGTATTGCCATGTAAGCCAAGTCTCTTTATTCCACGGGTCGGTAATTCTAATTTGTGATTATCCAGTCGGTTGTCCTTGTCACCTTGCCAAGTATTATTCACATGGCAAGACGCAGCAATGGACTCCACCGGGTGATCCCATCTGAATATACAAACCCTGTCGTGTGGAGGGCTTGTGCAAAATACGCATTCCTAGGGCTTAAATTAATCATTGAACTACATAAGCACGGATTCTCAGGTGGCCATGAACTCCCTCCCTTCCCTCAATATTTCACTAACGCTCGCAGATACGTACTCGGGCATCAAACTTGAGATCCTAGCAGCAGCAATGCTAGCCCTAGTCCTTGTGAGCTTTCCTGAAGCAGAGGAGGACATACCCATGTGGGAAAGGGTCCAAGCGATTCTGGAAGATGTCGCGGACCGCGGGAGCTTAGATGCACGCTCTGTCTTAACAGGAGTGCGGACCATTGCCCGGAATGCGATACGAAACAGGTCCTCACGAAGGCAGCAAGCTTGGATACCGCAGGTAGACTTCGCGGCGTGGGACAGTTTCGACGGATTCTTGCGACAACCACATCTACTCCATATATTCGACATGAGCCAGGATTCTGGAATTGTCCGTTTCGCAGGGGAAGATTACGCTGCGTCCCCCTCGGGCACTGGCCGTTTGCTGAACGACACACCGCTGTCACAGATCGATGCACCCTATCTAGATGCCTTGGCCTCTGCGGGCGACTTCACCTTTTCCACCGAAGACCTCCAGTGGCTAGACGCTGTTCAATAATAAAGTCTGTTTTTGCCTTGATAAGGAAGTGGTCTTGAATACGTGTACTCGCTGTGACGCGCTGGGCTGCGACCGCCGGCAGCGGAAGGCGGGATGCGGAATGCGATCCCGATTCCGGATCTCGAGTCATGTGCCTGACTCCAATCCGTCGGATACGGAATACCGAAGTTGTCTCGTATTTTACCTGGTCCCCTCTTCTCTTCCACTAGAAAACTTCATTCAAACAACCAAAATGGTCCAAAACAATCTCCAAAGAAATGTGGCACGACGAGAGATTTGCACTGTGAGCCACAATTCATCGCGACATATTTGGTGTCCGACAGCTAATGCCATTGTAGTCGGTTGCAATTAAGTCGTTGCCGAATCCCGAAGTCATCTTACTAGCTCGCCAGGCAGGGTACGACAGCGTGTTCATTGACCTCGAACACTCCACGCTTTCAATCAGCGACGCCAGCACATTGTGCACTACAGCACTGCAAGCCGAAATCTCCCCATTCGTTCGAGTCCCGCGAAGTTGTGGGAGCGGTTTTGTCCAACGAGTTCTTGATGGAGGTGCGGTAGGCATCGTTTATCCCCATATCAACACAAAAGGTGCAGCGCAGCCCCAGACTTATTCGGCCGGTATCTGTAGTTCAAGATTTTAACGGAATTCACAGATGAAGCCAGAGCAGCGGTAGCGATGACCAAATTCCCTCCGCTTGGGACGCGGTCTCTTACGGCGGCTCTCCCTCACTTTCTTTACAAGCAAGTGGAAGCAAAAGAGGTGGTCACACAGCTGAACGAAACCGGATCAATGGTCTTTGCCATGATTGAAACATCAGAAGCTGTAAGCAACGCATATGATATCGCCACGGTCCACGGCGTAGACGTGCTACTGCTCGGGGCGAATGATCTGTCACTCGAAATGGGTATACTAGGCGAGTGGGAACATCCCACATTCCAGGTCGCCTTGCGTCAGGTCTCGCATGCTTGTGAAGCGAATGGTAAGATCTTTGGGATCTCCGGTATATATTCTAAGCCGGATATTGTCCGGTGGGTAATTCATGAGTTAGGAGCGAAGTATATTCTCGGACATTCGGACTTAGGTCTCTTGCTAATAGCTATGCGGAAGAACGTAGAGACATTACGAATATTGTAATTAGATTAAATTATAATAATAATATTAGTTTTAATATAAAGGCTAGTAAGAAAGAATAAAAAGAGAGCACAAAGTTAAAAAAATATAATAATATAATAAGTTATTTTATTTATAATTAAGTCTATAGCTATAAATATAGAAAAGATAAAGTATATATAAAATATACATTAGGTTATATCTTAATTATAATACCTTTGATTTATAATTTCTTTAAAATTTATAGTATTTTCTTAAATTTTCTTTTATTATAAAACTCGCGATAGTTACTTGAGTTAAAGACTTATAATTATAATATAAATCTTTCTAATTATATTTAATACTAAGGGTTACTTATTCTAACCGTAACTTATATATCCTTTTTCTTAATATTAAATAGAAATCGGAATCTTTAATAAAGACTCTTTCGTCCGTGCTTTACTATACACGAATTAGAGACTTATAATTTAATAAGAGTTAATCTACTCGACTAAATGACTACACACCTTGTTATAAAGTAAATACACTAGCGTATTAGACAACGTAAACATACGGATCCAACGTGTCCACGAAGCGCAACAGCGGCTTTGAATCCAGCGACCCAATCCACATGGCCGCCCGATTCATCACCCACAGCGCAATAACCAAAATGTCCCTGTCCATAATCGTCAGACACATTATCTTGGCCTCCGGCCCTGGGACTCTCAGCAACTCATCCCCGAGCGACCAGGACAATTCCCGCTCCTTTCCCCCGTTGCCGTCGCCTCTGCGCCACGTGAGCCACTTGGATGAAAACTCGTACTCGAGGCTAGTCTCTGCGACCACTTTTGCTTCCTCAATCTTGTCACGCAGCTCGCGTAAGATCTGGGTATGTTGCAATAAGATCTCTTGCTCCCACTCGGGGACGCGGCCCTCGACCACGAAACACTGCACCTTCAGGACTGTCAGCTTCATCACTCAAGTCTTTTGAGTCTAAGAGAGGGTATAGGACAGGCACTACCTCAAGTTCTAGGTCTTCATCAAACTGCGTGCCCAGCTCGTATCGTACACCGAAATCGGCCAGGGTTTCCTCTTCCAGTTGTTGTATATCTATAGTCGTGCGGTTGAATTCCTCCTCCACTAGAAACGTTGGGACCGAGACCGAGAAGTAAGGGGCATGTGACTCGTTCTGAGATTGCGAAGAAGACTCCCGGCTTGGATTGTCCCCAGCTAAGCTCGCTTCGCTTTTGATCCCCAAGGTTTCTGCCCTCTTTGTGGCATGTCTCTCCTTCAGCAAGTTGAGTTTTTCTGTCAGCCCACGTGTATTGTCCTGGTTCTCCCTTCGTACCTCGTCGAAACTCATACTTTCCTGTATTTGCAGCCGTCGAATGGCACGGTCCACCCATGTCTGGAAGGCGTCGTCCAGGATAAACAATGCCCCCAGACTTAGCTTTAGCGGAAGCGCAGTCGATTCCCCCAGGTAATTAGAGAGATAATTGTCAAGGGCGATCCTCTCACGCAGGTGTTTCGCGTTAAACTTGAGATCCGAAGGATCTACATCTGGCCTGAAACTCCCTAGCGGTATCTGCCCCATACCCAACGACTCCCAAAATGTCTTCGACAAAAACGTCTCGCTATGGTGCATAATCACCGTAGTCCTAGACAGTAGCATGCTGAAAAACCTGTGCCTCCTCACCACGAAACCCCACGGATCCCACTCGAGACTAAGGAACAGTCCGATAGGCTTCTCGAGCGCGTTCCGTGGAAATATCCATATTGACCGCTTGCCGGCCTCCTGGAACGAGATAGTCGCCTGGTGTACGTTCATAATCCGCTTCCGTCTTGGCCCACGGTGAGTGGTCAGGCGGATACTGGTGATCAGCACTCGCATCATGGCGCTGTTGTGGTCGTATGGCAGGAGGCGCAAGACTTTAGGCTCCCTTGGTTCCGTGAGACCCAGCGACCGTAGGGCGTTGCCAGTAGAGCGGGGCATGTCGTCGCTCTCTTGTAGGTCAAAAACGGAAATGCTCACGTCGAGGTTATCCGCGGAAAAGTTGCCATGGACTACTGCATCCTCCTCTTCATCACCGGGATCTTCGAGGGATATGACCACGCGCTGGCCATCGGCTTCCATTCCACAGGGCAAAAAACCCTGCGCCAGCCAAAACAGTGTCTCGAGCGAGACTACATCGCGCTTCGCAGGGCGGCCCTTAGCTGGAAACATATCCTTGTTAGTGTGTGGGGTAAACGAGACCAAGTTCAGGTAGTTCCATGATCCTTTCTGCCTTCCAGAGTTTCGTATCCTGCCCGTAATCCCAAAGATGGTGGGCGGACGGCGATATAGTGAAGAGCCAGAATCGGAGTCGCTTCGAGGAGTCAGGTTTCCGAGGGTTGGCTCGTCGGGGAGTGGAACAGGGGACAAGACCCGGTATTGCCGCTCCCCCTCGTCAACAGGAGTGGTCCTGGGGCGCCTAGGACGTACGCCAGGGTGGAACGTCCTAAAGTCATTCTTGATATCTCGTTTTAAGCCGAGCTCCTGCTGCCGATTGCGACGTACGCGAGCCCTGTGAAGCACGCCCTTATCCGGCCTGTTCCCATATCGTCCTAGTAAGCCCAAAATTAGCACCCAGTACTTGCTGGCAACAAGCGCGGTCTGGCTCTGCACAATCTCGAGTGTCCCTCCTCTAGGCACGCAGAGGTCCACCTCCGCCTCGCCGTCTAGATCATGAGCCTGATACGACTCAATGAGCTCCGCCAGTTTTGCCCAACTAGTGTTGAACTGCTGATAACTTTTCCTGCCGCGAATTGTCCAGGGCCCTCGGGTAGCCGCAGGAGCCACGAGGGGGATAGTCGTAGTCTCATTCGAGATGTACGAGGGAGCAAGGTCCGGGACGCGGATACGTCGAAAGACGCGCATGCCACGGGTGAAGCGGTACCCGCGGGTAACGTACTTGCCCGAGTCGTCCTTTACGGCATTCAGGGCGCGGTTGCTATCACTGAGAGAGGCGCGGAGGGCGAGGTAAGGGCCGACAACGCCCACCAGTGCTATTATAGCGACGGCGGCTCCCAGCCAAGTGCCGATGTTGGAGGTGAGGTTGATTGTGTCGACCATGATGGTATTGTTTGCCGCGGGGGGACTAGAAGCACAGCAATACTAAGTATATGTCGGTGAGTAAAAGAGAGAGGAGAGTGACTCTGTAAGTGGAGAGGGGAGGAGTTTCGTATGAGACTAAGTGAGGGGTAAAGCAGCGAGCAAAAAATCAGCCGCAGTTAATATGATTAATTAATGTAAAGTAGTTATCGGGTAGATATTACGACCCGACATACGACCGCATTGCAGGGGGGCACTCTGCTGCCGCGGGGATGCTTGTTTCGGGCACCATGTCAGGCACCCGCCAGGTGACCAGGACACCTCCGTCCTCTTACTCAGCCCTGCCGCACTAGTTGGTCTTGGCATACTTTGGGTGGGTGACAATAACTCTAGGATGAGTGGTGATATCGAGATTCATTGGCTACCACGGTACCATGCTTGGAGATGGTAAGCCGGAACGTGTTTTGGCTACCGCCAAGTGCTGACGGGCGCCATGCACTCCCACGCTCGAGACAGGTGCAGGCAGACCTGGAAAATCCTTTATTACCTACACAAGGACTATCAGGGGATGACCTGATCTCCTCTCGTCCATTCTCCATGAAAGATTCGAGGTCATCCTCAGCCCTACGTGGTTCCCTTCGTCTCACGGTCGCCATGGCGTCCACCGACACATCGACAGCAAACCTCCCCAAGGAACCTCGGGTCCAGCAGGATGCTTCTTCCCACACAATCAGCTCCTCCAAGCCCCAACCTACGGCCAACCAGCAAGAGGTCGAGAAGCGGCGCCCGTTGGACAATGGTATGGTCCCAGAGCAACCGCCGCGCCTCTACTGGGTGCGCGCACTCGTCCTGATCTTTGTCCCGTCCATCGTCACGGCCTACTACGGAGTCATCTGGGTGCAGCTCGTGCAAAACAGCGTCCACGACGAAGCCGCCAAGTACCGCAGCTACTCAGGATCCCTCATCTTCTACTCGTGGTTCCTCATCGGTGTCTTTGGCCTGTTAGGGTTAGGTTAGCTAGGGTTAGGGTTAGGGTTAGGGTTAGGGTTAGGGTTAGGGTTAGGGTTAGGGTTAGGGTTAGGGTTAGGGTTAGGGTTAGGGTTAGGGT